CTCTGTGGGTTTTTACTAACTGTTCCTCCGTGCTGATTCTGACTCCTATTGATTTACAGCTTTGGTGGCCGAGATCAAGGAATTGAAAGAGAAAAAGCAGATAGAGGATGATATCCTTCTGGCCGTTGCTGCTGGAAACAGGCAATCTATAGTTCCACATATGGAGTTTGAATACTTAGATATCAGCTTACATGAAGACTTGTATAAACTTGTCCAATATTCATGTGAAGAGGTTTTCTCAACAAAAGAACAATTAAATAAGGCTATGAGACTTTACACTACCTTTTTGGAGCCAATGCTGGGTGTTTCTTCTCGGCCCAATGATTCAGAGGATGATGAAGATGTTGACAAAAGTAGGAATCGGGCTAAGAATTGTACTGCGTCAAGCATAGGAGAAAGCGATGGAAGTCCTGGTGGTGATTCTGCCACATTGAATTTTAAGCAGCCCAAATCTGTGTGTAATGAAGAAGAAAATGCTTTAGCAGAAGTGGAAAGTTTGGCTAACAGGGATAACTCACCTAAAGAAGATGGAAGTCGTGATGCAGATCTTGTCTGTAGGAAAGATTCTATATCTGAGAAAATTCAACTAGAAAAAGACCAGAAGAATATGGATGTCCATAAGAAAAGGTATCTGGTCACCGGCATGGACAGTGCGTGGCCGTCCAGTCAACCATCACATCCAATTGGAGCAGATAATAATCATGGTAGAACGAGCTTGGAAGTGTTATCAGGTCTGTTTTTCTGAATTTGATTTTTTTTATTGTAATGGCATCTTATTTGATGTTATAATTTATTTTACTTTCCAGAGTTATAATAATGCGAATACTGTGAATTTTTTTTAATTGAAGGGTGTGCTGCAACCACGTCAAGGCCTGGTGCTTCTATTAGTGGCAATGACCATTTACAGAAAGGAAATGCTGATGCTGTTCCATTGTCAGAGGTATGAGTCTGGATCCTGGAATATCGTCATCTGTGATGGCTTTTGTTTTTAATTTATTTATTTCACCTTACGGTTTTGGCAATGCTACTGATTTACTGTTTGGTGCTTCAGGGTGTCGATAATGCAAAACCTGCTTTAATTGCTAATGGAGTGTTTCCAGAAAGCACTAAAGTTAACAGTCGTCATGAAGAGTCTGTTGGGCCCTCCAAAATTGAAAAGGAAGAGGGGGAATTATCACCAATTGCTGACTTTGGGGAGGATAACTTTGTTGTCTCTGGAGATGCTGGGGTGCAAGCTATGCCTAAGGCAAACCGCAGTGTTGAAAGCAGACCGTTTCAGTCTGGGAATGGGGAAGACATTAGTTGTCAGGAAGCTGGAGAAAATGATGCAGATGCAGATGATGAAAATAGTGAAAATGTTTCCGAGGCTGGTGAAGATGTCTCTGGCAGTGAGACAGCTGGTGATGAATGTTCCAGAGAAGAGCAAGGCGATGATGAAGATGCTGAACCGGATGACATTGATGGTAAGGCTGAGAGTGAAGGTGAGGCTGAAGGGATGGTGGATGGGCACCATGTTGGAGGAGATGGAATGTCTTTGCAATTGTCAGAACGTTTTCTTTTGTCTGTGAAACCTCTTGCGAAGCATGTACCAGGTTCTTTACTTGAAGAAAGGAAAGACTCTCGCGTTTTCTATGGGAATGATAATTTCTATGTGCTTTGTAGGCTTCATCAAGTAAGAGACATTTTCTTTCATTTTTGGAAGTTAGTTTGTCTTTTATTTACAACTGGATATAAGCTTGACTTATTTGATTTGCAGATTCTATACGAAAGGATTTTATCTGCAAAAACAAGTTCCACAGGTGCAGAAATGAAATGGAGAACTTCAAAGGATGGCAGTTCTTCGGATCTGTATGCCAGGTATTTTTCAGGCCATCTTCTCTTTTATATAGTTAATAGATTAGAACTGTGGCAACTGTTCAAAGCAATTTTAATCATATAATTTATTCATCTATCATGCAGATTTATGAGTGCTCTATACAATTTGCTTGATGGATCTGTTGATAATGCAAAATTTGAGGATGAATGCCGAGCTATTATTGGAAACCAGTCATATATATTATTCACCTTGGACAAATTAATATATAAATTTGTCAAACAGGTTTGCTCACTGGAACTTATGTACTTAATAAATAAAAAAATTATGTGTGTTTGCTTTTTGCTGCCAAGGTTCTGATTAGTGGTTATTTATGCAGCTTCAAACTGTTGCAAGTGATGAGACGGACAATAAGCTGCTTCAATTATATGAATATGAAAAGTCCCGGAAAACTGGGAAGTTGATTGATTCTGTTTATCATGAAAATGCACGTGTCCTCATTCATGAGGAGAATATTTACAGATTGGAATTTGTAAGTTCTTTGACAATTGCCCATGTATTAGACTAAAACCTACCCTTTTGAATATACTTTCTTATTTTATGATTTACTTATTTTTAATTTTCTTTGTGCAGTCCTCTTCACCCTCCCGGCTGTCCATCCAGCTGATGGACAGTGTGAGTGAAAAGCCTGAGGTGTTTGCAGTTTCCATGGAACCTAATTTTGCATCCTATCTGCACAACGAATTTCTGCCGGTTTATCCTGGAAAAAAGGAGCCGCATGGGATTACCCTTCAGAGGTGATAATGCACTCTTCATTAATGTTAAAAGTGCTAGAATTGCTATACTTCTCTGAAGAAACATGATAGACACTGAAATACAGTACCATCCGATGGATTTAGCTTCTTCCTGTGTTTTTTGGCAGGAAAAATTGTATGTAAATCCACTCACATTGTTATGATATGTTAATAATTAGTCATATGCAGCAACTCAGGTTACCTTGTGGTATAGAATGAGCCAAAAATTTCTAGTGTTTTTGTTAGTTAATGGATAACTTGCTGATTCAATCCGTTTTGCAGAAACAAGCGCAAATATGCAGGGCAAGCTGAATCCTCTGCCTTTTGCAAGGCCATGGACGGTGTTCACTTAGTCAATGGTTTGGAGTGCAAGATAGCTTGCAATTCATCCAAGGTATCTTGCCCTCGTATGTATTTCTTATCTTAAGCATCACCATCAGTTTTACCTTCTTTACAATATAAGCACAGATGGAAGCTGGAGAAATAATAGCCACACGTGCGCACGCGCACACACTTATGCATTTTTTGTGCACGGAGTTTTATTCATCAGAGTATCATGTGGCAGATCTCTTACGTTCTTGACACAGAAGATTACTTCTTCCGTATGAGAAGGAAAAGGAGAACATCTGAGGCCAGATCACCATATTGTGATCAGACGAGAGTACAGCGGTTCCACAAATTCTTATCAATCTCATCATAGCTTAGAAGGAAAATCGTTTGACATTGGGAAGCTAAAGGTAGACATGATAAACATTTCAAAAACATATGCCCTTTTTTCGTATCTTCCACTGCCATACAAGTTCTGCGAACGACTGTAACCCAAGCTTTCTTGAACAGGAGTCATCTACTCGATTTCTGAGACTGGAGAAGGATGATGGCGGCCCTGGACACGTAGAGCATGTCTGGTTCAGAAGATTGGCCTCCGAGCCATTGTTGTGTATATAAGGTTGGTGTATGATAATTTCGTAGAAAGGTATTTAAGTTAAAGTTCTTAATCTTTGTCATAGATAGGATATTTTCTTCCCCACTTCCATAAGCACACTGTGTAAGTGTAACAAATTGATCAAATAGCAGAAAAGCACGCGAGTTTTAACAAATCCCGAGCTTTTTAACTACAAATTTGTGGTTTCATACCAGCATTTTGCAGGCATTACTGCATCAGTATTCTTTTCCACCATAAGATTATGTTTCATAGAACAGATTCATTACTTCAAATTTGTGGTTTTATATATGCTGTTCTTACCGAAAGATTTTTGAGTTGGCTATCACCGAAACTATATATGCGCACCTGTTTTGTTTTCGGATTCAGTTACATTGGGATGGAAATAAACAGGGTGTGGAAGAAGGAGAAAAGTAATGTGCGGAAATCATTTTCTTTACGCGCGGAAAATAGATGAAAAAAGTTCAAGAAAGATTCAAGACCAGAAAGGAAGAAGTAAAAGCCGAATCTGGGTAACAAAGCTAGAACGGGGCGGGGCCTAGAGAACTGGATTAGCGTGAGAGGGAATGGGATCCGCTCCAGACCTTAGTCTTAGTATTCGGAGCCTAGAAATCAATTCATCTGGCCTGCACAAATTCAATCCAATGGTTTCATTAACTTATTTTCCTGCCTCATCACACAAAATCAACGGCTTTGATTTCTTTTACACATCAATTAACAGTCCAGATGAATTGATCTTTAGGCTCTGGATACCAAGGTCCGGAGCAGATCCAATTCCGGTGAAAAGTGGGCCGGAGTTGGTTGAATCCGGTAACCGTAGATAATGGATAATGGATAATGGGCCGTCACGTGGTTCTCGTACGTGGAAGTGTAACGGACTCCTCGTTTGGGGATCCACTTTCTGCATGTCGACCTGCTCGCGCCACTTGTGGCTTGAGCTCCGCCAGCAGTAACAAGAATCCGCACCGGTTAATTACTGAAATGCCCTTGGCTCGTTTAAATATCAACAATTAGTTATTTTCTCGTATTTTTGATATTTAAACAAACATCATCTTAATCGTCTGACAGTGATTGCATTGCAGCCAATTCCGACATAATTGATGTGCTCTTAATAAGATATTAAATTAATCGGACAATGCTGATGTTTCTCTTTTTGTGTAAATAGAGAGGTCTCATGTTTGAATCGTTAAATAACAAGTTTGATTTCTAATTATGTAGTTTAAATCCTTTTATCCCTAAAATAAAAAATAAAAAAAAAAACCAAATTGTAATTTTCATTTTATCCCTTTTCTATTTTCAGCTCATTGACATGAATGCTTTTTTTTTTTTTTTTTTCAACGAATGTTTTAAAAATGGAAATGAAAAGCGTACGCAAGTAAATAAAGGTGGATCTCGAGGGCAGTTTCGGAATCGAATAAATACGTAAAACCGGCAGGCAGAAGTAGTGTTTGGCTGTGGGCGTGGAAGAAAAAATCAGTTCATAAAAGAAAGAGAGAAGAGAGCCAGAAGATTTCGTAACATCCACTCCCTCCCTATCCACCCCCTCTCTCTCTCTTTCTATACACACACACACACACACACACACACACACGCACACTATATTTCCCAGTTTCTATCTTCTCATTTCTCTCTTCCATTTCTGAATCATTCCCCGTGGGGGGTTTTCAGAGCTAGGGTTTTGTGGATCGAATTTTCATTCCGATTTCAATGAGTTCGGGTTCAATATCCTGCTCTCCTGTCGTCACCAAAGACTTGGCCAAGAAGAAGAGGGTAAGCTCGCTCGCTATGTCATCCATTCTCCTCCGCTCTCTGTCTTTTCTCTTTCGTGCATACGTCTGCGTGTGCTTGGAAATGGAGGGAAATTCGAATATGAAAAGTTTCAATTTCGGCCCAGGGTTATTGGTGCATTCGTGAAATTCGAATTCAATTTTGGTTTTTGGGCGGAATTGAAGTTGAATTTTTGTGATGTTGTGAATTGTGAGCTTTGTTCTTAATTGTAGTTGTTTTTCTCAGACGAACAGGTTGGCGAAATTGAAGCAGAGCAAGCTCGATGTTCGCCGCGAGCAATGGCTTTCACATGGTATTGCTTCCTTCTCTCTCGAAATTTTCTTTTTTTTTTTTTTGTTTTTTTGAAATATGAATTTTCACTAAGACCATAAAAAAATTTACTTTTTTGGATTGCCAATGAAGCTAGTATGCTCCAACAAATAAAACAATGGAAGCTAATATGCTTAGTGGAGGTATGAAAATCGAAACTTGGGCATCGGACAATGTTTGTATTTGGATGCAGAACTTGGTGTTTGCGAAATGTAGACTTAGGCATCGGGTGAGCACAATGATGTTCGTTAAAAATTTAGAAAAAGAAAAAGGACCTTTATCTAAGCGTCATACATGTTCTTACCTAGAATTTTGCAGTAAAGCTGGTTACTTTGTCAAGAGTTCACTGCCATTGGTCGTCATTACTCGATCAATGGATATAGGGAAAATTCGTTTTCATGCCTTAGGTAGTTCTATGAACCAAATCAAGACGCCGAGCTTTTTCTAGAAATTTTGATAACATCGATTCAGGAAAGACAGAAGAGTGGCTTAGCTTCTGAATTGTTTTTGTTTTTTTTTTTTTTTTAATATGCGTCTTGCACAACTGACTTATGATGGGGCACCTGACGTTTTCCCTGACATTGATGACCTGATTTTTCTTCTCCCCACCCCCACAAAAGACAACAAAATTTTACATTAACGGCTTTTGTGGAACAAGTTAGAGATTTTTAGTAGTTATCAAAATTTTCTTATATACATTTGATCCTAATAAACTTCGTGTGCAATGCAGTCAAGAATAAAGGGCACAAAGTGAACTCGGATGGGAGGGGTGGGTCTCCTACACCATCTAGGCAAGTAGAGAAAGGGCAAAATGGATCATTGGACAATTTGGAAATGAGTTCAACCGGAGGAGAGAATGACAGTTCGAGCATCCATGACAGTGATTCGGAGTCTCTGACAACCAGTCCGAGTGGAAGCAGTTTGGATTGTAATGATTCGATGAAGAATCTTAGTGAGAGCAGTGGAAGTGATTGTTCGGGAAATGTCAGCAAGGAGGATGCTGATGATGGGTGTCTAGATGACTGGGAGGCTGTGGCCGATGCTTTAAATGCAGAGGACAACAAGCATACCCCTATTATTGATTTTCCTTCCAAAGCTGAAATCACAGTTGAACCCACAGGCCTTGAACCATCTAGCGAGAATCCTGGAGTTGAATTATCGAATCCAGAGAACAGAAACATGGTTCCTGGGTCACGTACGGCGCGTTGTGCTTGGAGACCTGATGATGCTTCCCGTCCTCAGAATCTGCCCAATGTGCCAAAACAGCATAGTTTCGTGGTTCAATCAGACTGGCATTGTGGCCATGGAGCCATTGCATGGGCATGGCAAAACATCGTGCCCCAGCCTTCTTCATGTCCTATATGCTATGAGGATTTAGATGTCACAGACTCGAGCTTTGTTCCATGTTCATGCGGCTTTCGGCTTTGCCTCTTTTGCCACAAAAGGATTCTAGAGGCAGACGGGCGCTGTCCAGGCTGCAGGAAGCAGTACGATCATGGAAATGGAGCAATGAGCATCAACAGAGGAGCTACAACTTTTAGAGTGGCTTGATCTTGCAGTGTGAGTACTAGATCCTAGAAAGTGAGTTTCTATATCTTGAACTTTTTGTTTATCGCCTCTCTGTTTGCGCCGAGTCAAGTCTGTCAAACTTGCAGCATCGTTAACGAAAATTTGAGTATAGTGATAGAGGTGGGAAGCGGCCTGGTATCGGAATTGGAACTTTGGTGAGTCCAATTCCTGTATAATGTTTAGGATATGTTGGTGTAGGAAACTGATGCAGTTATGTGAATAGTTGGGGTTGGTACAAACTTTCCAAATAAGAAATTTGAGTATATCCGCGTTCTTTTACTTGTCTTGCTTCTTGAATCAAAAGACTTTTTCTGCAATTTTACCTTCTCTTTCTCAAGTCCTTTTTTCTGGACTTACACTTGGCGGTATGTCACTGGCGTTCCGAGTCAATAACACAATGACATGCTTCCGGGAGATCTCTCTTAAATGACGCTTCATTCCGGTTAGTCCTTGTCATCTCAACTTTAAACACATTTCAAGTTTACTGGGAGTAGATCTTCCCTGCACCCGGGATGCCTCAATCGCGGTATTCTCAACCCAATCATGCAGTGCCATGGACCATGTACGATTATCTTGAGATACTGTTATTGTCGCATTGAAGTTTCACTCTTGTACGAGATAAAATTGTCGTGTTTGTCTAGTATGAACCGACTCATAGCATGCCTTGAAATGTATAGCCGTTGAATTGTTAGAGAAGGATCCAACGGTTACATTCTGGAATTTCCGATTTTTGTGTCTAAATTCGCTTGAATTCTTCAAGTCTAATGTGAAACTGCCAGATGGAATTGTGGAGCCAGGGCGTTGTGGTGACGACAGCCAGCCAGGTGGTTGCCGCCTCTCCTACAAGACTCATCTGTCCACGTGAACTCTTAACGTTTGGAAGCCATGCTGGTTAACTTTTATTTTTTTAAATACCAATTTTATTATTCTCAAGTTTTTGAAAAATCGTACTTTTCTGTACTTTTTTTTTTCGGTGTCTCACTCTTATACTTAAAAGTATAATTTTTCTGTCATTTGCATATTTCTGTTTGACTTTTCGTTATATTATCCGTTAAGTGTTGACGCGATGGAAAATCGAAGGTGGTCAAATTTGTTGTCAAATCTACTTCTCCCAGGGGAAAATAATGGCCATTGACTAGTCGGCTTCCAAACCTGCTTCAATTTAGTCACCAAGTCGCTTTAAGATTTTGAAAACCTCGGATAACTTGTGTGACCAGTAAACCCAAGTCACATTTATCTTCTAGGGCATCTTAGATACTTTATAGAATGTATATATAAACTTGACTACTTACTCTCGAAAAAATTATAGTAACAAGGGAAACATCGTCATCGATCAACTTATAACTTTAAAAAATAACAATCAAATCTTATATCACTAAGTATGATCTATTGTATGAATTTTAAAACGTTTATGCGTTTGGTTTTGCACCAAATTTTCCTTTTGATGAAAATTGCGATATTCCAGTACTGTTAACTTCAAGTATTTTATATCATTTTTGAGATTTTTTGTTACTTTTTCCATTTTAAAAGGATACTATGTTTGAAACTTGAAAGGTAAAAACAGCAATTGTGTTTTAGTCCAAGATAAATGTTTTTTTTTTTTTAATTTGGTACCACAAGTAAAATAAATATAATCATTTTTGGTTAAAATAAGGTACTTTCATGGCATTGAGATTCACTCTGAATCTCCTGTTTCAGAGTCCGTAAATCAAGAGATCTGAACTAATCAACTTCAATCCTACAGTCCCATTAACCTCTCTCGTTGACCTACTTCGCAAAAACTCAAAAACTTGAACGATTTGAATCCCCTTGTCTCTCTAAACAGTCTCTCAATCTTTAGACTATTGACACAAAAATCCGTATTAAACCTCATTCTCATTCATGGCATGTGGACACTTGCCATTGAGTAACAATAAGTGCAATAATGTAATGATAATCCAAGCTGTTCAAAGCACATGGCCACATGGCTTCCCATGCTGGACAGAAGCTCCAGTGGAAAGGCATATTAAAATAATATTCTCTTTTTTTTTAATCCAATATTAAAATAATATTCAAACAACCCACCTACAAGAAAATTCCTCTGCACCAAACCAAATGTGTTATATTGCATAACTGTCCTCTCAGTTTTCCAGAAATTTCACCTTCTTCTCTACAATTTATTTTTTTGCACTTTCATCCAAATAAGTTTGTTTTGATTTTTACTTTAGACATATTTGGGATTGCTTATACAAAGACTAAAAGTGCTTTTTATGAGCATAACTCCTTCCCTACATAAGCGTAACTGGTAAAAGCCTGCAAGGAAAACAACAGCTGAAAAACAACTTAACTGAGAAACAAAAGAACAAATCCACCCGAGTTGAGGCTTGCGACTGATTCATACAAGGATTAACTGAGAAACAAAAAAAATTCGCCTCATTGCCAGATTGAAACGATGCTAACGAAGCGAACCAACAAGGATTAACACTGAAAGAAAAACAAACTATCGGAATGAAAATGAAAACCCGAATAAGCTACCGGGACTGTTAGTGCAAGTTTAATTTTTTGTTCCCAACTAATTATTACAATTTAAGCAACCAAATAATATTCAGACGCGTTTTTCTGTTAACACAAAAAAGACGTTTACTCTCTCTCTTTGCTTTTTCTTTGACCATTTCACTTACAAATAGTCCTTCCTCTCCTCCTCCTCTCCATTTCCATTCCCCTCCTCCATCGCCGACGATGCTTCTCCTTAAACCCATTTCTCTCCTCCTCCTCCTACTCCTCCTCTCAGCCGTCCCCATTCCCGCAAACGCAATCCGATCATTCCCGGACTCGCAAACCCGACCGGGAAATGAAAAACGATTCCACATGGATTTCTCAGAAGCTCCCAAATACACAAACGGAATCAGCTGCCGTGTTCTTCCAGGTGCAGCAAACGACGTCTGTGATTCCTCCCTCGTCCACGTCGCAATGACAATCGATTCCGAGTACTTGCGCGGCACCATTGCCGCCGTGCACTCTGTTTTCAAGCAAGCCTCCTGCCCGGAGAACACATTCTTCCACTTCGTCGCCTCGGATTCCGGCTCGGTTGATTCTCACCACCTCTCTCGCATTCTGACAGTCAACTTTTCCGGCGCTTAATTTCCGAGTTTATATCTTCAGAGAGAGTCTGGTGAACCATCTGATTTCTCCTTCGATTCGCCGAGCTCTGGAGAACCCATTGAACTACGCGAGGAGCTACTTGGCTGATTTGCTCGACCCCTGCGTCGAGCGAGTGATCTATCTCGACTCCGATGTCGTTGTCGTCGATGATATCCAGAAGTTATGGGGGATTTCCTTATCCGGGTCGAGAGTGATCGGAGCTCCGGAGTACTGCCACGCCAATTTCACCAAGTATTTCTCCGACGAGTTCTGGAGAGATTCCGAGCTCCCCAAGGCGTTCGATAAAAAACAACCGTGCTATTTCAACACCGGCGTGATGGTCATCGACTTGGTGAGATGGAGGGCCGGAGGGTTTACGAGAAAGATCGAGAATTGGATGGAGATTCAGAAGGAGAAGAGGATTTACGAGCTGGGTTCTCTTCCGCCGTTTCTGCTGGTGTTCGGCGGCGACGTGGAGGCGATTCACCACCGGTGGAACCAGCACGGCCTCGGCGGCGATAATTTGATGAACAGCTGCAGGCCTCTGCATCCGGGTCCGGTGAGTTTGCTGCATTGGAGCGGGGGCGGGAAGCCATGGACGCGGCTGGATTTGGGAATGCCTTGCCCTGTCGATCTTCTCTGGGCCCCTTACGATCTCTACAAACACCATCAAAGTCACCTTCAAGATCTGCATCTTCTTCAACACGACCACCATCAACAATTTTTTATGTTGTAGCATTAATTAGTAACAGGATTATTTATTTATTTTTATTTTTATTTTTTACAGAAATTCATTGATAGATGGGAAGAAATATTATTTCTACCAGATGTAAATAGAGGGAGAGATTTGAACTGAATGAAAATTTTTGGAACATATTGTTCCATTTTGCCAAACAACATATGCCTAGATCGTCAATGCGCTCAGTTTTGTATCAAGTTTCGGTTTTCTCCAAGTGCTCAATATCTTTTTTAGAGCGTCTTTCCAAATCTTTGATAGGTTAAGTTATGTAGATCAAGATGCAAGAGGTCAGAAGAACAAGCGAAAATTATTGCGTTATTCCGTAAAACGCTTTCATTTCGAAGAAGAAGAATGATACAGATGAAAAACAAACAAGGTTGACATAGATGAACATGAAGAATGTACACGCTTCGCACTTTCCTCTCTTCACAATAATCCAACAACGCAACTCAAATGTAATCGGTTCTCCAAGCCTCTTAAATGATGACCTAACAACATACACCTGCCAAAAGAATTGTGAATTTTCAGATTTCAATCGCTAATGGAATTGGTTCTACTACCAAGTTATCAGAAAAATCTGAAGCACTTTGCATCTACGACTCTACGGCGGACCATTCCCAGAAGTGACTTCATGCAAAGTAAATTTGGACAAGCAATAAAAACAAGCCATTTAAGGAGGACTATGACAGGAGTCTAACCAGAAAAGCAGCTTCGCTAGGTAATCTCGTGAAGTTCCTATGGTCTCAAGTTCGCCATCAGCATCTAGGCCAATCTCTTTGTCCCCTGTCACCAAATCTTCAACAAATTCTGAGGAAGTACCGTCTTTGAAGAATCTCTGCAATATATTTTGAACAAGCTGGTGTATAATTTCCTTCACCTCTAATGATGACGGTCGAGATAATTCAGTTACCTGTTAAAACAAATGATGGTAGCATCATAAGAAAGGATGGACTCATAAAAATTGCAACTCCATCACAAAGTAAGATTATTACCATATTAGAATCTAGAGACCGTAGATAGTCCAATAAATCATTCCTAGGTCCCGTATCATATTCTAATTGCATATTTTCCTGCTTTTCCGCCTTCAGTTCCTGAAAAAACCAAAGCATGTCATTCCCACATTCTGCTTAAAACAATGCACAATCCTTCAGGCATTTAACTTCAATATCAAATTAAGCTCAAAAACACAAAACTTAAGCGTCGTTACCTAGAGGTAGCAAATCAACCCATTGGGTTGTTAATGGGTAACCATTAAGACCCGTTTAGTTTGATTTCACCATAATAAGGTATTACACCATCATCACCACTACCATTCTTACCACCACAAATCTCACCACCTTATGACAGTGAAATCAAACTAAACGGGTCTTAATAGTTACCTATTGACAACCCAATGGGTTGATTTGCCACCTTCGTATATATGATTGATAAAGACACATACAACGAATATAAAAACGTTCAGAAACTAAAACTTGGAAGATCATAAACCAAACAAAAACGAGCTTTGATCTTGCTTTCGAAACTAAAACAAAGCAGTCCAAACTAGAATTTTCGACTATTTTAGGCTCAATTCGAAGAAAAGCATTAGTAATTGTGGAAATGAAAAGGACAGAAAATTCACAGAGCAAATGCTCACCTCCTTCACATTTGTCAGCTCTGATTGCAACGTCTGGATATAATTCAAAGCCTCCGGAGGCAAATCGCCGAAAACCTGAGGAGTTGCTGAATCCAAAAGTTCGCTACTCAGCCCGATACCATTACCACCATCCCTTTCCCCGCTCTCCACCCTATCCGACACCCCATCCATCTCCGACCGATCCAACGGCACAGAATTCTCCGTGGATATGTCGAAATTCCTCATCAACGATATCCGATACTCCGCGTTCCACAGTGTATATCTAATTGATACGATAAATCCCAAAGCAATTTTACTCTAATTAATACAATTACGCACTGAATTTACTGAAATTTGAAGAAAGGGGATAGAAATGTGAATTATTACCCGGTGATTATGGAGGATGCGAGGAGGCGATGGAGGGGTGCCTTGCAAACCCTAACGGTGACGGAGAACTGATCGGACGGGAGCAACCCCAGCATAGTAGAAATGGTCTGCTTCATGGAGTCCCTGGCGGAATCCGAAACGCCCTTGGAGATAACGGAGGTGTCGAGGGGCTCAATTTTCTTGAGCATGTTCGAAATCACGGAGAAGCCGCGGTCGAACCCGGACTTCCGAGTCGAGACGAACTCGTCCGATACGCCGCCGCCGTCGACGCCGGAGATGAGGCATCGGACGGAAGAAGTTGAACCGGCGGACAAACGTCGCCGCGGAAAGGAGGAGGGGAGTAAGGGGCGGACGAGGAGGTGGCGGGAAATCGGTGGGGGCGGTTGGGATGGCTTGAGAGAGAGGTCGGCGAAGCGGGAGAAAACGAAGGCGCGAGCTGGCGCCGCCATGAACGAGCTGGCTATTTGTTGGAGGCTCTCCGCCTCTCTCACTCTCTGTGGCTTGCGCCTCCTGGAATCTTCAATCCTTTTATCTGCCCGTTCAATTTTGATTGGCTGATGAGATTGACCTGGGCTTTTAAGGAAATTACAGATTCGCCACTGATTTACTTATCTTATTAGACAAGTACCTACTACGGCGAAAGCGAGTATAAGTTTGTTGGGGATTTTTGTGAATCAATTTCTAATAAAATAAAATTTAATTACTATTGCAATTATTGTAATCGAGTGAGTTGGCAATTTGCAATTGGACCACGTATCTAATTAGCTAAAGTAGAGGAGAAAAAAGAACTTGGTTGCTACTTTGTTTCTTCTTTGTAATTGAGATTCTGAGCTGACAGATCACATAATTCGATTCAAACCGTTCAAAAAAAGAAAGGGGGAGATTTGTACTCTTAATTTTTGTGAGCTGATAGATCACGTAATTCAATTTGGACCGTTCAAAAGAGAAAGAAGAGATTTGTACTCGATTCATTCTCACGTTCCAATCACACCTCATTTTTTAACTCCCAGACTAACAAAAATCTTGCCACGCAGGTAAAAGCAACATTAGCTAAGATATCATAATTTGGTCATAACTTGAGCATTTCCACCAAGTGAAAACCAACGGACATGGTTCCTCTTCGGATTCATTGTCCCAATTCAACAAGTCACATCATCAGAGCCACTAAAATTTGATCCATCAGCTAATCCATCAAGTCACATCATCTGAGCCATTGAAATTTGATCTAACGGTTAAAATTATTATAACTTTTAAAGTGAGCCCTTGTTTGTAGCCGTTGGATCAAATTTTAATGGCCTAGATGATGTGACTTGGTGGATTAGGACCAATGGATCCGGAGAGAATCCATGTCCAAAACCAACGAGTAGTACAACTTATGACTATTACCATTGGAGTGTGATATATACACACCCCTGTTTACTTCTCACACACCCGTCTAAATTTTCGGCCACCTAGATCAAATAAATTGAAAAAGATCAACGAAGAGCAATTAACAAAGGGTGTGTGAAAAGTAAAAAAGAGTGTGGATAGCACATCCTTTACAATTTCACCAGCAAAAAAGACCTAAAAAAAGTAAATCAGAAACAGATACACAAGGAGTGAAAACACATACGATCGAACAACTCCAACTGATTACAACACGAAACCTGAATCTTCATCCCACAATAAGCAAAGAACCAATTCGATAAAGCACTAACTGTTACAGGCAAAGTATTGAAAATAAAACCGAGATAATTCTGTTCTAAGACGCTATCACTCTAGTTCATGAAGAATACCGTTAAGACAGTAATTGGAAGTAGTGGTGATCACAAAACCTATGGCTCGACTGTGCTTACTTGTTGCCACTCGCCATCGACAGATTCTTTCCACAATGTTACATTGTTATTCCCATCAGCTACCGCCAGCAAATTTCCAGTTAGTGACCATGACACCCTCCAGACCGGGGTCTTGAAATCCTTCAAAACCTTCCCCTCCCATTGCTCGCCTTCCTTAGCCACAGTCCAAATCACCACTGTTCCATCCTGTGAAGCACTTGCGATTGTGGACTTTGGGAGTCCCAAGTTGGGTGCCCAGGCTACATCTCTCACCCAATCACTGTGCATTTGAAGGGCCGGAAAGCAATCCATCTTCCAAATCCCATTGTACAGCTTCCACACCTTCACAGTATTATCACACCCACCAGATGCCAGCTTATGAACGGGATCAAGCAGTCCAGATCCTACTAGAGCACCAGGAGCCATTGCTGGGGCCCATGAAACTGAGGTTACTCCAACAGGGTGGGCTTGATCTATCTTCGTGGTGTCCCAACCACCATCGGCCCTGGCAGTGAAAACCGATATATTCCCATCAGAAGAACCGCAAGCTAAGATTAGACCAAGTTCATGAGGTGCCCAAGAAATGGAATTTACTGACGACTTGTGGTCATTAAACACATGAGCCTGTTGCCACTCATTCGGATTGCCCTCCTTCCAGATGATCACCTGACCATCGTAAGAACAGGAAGCAAGGATTGACCCGAACTTGGGATGCGCCCAAGCTACCTCCCAAACCGGGCCGCTATGAGCTGACAGTGTAGCTAGGTGCTGTGAAGCGTTTCCAACACCAATTATCTTAATGGTGGCATCAGACGAAGCTGTTGCTAGCCGCTTTCCGTAGTAATCCATGGCTACATCGTGGACAGTGTCCTGGTGACCCGTTTCGATCTTCTGTGCAGGCATCGTTACCAATTTATATTCTCGTGCCCAAAATGTCCCCAAATCACCTTTCCTTCAATTTCCTGAATTTGTCTCCCTTATGCTTCCTCTGGATTACAATGTTCTTCATATCAAAATTCAAGTCTAAATTCACTAACTAAATTCCCAAATTATTGCAATTCAGATAATTTCTATAGGCAAATTATATCACAAACAACAAGAAATTGAAATAAACAAATTCACAATAAAAATATTATTTTGCGAGAAATTCCTCTTACAGCAGGTTGAAGATCTAACAGATCACAGGAGAAAAAATAATTCGCTATAAAAACCCATAATTTAATTTAAATTTTCATACCAATAAAACGAAATCAATCATAATTTCAGATTATTTGAAGCCGAAAATAAAAATTCCAGAAACTTTGATTTCAGTAGCTCCGTAAGGGAAGATCTAGAAAAAAAATGTGATAGATCTGAAAATATCGTGCCAGAAATTGAACAGATTTTACATCGGAAATATAAGTGGAGGAGCGACTGACCTCTGAGAGGAAGAGAGAGAGAGAGAGGACGCGGCGGAGGTCTCTGATCGGAGAACCAAAATTTCTTCAGTTGAGAGAAAGCACTTATCTTTGTAAGAGAGAGGAGAGAGAGTCGCTAACTTTCAGGCTTCAGCAGCTGAGAGAGTGCGTGCGTGTTTCTTAGGGAATGTTTAGGCACGTGGGCTTTGATTTGGATATGGGCATCCATAATATGCATAGCCAGTCAGTTGGCCCAGTTGATCATTCAATAGATATTTCTCATATCGTTAATGTGTTTAAAGAAAGACTCTATCTCTCTTCTCTTCATAAAATTTAAAAAAAAAAAAAAAAAAAAAAAAAAGTATTTGTCAATTTGCTCCCTAAACTTGTATAGAGGCGTTAATTTTCCTCCTAAACTTTAATTTTAGCCAATTACCCTCTTGAACTTTTATAATTAGTCAATTTTCCCCCACGAACTTTAACTTTAGCCGATTACTCCTCTAAAATATTACAAATAGCTAATTTACTCCAATAGCGTTAGATTTAAAATTTTTCATCCATCCAATTTTTCATTCTTTTTGCCCTAATACATTGTCATGTGTTGTCCGCGTGATCAAAATGGATAAAAAAGTTGGATGAATGAAAATTTTTAAAATCTAGCGTATTTGGGAAATTGGCTATTTATAAAGTTCATGGGGTAATCGGCTAAAATTAAAGTTCAAGGGAGAAATTAGTTAATTATAAAAGTTCAAGAGGACAATCGGCTAAAATTAAAATGCAGGAGGTAAATTGACAAATAAAAAAAAGAGCAGACTCTCTTGCCAAGTGTCCAATAGATGTTTGCCACTTGTTACAATGGATGCTTGTCAGATAATTTTTCCTTTTTTTTACAATAGAGTTTTGCACCCGCTCAAGACACAAAGAAGATAGCTCTTTGTATTCGGGTCCATGTCGGTCCTAAATACAAGAGGTCCTCCTTGCTTGTGGCTTAGGCAAGAGAAATTCTAGGGTTTGGCCTTCCGAACGGCCTCATCCCTCCGCACACAAAATCTCACCCAGGGCCAACCTATGCATTCAGACCCTACTTACCACTGTGTCTTGACCACACAGTCCGCACCATGTGGTGCTCGAACCAAAGTTGTTGTCTTTGGACGGACAGGTGACATAGCCCGGGTGATCATACCTAAGAATCTCTTGGATGGATGTACTTAGACAACAAATTAGCCCTCCATTTCACATAGATAAGAATTAACTACAGCTGCAAACTTCAAAAATAGCCCTCTATTTCATGGATGCAAACCATTACAAGCAAAATCATACCTGAAACAAAATCCAAACACCACCACTTACCTCACTATCATTTTGAACACACAATTACTGGTCCTAATCTCATACATAATTGTTAGCAGCAATTTTACAACAAAAAGAATCCCGAGGGCAAGTCTATCAATCGACTTGCTCCCAAGGGCAACCGTGGATGACTACTTCGACTGTATCGCTACTCTACTAATTGTCTATGCCCTGACTTGGCAACATGTATTGAAGTAGCAGCATATACATGGTTCCCACTTTCATCAGGCTGATAGCGGGATGTGATAAACCATTGTAATTTGCTACTAACCCCATTGACGAAGCGTCCATGAGAATGCAGTAATGAAATCAGTCACAAGTACCTTTGCCCGTGTGGTAGTAACTTGAACTTGTATGCCTGCATTTCTACGGGAGAGATAAGGATGCGTCATAGCTCTTAGCTATAAACCCTGCTGAAGAAGCAACAATGAGAATACAGTAAGAAACCAGTTGCTAGTACATTCATTTGGGTGGCCGCAATTCCAACTTGTAAGCCTGTATTTCCATTGGAGAGATAAGAACGTGTCCGTCTTGAGCAAGATCTCCAAATTGCTCAGTATACCCAAGCATATCCATGTCCTCATGTAAAAGATTTAAGGAAGTAACTCTTGCATTCAATACCATAAGGTCCTTGAACATGTAAAAGAGATTCACAGTCTCATCAGCAAATCTAGTGCACCCTGATCTGCCCTTCCGACAATATGAAGAGTCCCAGTTTTGTCTCTGTAAAATTAGGGCAAACCTAGAGTCTTCGAGAGGTTGCTGAGTGTATTTTAGAGGTTGGGGAACCTTAAAACTTACAATATGCAGATCACATGGTAAGGGAGCGGCTAAGGGGGAGAAAGATCTTGGGGGTGGCTGCACTGATAACTCCTCTGGCTTCTTGGCAATGAATGCATGCAACGGATAGTTCAGGTGAGCACTGATGCGGTGAGAAAGAAGTGAGGGATTTAAGGGCAATGAGCTGGAAACTGGGTTTGATGTGGCTGAAATGTTAGACTCCACAACAATGTGGAAGATTACATTCATTGCGCGGTTGTCCATCACTCCTTGTCCAAGACCTCGTCCATCATCTCTTACCAAACGACGGTCAAGCATAATCTCCAACCATCCACTTTTAAGACTTGCCACACCCAATGACTGCCGGGAATGGACCGAAAACCGCTGACCAGCAGACCCCTGCATGAATGCAAGAGAAGGCATAGGGTAGTAATTGCCCTGAACTGGGATTTTATCATAGGTTTCTCTCCTGCTCATCTGAAAGCCATTTAAATCAGAAAAGAATATTCTTTTGTTATCAACATCTGTTTTATATCTAACTATCAACTCCTTGTCATCGAACTCCTGACCAAGAAGCTCAACATGATACTCCTTCTCGATGAGAAATTCCTGTACAGTATTCTCTCCATTGTAGACACGAGTGCTATGAGAAATGGGGCTCTTTTCCCATTCGGTCCTTGGATAAGAGTATACTTCCTGCACCAAAGGGCCCTCAGAGATCACCAACTGCCCACCTTCTTCAATGATAAGCTGTGCATCACCATTGGGTTTAAATAGGTAGGCTCCACTTCCCATACTAGAGTACATAGCTATTTCTTCACCCACAACATTTTGGGAACCATTCTTATGGCTGACTTTCTGCAACAGACCATGCTTCACATCAAATGTGAGTATTTGGTGCCTGTTCGTGATTTCAGCCACATCAGCGTCTGCTTTTGAGCATGCATATGGAGTGGGGCAAGATAAAGAACTAGACTTTGAGAAGAATCTTAGTTTTGCTGGTTTGGCCTTTTCACATCCATGCAACCCGTTAGCAATGTAATATGTTTGCAACCCCAAGGCGGGAACAGAAACCTGCCAGTAAACACGATGCCTTCCAGTAAATATTTTGCTTTTATCATGCTGCAGCTCAGGAGATATTTGGCTTTGAACACATGTCGAGTTTGAGTCCAGAACAGTAACATCTGGACGGTTAACAATAACCATCACAACCTCTTCTCTTGTCTGCCCCAAAGGATTAAAAAACACCACTGATTGTCTAGTTCCTTCACGGGCCATGATTGCTCTATGGACAGGCTGAACATCATATTTAGATCTCACCTGTTCTGGCTCAAACTGAGAAGGGTTATTGTCATTTTTCTCATGGCGTATTCCAAGCAGTACTTCAATAGCTTTAGACATGAAAATCTGCAAGTCCTGCAAAGATGTGTGCATCCGAGTCCCATAGTCCAGGACCACATGATCTTTAGCAGTACCAGTCACACCATCATGATGCTGGAAAAGAGCCAAGTTCCTCCTGGCAGCAGCCAACTTGTAGGAGAACCCCATGGGCAACTTTTCACATTGTGCTCTCTCGCAGTACCCAAGCAGGAAAGCCATCATCATATCTGTGGTACGAAGTGTTTGCTCAAGTACTCGATCAACAGCCTTGAAGAAAGGCCTGGAAACATAATAGCCACTCCAATAGTCCTGTTGCCTATCAGCATAAGTGAAGAAGTCACCTGACAAAGAAGGAAAACCCCCAACCTGACCGGAACCAATCTCACCAGGAAGTGAATGATTTATTCTTTCAGCCTCCTCACGAAGGGTCCAAAAGTAATCTTCCAAAGTTCCAAACTTGACCTCTGTGTTTAAACTGGGATTAGAATTGATATAGTCAAACAACATTTGGTAGTTCCTAAACTGAGCTTCAGCTTCATCGATGCTTATGTAGCGGAAATCATCTCCAAGAGGAATAAGAAGTGTATTTGTCCTGTACAGTGTTGATTTCTTCTTATATTGATCCAGTAGAATAAGCGCCCGCTCCTGAACATTTTCCTGGTTGGTCTCTACCGGATTGTCTCCCCACGGACAGAGTTCATAAACAAAGCCACGCATTCGAGCAAAGTCAAACTGACAACAAATGGCAGGCTCTGGCCCACAAGTATGTGGAATATCATAAGAATAAAAGGGCATCATATGGACAAAAATATCGGTAGTTTCATCCACATCCCAGCTCTGACGCCATATATACTCCAAATTTTTATGCAGTGCAAGTTCCTTCTTCAGCTCATAATGGGTCCTCTGAATAAGCATATTTTCAAAACCCATGCGACGGAGAAGATATGCCATGGTAGGTGAGTATCCAAACGGATCTATCGCCCATGCATTTTTAGGAACAACCCCAACAGTTTCATTCAACCACATATTTCCTTCTGTCATCTGATACATCAATTGCCGAAAGATATAAGAAGCATTTCAGCAGCATAAGAGATGCATAAAATCTTAACAAAGAACAATATAAAATATAAAAAATTTAATATAATGTACCTGCTCAATTATGGCATAATAATGTGAATTAGCCTGCACCAAGAAGAAGAACCAATCTATTAAGCTTCAACAACACGAACGCATTGGTTAAAAAATCAACGTAGATCTAAGAGTAGTCTAAGCATATGCTATACCGGTAAAAACAAGCATGCAGTTAAACAAAAGCTTACATATATGAATATTACCTCATCGTTCATTACCCAGCCACCTCCAACAATTTCTAACTGACCATTCTTCACCAAATTTGTGAATGACTCCCTTTTGAGATCAGAGGAGTCCCTCCACCATCTTTCGAGATAAGACATCTCTTCCCATATAAACTTGCGCCGAGAATCCTACACATCCAGGAAAAATCCACTCAATTGAATCAAACACAATCTCGGAAGGTTTCGAAAACAGAAAAACCTCAACAGAACAGCAAAACCAAAATTATATGTAGTTAATTAAAACAATCAACATATGAACTCAATGCAATTACTGCTATCATACGAAATGCAAGTTCTTCTATAATTAAAACAATCAACATATGAACTCCATGCACTAATCATATAAAACAAGAAAATTTAACCCAAATGAGCAAAATTTAAGCTCAAGCAAAACCCGATTAAAAGTTTGAATCTTTTGCTCACCTTAGAAAGCGTATCGACAATGGTGTCGAGAATATGCCTGGATTGCCTATCGTAGTACTCTTCGACGGTGAGCTTCCAGCCGGGATCGTTATGCGAATGGGGCACCACAAACACCTTCAATTTCTCAGAGTCCCACTCGTCCCCTTTGTAGCTCACCCGCCACCCCTGCTTCCACGGCCCGCCGTCCATATCCGAGAATTCAATCTTGTCGTACAGCTCCTTGGTGGTGATGTCAACGGTGGCCCCTGCAGCGGCGGCGGATCCCGAATCGGCGGCCGAGACGGGTTTGCGGGAGATGGGCTTTCGGGGCTTGGAGAAGCGGGTGGAGGATTTGGATTTGAAGTGGGTGGAGAGGGGTGTGGGGACGCCGTAGCGGAGGATGACGATGAGAAATAGGAAGAGGGAGATCGAGAGGCCGATGATGAAGAAGTTTGCGAAGATGAAGTCGCGGAGGAATAATCGCCTGCGGGGCTTTCTAGTGAGCTTGGATTTGGGGTTGGAAGCGGAGGAGGAGGGGAGGAGGGAGTTGGCCCAGCCGCCGCGGCGGGTGCTGCCGATGTACGATGAGAAAGCCATTGTCGTTTGTTTTGCTTTGGGCGAAATGAGATCGAAGGGAAGGAGGAAGAGGAGGAGAAAGACTTTACAGTCGGTCGTTTGCTTGCTGACGGTGGGTGGGGCCCCGCGGCGGAGAGTTATTAGTTTGTTTGTAGTAGTGAGGTTTTGGTTAGTGTAGCGACGACGGGACCAATACGGCAATACCAATCGGATCGGTCGGATTATTGGACTTTTCTCTTCAACACTCTTGACTTCTGCATTTTTCTTGACTTTTTAGCTAAAATTATGAGATTGGTTTAACTTCTCATTTGATCTTTGATATTTGAATTCGATAAAAATTGTTTGTGTTTGTCCATCATCAATCATTTAGGTCATTTCATACAAAATTGGTGTTAAATAAGGACTAAAATGATAAAAATAACCTCACTTTGTATACAATTGGCCAAAATGATTTGACAAAAAATCAAAGTATTTTTGTTATTTTATCCTTATTCGACGAAATTCTTTTTTGTAAAAAACTAAAATAATTAACGATGTTCAAACTCATGGATCACTTCTATCGATTTCAAATCTCATGGTCTAAAGTGAGAAATTATGTCAATTTCATGTATCATTTTGGCTAAAAAGCCAATTTTCTCTGATATATTATATATAGAGTAAATTGTAGCAATGGTTAAGCAACTTTAATCAAATTGAAGCAATGATCCCTCAACTAAAAATACATTACCATTGATCCTTCAACTTATCAAAACGTGTAGCTATGATCATTTTCGTCAAAATGAGTTATGTTGAAATGATCATTGCTACAATTGGGTTAAAGTTGAGAGACTATTTCTCCGATTGGATTAAAGTTGAAGGACCATTGGTAATGAATTTTTAGTTGAGAAACTATAGCAGCACGTTTTAATGAGTTGATGAACCAATGCTAATGAATTTTTAGTTGAGGATTCATTGCTCCAATTGAGTTAAAGTTGAAGAACCATTGTTACAATTTACTCTTACATGTAATGAGAGAAAATTAGGTACTAGAAAAAGTATTAACTCGATGTCTCAAGTTCGATTTCATTTCGACATAAACGCTTTCTGGCACATTTGAGACTGCCCTTCGTAAACAAATAAACTTTTACATATCTGATACAAATGCATTCTTCGTCGAAACAAAAATGTTACGTAGCTGTTCTTGCGTAGCACGATTATACAATACGCTGGTCAACCAAAATAATTAAACAAAAATACCGGCATGAACACGAGCGGCGAGCAAAAACCAGGAAGCAAGCTCTCTCTTGAATATCATAAAATGATTTCCTCCTGTACGCTAACGTTAAGAGTCTTATTTGGGAGAACGATGCTGTTGATCACCACAACTTCGTCTTCAACTGTCACCTCTTCTCCTGCGAAAAGAAAACGAGAGGGCTCTTCAAATCGGTCAAATGCATTGAAAAATATCCTTGCGCATTCAACAGCATCAAATTCATATACGAAAGAAATGAGAAACCAGGCACCATACCGAGGATGGTAATTCCAAGCTTTGCGCTGTAGTCTCCGTCAGCCTAAGCCAGTAAATTAAGTTCTTAGTTAGCCACAAGAATGACAAGCAAGCTGTACAAGTTTATAGAAATCTATAACTTAACAGAAACGGTAAGTTACTAGTTGCATTCGCTAAAGTTTGTGAATTTTCCTTATCGTGCAACTACATAGCTAGACTTGCCTGGACACGCGACCATTTTCCAATAGATGACTTCCATCCAACAATAGCATTTATAACGACTGCATTTTCCTGTCATGAAATAGAACAATGAAGTTTGGATAAATTCACTAAAGCGTTCCCAATACGCTATAGTTCTTGTTTATCCATCGATATACCAACTTCAATACCTTGATTTCCACGTCATCCAAGACAATGCAATTTATAAGCCTTACTCCTGCCCCTACACGAACATTTGCTGAAAGAGACACATCGGGACCAATCTGTGCGCAAAAGTAACTCACACTTTAGAAGGAAATGCTGAAGAAGGAGGCTCTAATTCAGAGTGTCAGTAATGACTACTGCCTCCACTATATTCACCATCCTACACCGTTCAATATTCATTTACAATATATACATGCAACCGCAAATAAGAACAGAACAAAATGGGATACATGTACATTAGTAGAAGATGAGATGAAAGTGAACTTACCTTAGAAGTTGGATGTACTTTTGCCGATGGATGAACATAAACATTACCAACAATTCTAGCATTCTTGGTACCATCTCCACTAGCTAAAAGGTGTTCGGAGTTAATTTGGAATTGAGAAAGATACAAACCCGAACATTTTAAAGACATTCTGTAACAGAAAACAAAGATTAGTATAAGGCAAATGATAGTAAAGATTAAGGAAAAGGAAAAATAAATGAAGCTATTAGGATAAATTAGGGTACCCAGGAGTCTTGATCTGTTCCCAAAAGTCCATGGTCTCATATGTATACAGTTTCTTCTTTCCAGCAAGAGGTGACAAAATATCTTGATCCAATCTAACAAAATCTGTAGGAAGAGTCCTGTTGAAAGGAGTGTAAATCAACATTAAAAGTGGCACACACTAATTTAAACCAGTTACAACTCTATTTCCAAACGCACGTTATACTGCATTCATGCCACAAGAGATGACATTCCAAACAAAAGTTCCTTCTTCTAGTACTAAGTACTAACACAAAAAGATCTTAGCTTTTAAACGGGCATTCACAATGGATACGATCAGAACAAGCGGTAAGCACTTCTCAAGTGAAACCAGGGAATTTAAATGAGAAATCGCTATAAGTTCATTATTCAAAGTATAAGTATGCAACCAGGATAAAGATGTCAACCTTGTTGCGGACTGGAGGGCTTCAAAGCTGGAAACACGACGTAAATTAGCTGCAATTGTCAAATACAAAGTCAGACCCCCAGAAGACCGAAACCAGGGAATTCAAATGAGAAATAGCTATAAGTTCATTCTTCAGATACAGACAGACGTCTAGGAATGCTGGCCGGCTATTCATTTGCATCATGATCCAAGCTTCATGACTTAATTTTGAATATTCTACGGAGTAGCAAATGATTCATTCACTTCATAGGGGTAAAAGAAAATAGGAATAGCAATATGTGTTGAGGCCAAATTTGTTCTCAATAATTACAAATCAAGTAACAAAACATCTTTAGAGCCAGAATTTGATCCCAAGTGCAAACCAATCCACAACTATAATGCCAGCAGAGAAAAGGACCAACCTCTGCCTTCTCGGTGACTGGAGACTTCTTGAATGGCAGAAAAAATATCTGGAGTAAATACATATACACCACAATTGATCAAATCACTCACCTGCATTTAGAAAATAGATAACCCTTACAAAATGTGGCCGGGAACAAGCAAATAAAACAAAGAATTGAGATCATCAAACACCAACTAAATGAACAATTTCTGAACATTAACTGCATCGTTTACATACAAAAGTCTCTGGCTTCTCAGTATAATGCAATAGTTCTTTGGTGGCAGGATCAGCAACCAACTCCCCAAACTGGTTCGCAGATTCAGCAGAAACCTACAGATGAACCAAAAAACGAAGAATAGAATGACGAAAAAACAAGAGGAAAGAGCATCAGCAATATGGAGCAGAGTTGTAACATTATTCAATAATTCAAGCCGTCTGTCAACAAACTAACCTTAATTACTAACATTGTACCCATCCCCTTATATCCTTTATGAGCCTCTGCAACGATGAACAACAAGAAGCAACAAAAGGAATTAATTTTTTGAAATCTTATCAATAATTCCACGCAATAAACTTCCAATTAACATACACGAATACGGAACACAAAACTCACCAAGCATGTCTGCAAGCGGAAAACTGCAGCAAACATCACAGTTCAGCAAAAAGATGTGCGACTGTTCCACAGACACAAAACACAACATTGAATTAAGCAAAATCTTATTACAAACATTGCAGTGGAAAACGGAAACAAACGAGAATTAAGCATAGAATTCGAACCGGGCTGTCTTCCATGATGATATCTCTGTAGTAATACAGTCCGCCGGCCGAGCCGTGCGGTTTGTCCTCTCTCAAGTACCTCACTGGCACTCTGAGCTCATTGGAAATGGAAGACACGTACAGTGCAAATTCTTTCTCTTCATAGAATCCAACCAAATAGATTTGTGCTAAATTGGGTATCTGTAGCATAAAATTAAGCATTCAAATCTTGCTACTTAGTTCGAAATCAAAATTCTTTAATGGGATTTTGGTTAAAGGTTGAAAAGCCAAAATCCAAAAGCTAAAAGCCAGAAGCCAAAAGCTAACCTTTTTACAAGCTGAAATGGGGTGGTACACCATAGCCTGCCCAGCCAATGGGAACAGCGGTTTCGGGGTGTTGAATGACAGAGGCCGAAACCTAGTCCCTGCCCAGAAAAGCAAACACAAAAAAATCACAAAAATTGAAGAACAAAAATTGAAGGAAAAGATTATGAATTGTACGAAGAGTCGTACCTTTGGTAGGCCCGCCCACCATGATTACAGCGACTACCTTCTCCTCCATGACTGAAACGGAAACCCTAGATCTTGAGCTGGGCTGGAGATCTCAGCTCCTCGGAGACAAGCTCAAAGTTTGAACCTTTGGAGGAGAAGAGAGTTCGTTACTAAACCACTTTTGCTGACTTTTGGCTTCTGTGGTGAGACCTGGAACTAATCAATATTTTGCTAAAATCGGATCCCAAGGGAGAATATTACTTGAACTCGACACCATCTACGACGTCGTTCGTCACTCTATCCACGCAGTTTTTTTAGTTCTCACTTAATCCTCTAAATTTTGATCGTCGGATCGAATGAATTTAATAAATTAATAACAAAAAATTAACATATCATGAATGTGTGGAAGATAAAAATAATTGTGTAAATAACATTATCCTTTGTCAAAAATATATCATTTCACTTGTTCAAATCTCTCTATCTATATAGATTAAAGTAGTTTGAAATGTACATAATCATTATCAACTATCTAGTGTATCAGTGATAATTCTGTTAGAAACTTAATTGGACTAAACTATCATTTAGTGAAGAATGAAATGTTTTGGGTAACAATACAATCTGATGCAAGTTGCACACATGGAAAAACTGCTTCCTATAAGCAAGGATATGTTGATAACATGCAGCAAATGATAACTGCTTATCCATTACTTGGTGAAAACTGCAGGCAACTGTAGGTAACTAATTTCCACGATAGATGGAAATTAAATGAAGCCTATGTCTATATAATCCAATTCCCTACTTGTGAAGAGTTGTTTTGAGATTCGAGGGTTCTATCACCTTTGGAACATAAGGTCTTAAACAAGTGGAAGAATTGCATTTTTCAACCAAAAACATGGCTGCCTCAGGTATCATGTTAACCTCTGTTAGTAATCTAGGAAACTTGTTAATATTATATACTCCTAGTTTTCCAACAAATTCTCGTTATAGAGTTAAAGTAAGGCAAATTGGACGTAGGCAAATTAGCTAAAACATAATCTCACACTCGAATTTCTCTCGTAATATAATTTATATCATAATATCCCTAGAACATATAAATTATATCAAAGTATCGCTCGAACATGAACTACAAACTACATTATATTGTATTGCCTGCTAAAAGAAGTTTACATACATCCAATCTACCCAACACAACTATTGCCCTTTGCATGTTTCTTGACTTGTCCAAACACAATTACATTCATTAGACACACAAACATGAGCTGCCACTTCTCATGACAAGAGGGAAAGATTCATGCCCATCTTCAAGCAGAAAAACATCTGGTATCATTAACTTTATAATGTTTGGCAAAATCTATTTCTCAGCTTCAAGATGTACACAAAGAAGTCCTGAACGATGGCGAAAGAGGAGCCGGAGAACCCATCTGGAACCGCCAACAGGGTCCTTAATCGCATCGAGTGCACAATAAATGGGCTACAATGTCACTGTCAATTCTGTCAAGGGATGAAAGTTGTCAAAAGTTCTAACGCTATGACCCAACGCATTCCAACTGCAATGTTATATCCTTGACTCTAGCTTCGTGTAGTACATGTGAGACCTGTGGCTTTGCAGCAGCCTTGTCAATTTCTGTCAAAACATGAAGATGGAGAGTCCCCACTACGTCTGAGTTTGTGGAACTCCATACGTGCATGCCAGTTTCGAATGCCAGAAATCCCCCTATCTTCTTAACCTCGATAACAGCTTTCTCAAATCCTGCTCGTGTGCTCTGGGAATTCTTTGGAGCAAGATTTCTGCCGAGTTTCTGAGTAATGGGATAACTGAAGATATAATCAAGACGGAAATGAATAACTAAAGTAATTAAGTAAATCTCAAAGCCAAAAGTAAGAAAGTTATGCTAATCTAAAAAATCATTTTGGCTAAAAAGACTTCTGCAAATCGGCCACTGAAATTCTCAAGCATTCCTCCTCCACTTCGGGAGTTCCCCCTAGGCTATTTGATTGACATAAGCATTCTTATCATATGATGATGATGGTAGCTAATCATGAAAGAGACTTTCACCACTTCACGTAACTTTAAAAGTTTGTTATCTTAAACATTCTTTCCCAACAGACTTGATTAAACCTATGCAAAAAAAGAGACCACAAACAAGATAAAGATACAATCTAAGCTAAGTCTATATATGATACGGTATGAACATACATAAAATAAGGTATTTTAGTCAAAATGGTCTTTTGAGATTGAAATAACTCTTCATTTTGGTCATTCCATCAATTATTTTGGTAATTCTGTAAAAAATGTTAAATAAGGACCAAAACGACAAAATACCTACAATTTTAATAAATAAAGGACAAAAATGATTAACGATGAACAAATTCATGATCTACTTCTATTAATTTTAAATCTCAATAACCAAATTCATTCTCAAGCATTCCTCCACTCTGAGAGTCCCGCTGGGCCATTTGATTGACGTAGCATTTTTATCATATGACGATGATGAACTAATCATGAAAGAGAAACTCACTACATTGGCCAGTAAATATAAATTTCACTACTTCACGTCTTTAAAAGTTGATATTATCTTAAACATTCTTTCCCAACTTAGACTTCATTAAACCTATGCGAAAAAAAGAAACCACAAACAAGTTAAAGATTTAATCTAAGCTAAGTCTATATATGATATGGTACGAACATATATATATATAAAAGGTATTTTAGTCAAAATGGTCTTTTGAGATTGAAATAACTCTTCATATTGGTCCCTCCATCAATCATTCTAGTAATTCTGTGAAAAATGTTAAATAAGGACCAAAACGACAAAATACCCACAATTTTAATAAATAAAGGACGAAAATGATTGACAATGGACAAATTCATGAACTACTTCTCTCGATTTAAAATCTCAAGAATCAACGTGAGAAGTTATATATGTCCATTTCATGGACCATTTTGACTAAAAAAACCTATAATAAGGTATCATTTTAGAAGTGATTTTAGAATGACTGATAGTACTTTTGATTAAGTGCTTTTTGAAATTAATCTTTAGTAAAAAATAAAAAATGTAAGTGAATTTTGAAAAAAAAAAAAACACTTAAAATGCTTCCTGCAAGAAACACATCACTGGTACTTCATGAAGAAAGCAGTTCAAATTCTTTTGGAATCCAAAAAAATTTCACTAAAAACATTTTCAATCATTTGAAAAACACTTCTAAATAAGTACTAAATATTTACATATATGTGGTGTTTAAGTGAAACAAACTAAACATCATGAGAGTGAGTCTTTTGTAATTAGCACAACTGCAGAGATCAACTTCATCTACCATCCGTTGGTTACACTTTCGTGCATCAACAATATAAATTAATTTATTAATTTATAAATAATAGTCCCTTTTGTTACATTCAAAGGTGTAATTAACCGCGCTGTACAAAAATTCCATACCTATAAATACAGCATAACATGTGGATTGTGTTTATGTAAATCGGAAGAATATCCAAGAATGCGTCCGCACTCATGTCTCGATATTGCTTTGCATACGTGTGTCAAAGAATTTAAGATTACAAAACGACAGTTCTTTTGCCTCCATTGTTGTCCCTGTCCCTGTCGACCCTCTTGTAAAGATTATCATGTGTAGCTAGCTCAACCATGCACAACTCAAAAGTAGGGTACCACTAAAAGGCACTCGTGTCTTGAGAAAATATAATATCATATAAATTTTATAAGAACTGAGAACACAAGTCACATAATGTATTATTCAATGTGTTATAATAAAGATAAACGATATAACTGATATATCTCACTTCTAAACTTTATTAATAAAATAAAAATATATATATTATAATTTAAGTGAAATACTAACGTCACATGACTGTACTTTCTTAGGAACGACGGTTTTGTTTTGTTTTTATCTCTCAGAAATCTTTCACTACAAATCGCTAGTCGTTTCATAAAGAAATCGAGTGCTTTCCATCGCTGCAAGCCACCCAAATGAAAAGTTTAAAACTACTCCTCGAAGCACTGAAGAACATTCATGCTCCCTCCAACTGTCCCTTCCAGACTACATATCTTCAGCTAGTTATCTTTTACCTAATTTTTTAATTTAGATTTCTTAGTTTAATTCCTAGCTGAAACTTATACGTAGCAGCCATCCTCGTCAGCCACCACAGCATGTATATACACAACAATTGTATATAGAAAAGAAGTGCGGGTGCATGCATGCTTGTCTGCAGTTGTGTGTGTAAACTGTGTGTCTGCGTAAGTCACTTGTGTGTCCCTGTGTGTCATCTGCATGCTTTGCCCTTCACAAGTAACGCATGCTGATGAATCTCTCTTTTAGTTCAATTCTCAAACGAAACGCATCCAAAAATCAAACGCACTCAAAACTTTATTGCTTCTGTTGCCCTAATTGTGTGGATTTTTCGACACAAAAAGATGAACAAATTGTAACAGACTGAAAGGAGAGAACCGACCGGTGTGCATATCATTATTAATGGAGATTGGACACTCAGTCAAAAGAGTTTTCTGCGTAGGATAATGAGGCTGCTTTCTGATCACCATGGAATCTTATTTTGTGGTAGTAGTAGCTAGTAGCACTATTGAGGATCCGGATCCTCATTGTGAGGATTCTGGAGATCTTTTAATTGTGTTTGTTTATTGTATATCGTGTAACTAGTTTTTATCTAGTACTATTAATATTCTATTTTAAATAAAAAAATTTACAATGATTTCTGATCGAACGATGTATTATAAACGAATACGATTGAAAGATTCTCAGAGTTCTCCCACAAAGGATTCGGAGATGATCATCATTCATCTTTTAGTACTGAATCTTAATTACATGGAAATTACGTGCACAAGTGTGGCACATGCATGTTATTGTTTGTGAAATGTTTACATCAAATCATTAGTTTTGATGCAAAATAAATATGATATGCCAAATTATCTGACAATATATAAGATGTTTATGTGATCATTTTGAATATACGAGCATTGTTCCCTATGTTAGTTTTATTTACTTTTCATTCCCCGTACGAGAAATGAAAAGTAAATAAAACTAATTTAAAAATGATTGTTTCTTTTATTATCTTTATGTTGTGTTTATAATTATAAAATTCTATTTTGATGACGATGTTTTTCATTTTATTTGTTTAATAAAATACTTATTACCTTAAAAAACAATAATCACAGCGAAAATTCTAAAAATTAAGGAACCTATTCTAACATATCTTTGATGTATGGTTGGCAAGAAAACATTAATGGTTAAGCTACTTTTAGGGTTTAATTGCATGAAAGTGTATCCCATTTATTTATCATCCAACTCTGTATGGTTTATATAATTACTAGTTGGAACTTAATTGGAATAACCTTGGGAATCTTCCATGTATATCACATGATTCGCATCACATGGAACACAAAGTAGGAGGAAAGGGATCTTCTCCCTTTCATCAAATCCACCAATCTGAGCTCTTGAAATTTGATCCAACGGTTAAAAATAGAGGCCCCTTTAAAAGTTATAATAATTTTAGACTTTGGATCAAATTTTAAAAGTTCAAATTGGTGGATTTAGTAAATTTTGTGAAAGGAATTCGGAGAGGATCCCTTTTTTGGAACTGGCCCATCCGAACTTGGAGTTGGCGCCTACATAACTGGTTGTTTGCTTACCAAGTAATCCTGGCAAGCTCCTCCCCGGATCCCTTTCCTAGGGCTGGCGCATCCTACGTGTCAAACGCTCCACTTGTTCCATCATTATGTGGCACATATATCAGTAGGATATCAAACAGTGAACGTTAGAGACTGACGTATGGGGCTTATTTTGTTGCATCAGATCATTGCCTTCTTGGTCACGTCGCCATGAAGACACCATGCCCAAAACTGAAAAAATAAAATAAAGTGGAATCCATTTAACTTTAATTGATAGCTCTTTCCATTGCCTAATAAATTTGTGCGAGCATTGTTGGAGAGCTTACCATTATATATACAAAACATTTTCACAAGTGTTTGGGAAGGAAGGAAATATATTGCCAATGATGATGAAGTTTGCATTATTGCTGGTTGGTGGGAATATGAAAACAACAGTAGCAGCACAGTAATCTCCAAATGATGACAGATTATAGGAGCGCTAAAGCCGAGTTCCGTGGCTATAGCTCAATTTTCTAGTAGCTTCGCATCACATCGAAGCAGAGGTTATATGTTAAAGGGATCATTAGCAGTCATCCTTTGATATAATTTTGGAACATCATGGCTGGATCAGGAGGAAAAAGACTCGGCACCTCTTGCTTTCTTCTGATAGGTAATTAATCATACTCTCTTCATGATATGAGTTTTACCGGCCAGATGGGTTAATTTTTGTCTGTTTATTTATAATTATAGTGATTTCTGGGATGGAGAGATTTGCATACAAAGGAGTGGCATCGAATCTAGTGACTTATTTAACCGATGTGGTGAAAATGAGCAACTCGGCAGCAGCCAAGACGGTAAACAGTTGGTGTGGGTTCACATCCATGCTCCCACTCTTAGTTGCACCCCTTGTCGACTCTTACTGGGATAGATATCCCACTATCTTGGTCTCTTCTTTCCTCTATGTTGCAGTAAGTACCCATTCACTTTGTTTCCTCCCTTCCTTTCCTTTGTTTTTGACAAAGGGACATCTCTAACTAGTTGAAAGTGAGATTCGAATTCTAGCGCAAGGTTTGCACGCTGCAATGGTCAACTAACCTAACCCACATATGCACTTACTCGATCTTCTTTGACTCTTACTTAATATCAATGACTATCTATAAAATAGTTTTAGCGAATTTAGGCCAATTATCTTGATCATAGGATATCACTGAATAAATAGGAATTTATATAGTTAAAAGTATCTTATTGAACAGAAATTCCTTTTTTGCTAAAAGTTTAAAAGCTCAGCACAAATAATGTTTTTTTTTTTGGAATTTTTTTGGAATTTTTTTATCAAGATGTCGCTGATGATAGATTTAAAATGGGGTATGAGTCATCTGCACTAATCTTCTTTCCATTAGAATATAGTGGAGATTTTTAGAAATGCCTCTTAATTTATTGTTGAAGAATATAAGGTCATAACAAGTGGGTTTACTGTTAAAAAAAAAGCAAGTAGATTTACTACTAATTGCACAGAGATATTTTACAAATAAAACCTCCCAACTACAACTACCGTTTATTACCTTTTTCTGATTTGGCCTCTCGACTTTCAATTTGGTCACGATAAATTTTTGCTCTAAATGTGTAGGAAAGGTGCAACTATAAGCTCACATATACATGGTTTTGTTTTTAGGGGCTTGTGGCATTGACATCAACGGCATTCACCCGGGCAACACCTGCTGCAAACAAAGCAAGTTCCAATTCATCATTTCTGTTTTGCTCTCTGTACTTGATTTCTCTAGGTCAAGGTGGATACAACCCATCGCTGCAAGCATTTGGAGCAGACCAACTGGACGGTGAAGAGGAACTTCCTAGCAGCAAAGACGACCAAAAATCAAGCAAAAAGACAATGTTTTTTCAGTGGTGGTATTTTGGTGTTTGCAGTGGCAGCCTCATGGGTGTCACTCTCATGTCCTACATTCAAGACACTTTCGGTTGGATTATAGGTTTCGCCATCCCCATGATATCGATGGTTATATCGGTCGTGGTGTTTATGTGTGGAAGCCGAATCTATACATACAGAGAGAATGATCAGGCAATGGATTATAAGCCTATTTTCAACGTAGTTCAAGTCATCAAGGCAACTGCATTAAGGTTAATGAAATGCAGAATCATATTACCGAATGAAACTAATGTTACCGAGCTAGAGTAAGTTAACTAATTTCTAACATGGTACTTCTTTTTGTGGTTTTAATGGTCAAGTTTACAATAATGATTTTCCCACTCTCTTTTTCTCCCCTGCACTCCTCCCTTACCTGTTGCGTTGAATAAACAAAGGAGAATGAAGGGACATATATAAATCGACGACTGCCAAAAGGAGAAAATGAGAGTGTGGATCGAAAATTTTCCCTTAGAATTAAGGGAACTTTAACGAAAAGTTATCGGTACTGTTCACTTTAACGAAAATGCACATTTTTACACTAAAAAGTCAATCATCATACTATTCACTTTGCCCTTTATTCTGTCATTATCGTTAAAACTTAAAATTTTCAAGTCATTTTCATTAGTTTTCCTTAGAATTAATGTACATGAATCCTGATGCTAATGATATATTCTTTGGCTGGTTTTATACCATGTAGGCTTCAAGAGACACCGCTTTTCTGTCAAAATAATAGCAGCACAGCAAGCTTGGTTGGGAATCCCAAAAGTGGCTTCTACGTGCTTGAAAATGCAAAAGTGCTTTTGAGGCTTCTGCCAATATGGATTATGCTTTTGATGTTTGCAGTGATTTTCCAACAGCCTCCAACATTTTTCACCAAACAAGGCATGACGATGAAGAGGAACATTGGAAGCAACTTCAAGGTTCCACCAGCAACTCTTCAAAGCGCTATCACACTTTCCATAATCCTCCTGATGCCTCTATATGACAAAATAATGATCCCGATTACGCGTCTGGTTACGTCTAATGAAAAGGGTATTAGCGTGATGCAACGGATGGGGATCGGAATGTTCGTTTCGGTCATAGCAATGGTCATCGCAGCGGTTGTGGAAACAAAAAGGCTCAAGATCAGCAGAGAAATGGAAATGCTGGGATCTCAACCCGAAACTGTACCGTTTAGCATCTTTTGGCTGCTTCCACAGTACATTCTTCTAGGCATTTCAGACATTTTCACCGTTGTTGGAATACAAGAGTTCTTTTACTCTGAAGTCCCCAGAAGAATGAGAACAATGGCCTTTGCATTGTACACTAGTGTTTTTGGGGTGGGAAGTTACCTGAGTACCCTTTTGATTGCAACGGTTGAGGCAGTTACAAGCTCAGGAGGAAGGCAGAGCTGGTTCTCCGATGACATGAATGAAGCTAGACTTGATAAATACTACTGGTTTTTGGCCTCACTAAGTGCATTGAGCTTTGTGTTTTATGTGATTTTGTCTAGGTGTTACACAAGTATTAAGGATTTGGACTTGGAAAATGAAGTCTGTAAATAAAGCTCTTTGTAATTTTGTCCAACATATACATACTGGTACAACTTTTATTTGTTTATTATTTTATAACTTCTAGGTACGGTTTATATGGTTGGAGAATCTTAATTATCCCCAGTTATATGGTCAACGGAGAATTTTTACCGGTTATAAGACAGATTTTTTCGTACAATAGGTACATTTATTCGATATAGGAAACTGGAAAATCACGGCTTTTGACGAACTTACTAATAAGTGAACTTGGTGATCATCATCGATCCAGTGTTGTATAGAGCCTTGATTCCGCTTAATATCATCCCTAGTCAACCTCCGGCGTGTGAAGCCGGAGCTAATAGTGGGAAGCATTACAGCCCCTCGAACAGAACTATGCCCAAGCCCAAGCAGATGCCCAATTTCATGCCAAGCCACAGACAACAAGTCATAAGCACCCGTCACAACATCCACAGACGTATGATCATTACGCTTCAATCGGGTTATTTTATTCCACCTCTTAAAAAGAAAAGAATTTAAATCAAAATACTTAATAGCATGGCGATGAATGGGCCAAGACTCCACCACGGCTATTAAATGGGTATCCATCTCCATGAGCACGTCTGTGAAAAATCACCGTTAGATCTGGATTCCTAGTGCTTGAGATCAGGCGGAAGCTGAACTGCGTGCTAGCAGCCCATGTAGGATATTCAGTAAGTTTGGTACTCTCCACTGAGTTCCCAAGTATTGTCCGATTAGAAATTGTAACTAATTGTGGTTAAAGCTGTTGGTTTGTTGCTTAGCATATAAGTATGTTCATAGTTAGTATAAATGAATCCGGATCCTCTTTGTGAGAATTCCGAAGATTCGTGAATCGTGTCCGTGGTCATAAATTATTTTAAATATTTTTATTTAAAATTAAATACAAACAGTACCTGACAAAAACTGACCGCATGAAGTACGATGAATAGACACAACTTACGGATCCCCAGGATCTCACCAAAATGATCCGGAGAGGATCATGTTGGGGTATAAATAGGGTTCTTATAAAGCAGCATGCGTCAGTTGTAAAGTTGTCATTTGTGTAATAAAGAGTTACTTTTACAGTGCAATTGAGGAAGACGTAGAGAGGGTCTTAACACTGAGTTCAGTAAGGTTGCACCTTATTTGCATTTTCTTGGAGTCGGACACACTTGCATAAGGGTACATTCGATTTCTTGGAGTCGGGCATGCTTGCACAAGGCGCAAATTTGCGTCCGTAGATCCATAGAGTCCTCATTCTGCGAGTAACAGACTCCCGAGCCCAACTATGTTCACGCTACTCCGATTACAGCGCAGAGTATGAAAGAAGTCTTCAAGAAAATCCAGGCAATTGAAGAAAATCAATCTACAATGTGGAGTTCCTAAGGTCCTTCTGAATCGGCAATTCGGAAACTTGTTGGCTAAGCATGAAAGTTACATATTGAACCTGCTCCTATGCAATCTTCCAGCTTAAGGCACCCAAATACATAAAATTCCTATGCGTCCTCCGTATGAAGAACCTGCTTACAAATAGATTTAGGACATCAACATTCAAGTGTAAAAGAAGAAGGAAACTACCCGTCCTGAATCCTAATATGTCCGACTCCAAGAGAATATAAATAAGATGCAACTGAACTCAGCAGCCGAACTGAGTTACATGAGTAAAAGATTTACAAACTGATGAACATTAACACGGTTAATAAAACACCAGACATCAATTTACTTTCACGATCGCAGTTTAGAAAAGATTTAAGAAACTTAATGCGATTTAAGATCAAAGATTGAAGAACTACTACATCATTTTCCAAATCCTTACTCATTCTCCATATAAGCTGATGAGCTTATCCATAAAGAATATCTAGCTATAATAAAGTTACAAAGAACTACTTACTATCAGAATGTCATCCGTATGCCAACAAGGATAATCAAGTTCAGGAAGTCGGTTGAAACTGAATGCATAAATGCAGCATGAAAAATGGAGTAGTACGTTCAGCATATCAAAATTCGGTAAGATATACCTCACTTATGAGAACCATAACCGTTCACGCCCAATTCCACTTCGCCGGCTTTCTGCATTGCCAAATTCCCCTCCTCTTTAATCTCATCATCCTCATCAGAATCCAAAGTAAACCGGCTTTGATTATCAAACTGATGTACTTCTGTGCCAAGCGGCTTATAGTGAGAAACATCAACGCGAACTCCGCCACTCTTCCTACTGATAATCGAGTACACTCCCACAACCATAACCACCGTAAAAGCAAGATGGCAGTTAAATTGAAGCGTGACGATGGCTCTAGCCCTGTGATACTCAGGGTGCCCCTTACATTTCACTGTGTAATTCCCTCTACTCTTTTCGTGCAACGAGCATCCGTGCGCCATGAAGCCGGTGTACAAAGAAATACCCATTTGCAGAAACCACATTCCTTGCAGAACCAGCCCAACCCCACGAGCCAATTTCGGATAATTCGATTTGGGGTTGTTGAATTCAAGCATTGTAGAAAATATACACACAGCAATAGGCACAAGCAACAGATCAAAGTACCGATTTTCGATTCCGAAAGTGTCTTTTCTTTGCAGGTAAAACATTAAAAACTCTTCAACGAATGCGAAAAGACCGACCAAACTAAGCAACGAACAAGGTAAAGCTGAATTCGTGAATTTTACCAGAAGACCCGTAATCGCGTACAGCAAGAACAGCGATGCGACCGCCAGGACTTGCAACTGCATAGCTGACCCGACTCCGTCGGCTGAGTCGAGCGCATCAAAGAAAGAAACCAAAGAGTTCAAGATGAACAGCAACGAAATAACGGCGGCGGCGAGGTAATAAATCGACGATGATCGAGACTGCGTTTTCGCTTTAGACTGCGGCGGCGGGGGACGAATCGGAGCTTGAGGCGGCGACGGCGGAGATGAATCCGAATCTGAATCTGCGTTTGGTTTTTGGATTGAGGAAGAAATGGCCTCGTATGCGCCCATCAAAATCAGGCCGCCGCCTGCGGCGGCGAAGGTGAGAAAACCCATGTGCTTGATCTTCGGATTGGTGTTTCTTTTGTCCTCTCAGAAGAGAGTTGTCGAGGGGCTCCAATTCCAATGCAGGGTTCGAATTTCTGAGACGGTCGGGTGGTTGATGTTGCTGGCGTGCGCCGACATGTCGGACTCTTTCGGAATTGTCTAATCCATGATGATGTTTCCGCTGACAATTGCAGGAGGAGTCTGACTTTTCGGTTGCATTATTTGCAGTTCGGAATGAGCTCGCTGCTACCGCGAATTTGCGAACTTGCCGGGTGGGCTTCCGCTAGTCCAACTGTTTTGTGGGGAAGCCCAATTGTGAAGCCCAACTTTTATGGGCTTCTTGAGTTGATATTTTTTAGCCCATCATATAAACTTAACAAATGTTGCAAGGTAGATAAACACGAGTTCGTGTCCATGAATAAACACTCAGAACCCAAGTATTATCCTTTTCGTTTTGTATATTTGTGCATCTATACTTTATGGTCGTGGGTATTGTGACTAGTGACTTGTGAGTGTTGTGTAAGATCCAAATGGACAATTCATGTGAATTCTCCAAAAAAAAAAAAAGAGTGAACAGAAAAAGGGAAAAAAAAGCCAGGGGAGAAAAAACGTGGGCCGAATAACGTAGATGGAGGCGTTATTCAAAATTAAAGAGAGAATATGGACAGGAACACAACTATATATATGAAGTATCATAATTAAGCTGCAATGAAGTGCATGCAACTTTCTTTTTAATTTTAATTTCAACTTCTTATTATTCATTTTCTACAAGATTTTTTAGACATCTCATATTCTTAATAAAGTTGAAGATTTATTTCTCTGCAAAGGATTGTAAACATCATGTCAATTAATAAAAGTATTTTTCATTGACTAATGTACCAACCATTTATCACATCATGTGTGGTATAAATATGTGGTATTCCCAACACTATTCGATATTATATTAAGAAAGTAATGCAGGCACTTGGCATACTCCTTTTTATCATCTACGCACTTCTTCCAAAAGTCAGAGATACACTAAAGGGTGCAAAGAGACAAAACAGTGTGTGAAAATCACTTCCAATTTATTATAGAAAATCCATTTGCATTGATTATCATTCTTTAGGAAATTAATAAATTTTAAACAAAATAGAAAAGAAAAAAAAAAAAAAAAAAGAAGAGAAATGTGCGGTTACATCCATTACTAGAATGCTATCTACCTTCTCTATTTGCCTTTCAATATTTATCTTTCACACTCATCACTTTACACTTGCATTTCACTAACAAATTAAATTACATAATTCATGATTTTAAGGTGAAAATTTTGAATTTATGATTTTAACTCATTAATTATGGAGTTTAATTTGTTAATAAAATACACGTGTCAAATGATGAGTGAGAAAGACAAATGAGGAAGGTAAATAGCGATCCATTATCCCTTATGCTACCCCCGCTTGCAGAGGATAGAACCTCCTCCTCGCATGCTCACAACCGGTAATTCGGGGGTCAGCCCATAAGATTTCGAGTATAAAAAGCACGTTCCCGTATAGTATCATGCTCATCTCCTTCTTTCCCTCTCTCTTTCTACACAAAAAACCATGACAGAAAACAGACAGAGTCCGATGACGACGACGAAGAAGATCAAAGGGCTTGTCCACTTCGTTTTCGCAATCTACCTGGTTTCTGTGCTGTCGGATGTCCAAGTGCCCGTGCACGGGCGAGTTCTCTTGCAGAAGAAACCCGACCCGGAGAATGCTGCTGCCAGTGCTCGTTGGTTGGTCTCCCAGAATATTTGGGGCGTCTTGGAGTAATGATCTCTTTACTATCTTCTCGTATTTTGGTGTTGTTTCTGTTGGTTTTTACTTTACCGTCGTGCGTTAATTTGGGGCCGCTCAGTTTTGATGGTACAGAGGCTTTTGGCCTACAACGCATCGATACATGATACGACACAATACGACATGGATCAGATGCATAAAATTAACAAGAAGAAATGATATATGACCACAAGAGAATACGACATCGAGATACGATACGACATGGCACATGATACGAGGGGATACCATCGTGTCCATACATTACTGTGCTTTGAAAAAAAATGTTTCTGCTGTATTGTGAGAAAGCAGCAGAGTGTTTTGTAAATTTTTTTGTAAAAGTGTTTTTGAAAAGAAAAGAAAAAAAAAACAGTATTATAGTGTTTGGTAAACTTTTATGTAAAACAGATGTGAAAAAAAGCTAGTTTTTCAAAGCTGGGTTTTACAGCTTCTTGTTTTTTGCTTTTTTCACCCAAAACTGTGAAAAAAAAGCTAAAGCTGAATGTTTACCAAACAGAAAAACAGTTCCTAGCTTTTTTTTATACCAACTTTTTTCATAATCACGTCAGTACCAGACCAAGCCTAAGTTTGCTGATTAGAGAACCAAATTTGTGTGATTTTAATTTGGTTTCTTATTGGTCAAATTGGAGATCTGATTTCGAACCTTGTGTGTTGTGATGAAATTCAAACATGTGTTGGGTGCTCTAGAATCTTGCTTGTAAATTGGTGTTAGAAAGCACTTTTAGCGACGTTTGCCATTAAAATTTAAAAGTGCTTTTGATTATGGAAGCACTTGTTGGTGTCATTTGTAATTACTTTTGTAAGAAGTACTTCAGCTCGTAAGTGTTTATGCTAGAAGTGTTTTCATTAGAAAGTAGTTGATATTTGTGTTTGGAAGTTAGATATTTCATGCTTACTTGTGTTTTTTTTTTTTTTTTTTCCGTTCACAGTACTATCTCAAGCGATTTGGGAGGAGCACCCTTCGGGTAAGATTTCTTATTTCTTCTTGTTATATATATTATCGCGTTAGGTATACTACTAAATGCTAGTATTTGAGTCAAGTGTTCCTCACGAGTACAAGTTTAGGCAAAAGCGAAATATTTTGCAGGGTTCGATCGAGGCCAGACATACACTCCTAGGCCTCAGTCGATAGAGAGAATTGACTTGTGTAGGACTATTCACTGTATTAAAAGCATTTTAAAAGAAGAAATGAATGACAAATCCTTATTTTCTCGGATAAAATAATTTTGAAAATACGATGCAGGAATGTGGTTTCATTTAGCGACGGAGAACCTGGAAAAGGCAGTGGTATCCCTTACTTCTACTTGACAACTCTTGATCCGACTGCAAGAAAGGCACTGAAAGATCCAAGAGTTTCGTTGACAATTAGTGAACATCCTATCGGAACCTGTGGCAAGACAGACCCAGAAAATCCCACTTGTGCAAAGCTTACACTCAACGGGAAGGTGTGCCGCAACAGAAAATTTATTTGTTATCCTTACTATCCTTGAGAAGAAGGAGAAATCGCATTGATTTTGGCTAACCTGGAATGCATGATATTTTTTTCAGCTGAGGCTTGCGGATCCTAAAGAATTAGAATTTGCTAAAAGGGCCTTGTTCACGAAGCATCCGGAGATGAAGGGTAAACACAAATATAGTGTTTGAATTTCTCCAATACCGGTTGATATTCTGTTAAAAGGGTGACTCTAACCCAAAAAGACTTCTTACTCTACAAGAGTCAAGGGAACGTTTATCGTATACAGTTTTACTCTTGCTTTGCAAAGAGGTTATTTCCACGATTCGAACTTGTGATATTTCAGTCACAAAAAACCTTTCTGTTGTGCTAAGGCTCGCCCTTTACCCCACATCGGAGAAACTATTTAATTTTGGCTAAAATTGACAAGTTTCATCAATATTTCTGACATATTAGTTGAATATCGACAAACTGTCATATGTCATTTTCCAAAGGAAACCGATATCGTTATCAATAATGATATATCTATCGATATTTCCATCAATTTATATATCGATATTTCCACCAATACCGATATTATAAACATTGCACTCTAGTACACCACTTGTGGTCCCTATTTTGTAATGGATAATGTTAGGGAGACTAAATTTGTAAACAAAATTTTGAAAACTAAAAGACATGAAAGTTGATGATTGGTTTATTACTTTAACACTTATTCCTATTGATAAATTATGTCTCCGCATTTAGTCTCTTAGCATTACCTTTTTGTAATTTCAGCTTTTCGTTTCATCTTCTGCTCAACTAACAGAGTGATTTTTGTTTAATTTTGCTGCATGGTTAACAGACTGGCCCAAGACTCACAACTTCCAGTTCTTCAAATTAGACATCGAGAACATCTTTCTGATCAACTGGTTCGGCGGTCCAAAACCTCTCACGGTCGATCAGTACCTTCATCCAAAAAAATAAATGTAGCCTCATGTTGTCATATCTGAATCAATAAATTTACTTTCTTGTCTTCAAGTGCTTAATTCAAAAGATTCTGTTTGTTTTTCGACTTCCTGAAAACGAATCTCCGCCATCTACAGCACAGAGAACGCCTTGACTCGGGGATTACTCGTGCTCAAACTGTGATTCGTCTTGCTTGTTTATGAGCTGGCTGGATCTGCATTTGGATTGTGCATAAGAATTCTGTTGTGTATTACAGGAGACAATTATAATGGCATATAAAATCCATATAATTTCTGAGGCTACATTCAAACTCGAATGCACGAGGAGAAAGTATTCTTGCTCTAACGAATGTGGCTAAGTCCACGTTTGCCAATACATGAGTATATCAAGATATAAAAAATCTAAGCAGATGGCGGTTTACTGCAGTGCGGAAAATCTAAGCAGATGCCTATGCACTCTGGCGGAAAACTTAAAACACTGAATTAACGACGAGTGATCTAATTCCATCATTTAAAATATCAAGTTAAGTACTTTAACATACAAAGTCATCTCCTCTGAAACCTGATGATAATGGTGCTTTTGGTTGGAAACATGTTATAAAGTATACACCTAGTTTCACTGCCATGGAATCCATTATGTCAAGGATCTTGGCTCAATCTAGACTTGTTTATTTTTGTGGAAAAAACTACTGACATATTAATTTGTGTAATTACTTTCTGTTTTGAGCTTTCCCCAATCTCAAATCTACTTCAACTGATTCCTCTTTCTTCGTTTCCTGCTTTGACAAGCAGTCCTTGAAACTTCATGTTTTAAGGCTTAACGAAAACATAGATGAATTGAAGCTTCAGTTGGTGAGTTGTCCCGGGTTTCAAAAATCTATGTCATTCCCATGAATTTGAATGATGAAATAGTTCCTGTGACGAACGATCAATTACACTCAACAAGTTAATGTGTCTAGTTTCTCTCTGACCTGTGACGTGGATGAACCTGGAAAAGTTGAGCCAGGATCTTCAAATGAATCAATTACAAATGAAGAGGATGAAACTGGTACAGTCGAGACAGGATCTTCGAATGAATCAGTTACATATGAAAGACATGCAAATTCGCTCAAGGATATAAATGGAGAAGTTGAAGACTTCCTAACGACATCATGTGCCGAAGATGTTATGGTAGTATCTTCTGCAGCTTCAGGAGCGATATCTGAAATAGTGTACATTGTATTTGTCAAGGCTAGAGACAAACAAGAAGTTCATGTGACTCCCGTGAAATTGGAAGATGAAACTGTTGGAATCCCACATGGTGGGTGCAAAAAGAAAATAATAGGTTTAAATATGATTAGCTCACTCTAACTAATATCGAGATTTTTTATAATAAAACCTTATACTTGATGGGTGGTAAAGTTGAGGATAGTATCGATGTCGTTAGAATGGAACCCCACAGGCTCGCCGATCCAAAATCCAAGAGAAACGGGCACTGTAGTAAATGGTCAGTTAGCCATACAACAGGATATGGCGATTACATTTTCTTCCATCTGTGGTGAGAGTATCTTCAAATGAACCAGTTATAAGAAATGAAACGGTTGCAAATTTGTTCGATGATCATGGAGAAAAGGGAGTCCTCGTTTCTATATCTGTCTTGGTAATAACAGTTACCATGAAGTTCTATGCATGTTTATATTCTAGATCCTTTATGGAAACTTCTTATGTGGTCCGATATATATTGTTCAGCGAAATGGTCCGGGCAGTTCAGCAACTGCTGGCAAACAGCGTTGCATTTGTGGCAATAGTAAGAAAGAATTTTAATGAGAGGCCCTCGAGAGCAGTGCATCTTTCCAACAATTAGAGGCTTCTTCTGCAAAACAAGCCCTCAAGATGAAAAATCGCCCTGTGATTACAGTCGGTAATTTTATATCCAAATTAAGTTTTCCGGTTTGCCTCTTCTTGTTCATCTACCATTATGCTAAAACGGTTGTTTATATAGTTGGTAAGAAACTTTAAGTACTTAGCTTCTGTTATCACCTTTTAGGAAGGAACAATATTGTAGCTGGTGTTGCTAAGACAATCAAGCAGCACTTTGAGAAGCACCCTCTTGCCATAGTGAACGTCAAAGGCATAGCAAAAGGAACTTCGACACGGGAAGTGGTTTTCAAACTCGAGGTCTGCACGCCCAAGTTCCTTTTATTTCTCTTATCGCCTCCTTTTTATTTTTTCTTACATTATAAATTGGTTGATCTCTCTCTTTCTGTCTCTCTTATAGCAAGCAACAGGTGCAGTGTTAGTCTCCCACGAGCCTAGCAAAGTTGTACTTTACAGGGGTTGGGGCGCAGGAGATGATCCCGGCCTTAATGATAGGAACGGAATTAACACAGGGAAAAAAGGCTTCTTCTCAGGGTGTTGTGTCTCCCGAACTCCTGGCGGCAATAAGACTTGAGTGCGGATTCAAGTTTCGTGAAGACAAAGATGCGGCTTCTTAGGTTGGAATCTTAGCTTGTGCCAGAATGTACCATTGGTATCATCTATCCCTTGATCATTGCCTATGGTAGTATGCGTGCACGTAGACTCACTGTGTACATAGCAGTCACTGAAGCCCATGATCGTCGACGAGTGTGAGGTTTGGTATTTCAAATTCCAGGAATTGAGATTATTACTTTGGAATGGTGAACAACCTCTGTACATAGATTGATTTATTGCTGCAAGAAGAAATGCACGCACATCGTCGACACCTGACATCCAGTGGCCGAAGTTTTACGTTGCAAGTCCTGAGAGCTGGTTGAGTTGAGGTTCAGAAACAATAACATGTGTTGATCAGAACGGGTCATGTAATGGTAAAGTCGTTTTATGAATGAGAAACCAACATTTTCCCTTTAGGTATTGTCCAACCAAAACTCCTCATTTTGAGAACATGCATAAGCAGGCGAAAGAGATCCTCTCCGAATCTCTCCTACTAAAGTCACCAAGTCTACTCATCCAGAAATTTGAAATTTAATTCAACAATTACAAACAGAGGATCTCTTAAAAAGTTATAATAATTTTAGTCTTTGGATCAAATTTCAAGGATCTAGATGAATAGACTTGATGATTTTGATGAAAAAATCTGGAACGATCTCTTTCTTAAACAGGATATTAATGTGATAGTGTTTCCAACCTATGTTGTCGTATTGAAAGTTAAAAAAATTTAATTTTCCATCGTTATCTCGAGATGTTACTCGTTTCATATAAATCTTTCGCCCGTTTAAGTCTTTTTCCTTTTTCCACTTGTGTGGAAGTGGAACGAACCCACGATGCTTTATTTGGAGAATGACATGACACTACAGGCCGCACCAGCCATTGCCTAGAAGCATGCGTTTTGTTTCTCCGTCGATATCGAAGAAATAATGTTAAGGTCTGTGAAAGTGGATTACGGATGTGTTTGGATGTTTAAGCTTTAAGTAATGATGGGTAACCTGACATTATCGAGCCAGTCCAAATGTTCAATGATGAATCAATATTAGTTTTTATGGTTTAAAAACCTGAATCAACTTTTGCGTTTTGACATTTGGATAGCCTAATATGGAATTGAATCCTCTTCTTAGCGAGAGATCAGGATCTTCCTCTTGATCTACTAACTCGAATTGTTAAATTTTGATCCAACGATTATAATTGTTATAATTTTTAGAGAGACTTCTTGTTCGTAACCGTTGAATCAAAATCTAACGGTCCATGTTAGTAGGTCAGGAGGATCTTGATCTTCTGCTCATGAGAGGATCCAATTCTGCCTAATATAACTTCTAGACACTGTTATAAAAATCTTCGTTTAGCAACTCATAAGCATTAGATGGCTAACCACTGTTCGAATTAATTGATATTTAAAAATTAAGAAATAACACTTAGACCTCCCAAGCATCCATCTAATCTGCAAGACCCGGCTAGGTGAGACGACATTTACAAAGTTGGCTGAGAAACCATCCATTGTACCAAAGAAAACAATACAAACTCTCTTTTTAATAGTTATTTTGTTTTTAATTTTAGTTTTATTTTATTAAAAAATTAAAATACATTTTTTAATCAAACGATAAATTTTGTTACATTAGATATTAGACTAATCACATGATTCGTTAATTATATTTAATTTAAAAAAGAAACTAAAAACGAAAAATTACAAACTATCATTTTTCGTTTTTAGAATTTGTCTTTTAATTTTTATTTATTTATTAATTAAACTGAAAGTAATTTTAAACAAAATTTTTAATTTTAAGTTTTTTAAAATATTAAAAATTAAAAGGGTTATCAAATAGTTCAATAATGCATATAGTGGCTTAAAAATAAAGAGATGAAAATGAGGATTATGGTTGACACGTACGCACCTTGGTTTCAGATGAAAAGTAGCTAGGGTTTGGCCTGATCAATGGATGTCATCATCACTCGCACACAATCTCTCTCTATCTACCCTCTAATATGTGTCAGATCAGAGAGAGAGAGAGGCACAAAAAACCTAGACATTTCTTTGCCTTTCTTTCAAAGCCAGAAGCCAAACAGCAATCATCATGTCCTCTCCTTACCTTCTTTATCGCCATCATTGCTACCACACCATCCCCTCCTGCAACTTCATCACCTCCTTCAACCACCCCACCACAAAAGCAGCATCATCATTGTCCTTAATATTATCACCAACAAAAAAGAAGAAGAAGAAAAAGCGACGACCCAAAACGAAAAGAAAACTTTCTCATCATGATTTCGAGCGGCCAGCTGAAACCCTAGCTCAGCTCAGCTATAGCTACTACCTTTCTCACTCCTTTGTGAGAAAAAGTGAAAGAGTCTGATGAGTTTCTCTCTCCTCTCCTTGATATATTTCAAAGATTCTGTCCAAGTCTTTGTTGCTTTTGGGGAATCAAGCATCTTGGTCCGACGACAACGATTTGCTGTTGCTAGTGTGTTGTATCAAAGCAAGCAAATCTTAAATTTTCATGTTCTTGCAACCTGTTTCTTTACGTACTTTGTTTGTGCGAAAAACTTTAGATCGTGTGTTTTAGCTTGAAAGATAGAGGGTTTTCCGGTCCTGGTTTTGTTTGTTAGTTATCAAGACTCAAGTTACTGTTTAAGTAAGAAACTCCTCTCTCTCTCTCTCTCTCTAGATTATCCTGTTGAAATGATCAGAAGTATTAATTATATGTGGATCAATTTATCTATGTTTCAAATTTTATGATGGAATGGAAGTCATTGTATAAATTTTTCTGCTGGAAAAAATTATTTGTATTAGCCTATAACATGAACTGGTTTTGGAAAATAATAATTTTTATCTAAAATTAATCCCATAAGTATTACTGAAATTAAGTGTGCACTTGATTTTTACATGAACATAAAAAACGACATGCACTATAAGCTTGGAATCTCATCGATCTGTCCAGGTTGTGAAGTAAGAAAATCTTGTTCTTTTACCCAAATTATATGAATGCTGTGTACATTTTGTCAGATATGGGTGATGTACTTGTGATAGAATGTAAAGATAAAGTCTCACATGGATGAGGGATCAATTTATGTAAGAGCTTATAAGAGGTTGTATTACTATTCATATTTTTATTTGATTTTATAGTGGAATTTCAACTTTTTTCATAGTATAGAGCAGGTTGTCTCACATGTGAATCTCAACGTACGGCCACACATGCTCTATATCATCCCGTTTGTGTTGTTCATATGTTGTGTTGTTTACGTGTTAGACTTGAAAATAGGAGTGTGTGAGAATGTGAAGATAAAGTTTCACATCTCGAAGGGCATGTGAGAATGCGAAGACAAAATCGACACCGGTGAAAGATTAATTTATGTAAGGATTTATAAAAGATTGAGCTATTCTCCGTATTCCCATTTAGTTTTACATGTGAAACTTCAAAATGTTGTGTCCCTACCCTTCTTGTGTATATTAGAGAGAGAGAGAGAGAGAGAGAGAGCTGGTCATGGTGATCTTTTTTCCACCTTTGTTTGACAGTGTAGATTAACAGAGATATTGAGATTACATATATAATTAATATAGAATACAGATGAAATGGAGAAAGTACTGTACAGGGTTTGCTTCGCTCAAGAATTTCTCCATGAAATTATGCCTTGCCCCAGCTAGCTAATGGTTCTGGTTCTGCCAACACTTCTTTTGGCTTCGTTTGGCAATTAGCTGGGCAACGACAAGACTGTATTTCAAGCAAATTGAATTATTTCATGTGGTACATGTTTGGTGCTCGTAGTAGAGAAGAAACTCGACTCATGAAATTGGACAACGGTCTCGCACTTTAGAAAATCAAGTAGGCAACTCATTGGCTAAGGCCATTGGCTTTGGTAAATGCAAGCCATGTTCATCAAGCTCTTAAGACTTGTTCATACCTTTCTTTTTGGCTGTGGACGGAAAACCTTATTTTCCGGCGCAGCAGGACTGAAGCCGGATGTAAAATCTGAGTTCAATTCACACCATTATTCACTCCAATTTGTTTGAAGATTAAAGATTGCATTTTATGACACTTGCGCCCTGGTTTAGCCATAATCATCTTTACTTGTACGTTGGACGCCTCAAGTTTGAATACTTTTCATGAATAAGGAGTTCAAACTTAATTACGACCACTTGCAGTGTGACTTTACTCAAACCGCCAACAAAGGTTCTACCAAACTAATTAGCAATATGGATAGTAGTCCAACTACTCCAAGCACAAGGTCCCTCTCTTCTCCGATGTAGAATTCACTCTCAACACGCCATCCTCACATGCAAGCGAATTTTCAATCTTAACGTGTGGACAACACAAATCGGATGAAATGGAGCACGTGCGGCCATTGGGCTTCACACATGAGACAACATGTTCTAATATCATGAAACAAGTTGAGGTTCCATTATAAAACCAATTAAGTACTGTCGCATTTGCATTAAACACATACAAGGTATCTTCCTTTCGAATCCAGTGTCTCAACACAAATATCGCTGTATCCATGTTTGGGCCAGAATTGGTATATTCCGTTCCAGATATAAATGGATTGGGCCGACAAACCGAGAAGGGAAAAGGCCCCAAAGGCCTTATAATATAAGGAAACGAAGGGAAGGGGGTTGGATTCGTTGGTGGAGGCCGCGAACGGACCGAGTGGTTGGTGTGTTTCCCTAACCGATATACACAACGTGTGGCGGGCAACGGCTCCTCCTACCACAACTCTGTTAAATCCCAGTTACCAAAACCCTCCAAAAATTAAATCACAAATCCCCAAAATTCCAAAACTAAAACCCCCAGAAATTATATAAGCGAACGGATTATTACCCAGAAAAAATAATTTAATTTCACAGCGGTCCACTCTCTCATCAGTCTCAGAGGCCATGACTCTGCAACTCCAAGCTCCGTCGTTCGCCGCCAGCCTTTCGTCCTTCGTCTCTCCTCTCAACCGCTCCACGCGCCGCCCTGTAATCCGAGCTAAAGGTTAGGCTGGTTAGCATTGCTCAACTTCTTAATCTCCTTCTTTTTTTCTTTTTTTTTTTAATTATTTTTTTATATTTGAATTTATGAGTTTATAATTAGTGACCCTTCAGATTTACAGCACCAATTGAACGTTCTTAGATTAGATGCGATGCCAATTAGACTTTGGGATTTTCATAAATTATCCATTTGGTTGGAAAGCTCGTGACTTTATAACATTTTTGAGCTTCGGTCAGAATTTAGCTCGTGAATGTTGCGTTGATGGATACTCCAAAATTTGTGTGTTTTCTGGCAGCGGAGCCGTCAGATAAGTCTGTTGAAATCATGAGGAAGTTCTCCGAGCAGTATGCTCGCAAGTCCGGAACATATTTCTGCGTCGATAAGGGAGTTACTTCTGTTGTTATCAAGGTGTGTTTTAATTTCCTTATTGGATATTATTACTTGTATTGTTGTATGCTTAATTGGAACTGTGTTAAGTATTTTCGTCGTGGTTGTATGCTGGAATGACTCAAATCAACGTCAAAGCCGATTACTTTATGAGCTTCCGGCCTTCAACCGAACACTAAGGAACATGTAACCTGACCCCCTAGATCCTATAGATTATGAAATAGCGTTAAATTATTCCCTCAAATCGACCCCCATATGCATAACTTTTCGGTTCAGTATCTTGCTGCTGTAGTTCTTTATCTTTTTTATCACAATTCACAAGAGATTTTATTTGGGGCGAAAGGATCTTCTTACAGATCGTTATGGCACCCTGAGATTATATATTTGGATCCTTCATTATCGTCATTGCAGTTGATTAAACTGTATTTGTTCAATAGTGTATGTGAAAGAAACTCATCCTCGAATTTCAACAGGGGTTGGCAGACCATAAAGATTCGTTGGGCGCACCACTCTGCCCTTGTCGGTAAGCATCTGTTCTTTGATAGTTTTTCTTGACCATGAGTCTATGGTGTTCTTACTTCGCCCCATGCCTCAAACGTCTTACCAGTGTCAAAGTCAATTCATATTCATGTCATATCGTGTTTTCCAAGTCTGAATTTGTTGTGTTGCAGGCATTATGATGATAAACCTGCCGAGGCAGGCCAAGGCTTTTGGAACTGCCCGTGTGTTCCCATGAGAGAGAGGTATATATCGTTTCATAATTTTATAAGATTAGTATATCAACTAGTTTTTCTATACAGTTTCAATTTCATTTGTTTGTAGATTTGTATACTTGACGGGAAAGTGGTGTTAAAACCCACGCTAGATTATGATATATTGGTAGATCTTTATCGGCATTACACTTTGGTACTCAGACATTCAAATCGAAGATAAGTAGGCTTTATGTTAGATATTTTTAAATGCTAAAAATATAGTAAGAAAAAAAATCTACTTGGAAATTTCCAGCGAAACACCGATAGTTGCTGCAAGTTTCAATCCAGCTTGACAGTCACAAGCTTATCTACTCACTTTAGCTCTAACATTTGAATTCAAACGATCGTTATATGAAAATGATGTGTGTATATGTCAACCCGGTTAGTTCTTATGAAAACTGTAAATCGGTGTTGGCAGGAAGGAATGCCACTGCATGCTCTTTCTCACTCCTGACAATGATTTTGCCGGACCGGAACAGGTAATTTATCCATCATTCTTTGAGAAATCTTATGTAGTCGTGTTCTTCGGTTACGGTATTTTATAACCTAATTACCGACCTCAATAATTCTTATGCAATGCAGGCCATCTCCTTGGAAGAGATCAGAGAATCGACGGCAAACATGTAACAAGCTTTTTGTGTGTATTGCAAATTATGTGTAAACAATCCACTTCTGTATTTGTTAAAAAAAAAAAAAAAAAAAAAAAAAAAAAAAAAAAAGGAGCTCATCTTTTGAATATAATTTTTCGAGGGAAATAATTTCCGCACTCTTTTTCGCCTTCTTGATGATCTTTTGTATTATTCAATCAAAATTAGCCCTCTAAAGGTTCAATGTGAACTCGGAATACTGGTTGTAGAATTATGCTCCAGCCCCTATACTTTCCTTTTTTCTGGGATATATACTGGTTGTAGAATTATGCTCCAGCCCCTATACTTTGCCATATTCTCATGAACCCCAACATTCTTTTCTTGTAATATAACTTTGCCTTATCCTCAAAACCAAATGAAATTTTGCCACGTAGCTTTTGTGCTTCAAACCAACATTCACTTGGATGTGTTCCTGAGACACATGGGACAATTATAGTTTGTCATCACCACCTATTGGTGCATTTTAATTTTTTTTTTTAATTTTTTTTATAAAGTGAGTTAAATTAGGACTGGAAAAAAATCCTAAAAATCTCGAATCGAAAATTTTGATACCAATCTCAAACCGATCTCAAATAATTCAGTACGAGAATCAGTATCACATTTTTTCTTAATGCGCGAATCCCAAACCGATAATATATATATATATATATATATATATATTATTTAATCAACCACCGTTCCTCTGGACAATAACCATCTTTCTTCAGCATGAACAGAACAGAAAGATTCTACGTTGCTTATTAAGTTGGGTATGATAATCATTCAATTGTTCTAATGTCCAATGCAATAAAAAAGTATATGCATGTTTTGCTGCCGTCAAATAACCAAATGTTGATGTCCAAATTGTGTTTCTGGTTCAAGCTCTGAATACAGTTGTGGTATTCTCACCTTATACCGTCGCAAAAATTTCTTGGCAAAGCGCTCCGACTCCCAAAGGCAGCAAAGACAAGCCCAGGAATGAGAGGGATGGAGATGGGGATGGAGGGTGGGGAGATCGACAAATTTGGGATGAGGTGTGGCTTTCTGGGCTGGCAAGGAAGATGGGAGGTCGATAAATTCCGAATCATACCGAAATCCCGAAATTCGAGAATCTTAAAAGTTCGGTTTGGTTTTGATTTCTGAAACTCTGTCCCAAGAAAATTCGGTTTGGAATTTCGAATCTCAATTTCGTTTGGGATCCCGTACCGAACCAGCCCTAAGTTAAATAGTTGAATGTTAAAGGGAGAAAATTCATGGAGATCAAACCTGCACTTGAGTGTATAGACATTATTATTTTTCGCGGCAAAAACGCGATCTGCATTTTTAACTTTTAATTCGGGCAAATTGATAATGTTTTTTGGGAATTGATTAAAAGTCATGACTTAATAGTTTACAGTTTTTGATAAAAATATAATATTTTTTATTTATGTAGAATTATGGTATAATTCCTTTGTGATTAAGTGATTTAGTTGACCTAAACCGTACTTTTGATATGGGCCTCAACTGTATTGATCTCTAAATAAGTGGGCTTGGAAGGCGGTGGGTCCGCGGGAATATCTTGGGCCCATCCCAGCAGATTGACTTGACCGGGCGTCAACTGGAAGATGGCGATGCAACGCGGCATCCATGGAAATGGATGAGAGCACCTTTGCTTTTGCAAACGCAGCATCTGCACTGCAGCATACATAGAGAAAGAGAGAGATTGAAATTAGGGTTTTGCTTTTCCTTTTCTTCTTCCCGGATCTCTGAAAGTAATTGAGGAATTTGACTTTCAAAAATGTCGAATTCCAGGGTCACCATCACCCTCGGTCGCTCTGGTCAGGTAAATTCTTCTTCTTTGCTTTTGTTCTTGTTTCTGTGTTTTTCTGCGCCAGTTTATCTGTGAGGAAGAAGGGGGTGGATGCAATTATTCAAATTGTATAGTTTTCCACATTAATCAAGCTTCAATGGGAAAGGGAGCAATTTTGTCTGACGTTTACTATATTTGATTCAATTTCTTGAGCTTCAAATCCAGCCCTTTTGTTATTTAGCTATTTGGAATGCTTTGATGAACTTTTGGGTTGTGCTGTCCTGGGCTGAAGAACCAATTTTGATGCGAATTCGGGTTGGTTTGTGTGTTTGTTTGCTTATTTGTTGACATATTTGTAGGTTGTGGAGAGAGGAGGATTTGTATCCAATTCTGCAAAAGTGCGTGGTGATAGTGGGATGGTTTCCGGAAGTAAACGAATGGCAGGCAGACTTGGGAGTAATGCTCATGGTTTTTCGTTTTCTGCGGGTAAACGGTACGTTGTTCTATCTATTTACCTGGCTTATCAGCATATTACTTGTTTTTGTAGTCCTTCGGAGGCTGTGTGTTGGGAATGCCTGTGATTCTCCAATAGTCTTTTTCCTTCTTATGGTGGTTATCAGTTATTTCTATGAACTCCTATCCAATGCCCTTAATTGTTTAACATCTTCTACCGTGCAAGCCACCGCCAATGCCACAACTAGCTCGTGAAGTATTTTCATTTTGAGAATGGTCGTAACCGTTTTATGGTCGTCCCATTTCAAGAATTGGTATTTCAGGCAGTAAGATAATAACATGTCAGATGCGTATTTAATCCTATCATGATGCGTTCAATATCAATTTTCAGGCAACGAGGAGATGGCATAAAATGGAATGAGGATGATAGAACAATGCAAGGTAAAACTATCTTACGTGATATTACCAACTATTATATTTCGTTTATTGTTTTTTATATGGTTTCTTTGTATTGACTCTGGTGCATTAAAACAAGTGAAGATTCACGAATCAGTCGAAATGACCTCAGATTGAAATTGTTGCATAAAAGATTATCTAAGAAGCAAATTGACGGAGTTGCTGAAGAGCGCAAGCAGATGGACCCTCATGCAAAGCTTTCAAAACCTGTTCATCCTTCACTGAGATACCAGGTGCTGCAGCATACTTCTGAAACAAATGCAAGTAGCCACATGAGGCAGGCTCCTCTGAGAGAAAGTCCAGCTGGTCTATACCAGGTAAATTCTCGAGGAAACTTCTACTCTTCTCCAACTACGGATGGATTCAGAGGTAGATCCCCACCAAGAGAGCTGCACCCACCATCATCATTGAGGCCAGTTGACGCTTGTAGAGCTGGCCAGTTCCCGAGAAATGGTATGGTTGGTTCTTCTCAGCCGACAGACTCCTTTATTTTCACAATGAAAGCTACCCCTCAAGCTGCCAGGCCAATAGCACAGTTTGCTCCAGCAACTGGCGGCATGCAGAGAAGTTCACAAATGGTACTACCTTGTGGCAATTGCACCATTTTAGCTTCCTTTTTGGGAAATCTGGTCATGTATTGCTACTTCAAATTTGATGAGTTTATCTCTGTGGTTGTGCAGGTGGATGACACTCGAACTGTTGCTGAGTTGTTGCATAGACTTGGTTTGGGAAAATATGCCATTATTTTCCAGGCTGAAGAAGTAAGTTACCTGGCCGAATTTGATTTTCCATTCAAATTTGCTTTCCTTAATTTGGATGACGATTATAGGCTGTCGTTGTCTGATTTCCGACACAGCATCTAAAATAGGGAATATTATGTGTGTTTTTAAAGGGGAAATCTGATCAATCCAATGAGGAATACCAATATAAATGAAGATGACTTTAGGTTCTACATTTCATCTTTGGCTGCGGACTTCAAGTTTTCGTAATTCTCGATTTTCTGATTTACAGGTAGACATGACTGCTTTGAAGCAGATGGGGGATAAGGACCTCAAAGAGCTGGGCATACCGATGGTAATTTTCGTTCACTCTAAGCTTCGTCTGTTATCTGCATGCTCAGTGCAATGGAACTCGGTCCATTCTCACAAAGGTTGCTTAATATGTAGGGACCAAGAAAAAAGATCCTTCTTGCACTTTTACCCCGTACTAAACGGCCAGCCACCATAATCCCTACTTGTAACGATGCAACGAAAGATCCTATTAAGAACGAAGAAAAGAAAATTGCTGCTATTTCAAGAGCATTTCGTTTGTTTGTATGTACCTTCACCCATTGTATCCGAAATCGAGTTTGAAGTTCAGGTTTGCGACGGTTTTGATTAGGTTGAATAACTTCTATAGGGCTTGTGCTGTTGTATTTTATATACACAAAAATTAATCTTTAGTTATTTTGTTCGTTGCACATCAGTTTCTCGTTTTGTTTGTGTACTTGTGTACATAAAGTACTCGTAACACTGTGATTTGCAGTTACTGGAGGAATCGAACGTTCTTTAGAGTACTACAATCGGATCAAAGTATGAATTCTAATTTGTAGATTAATGATGAAGGGTCTTAAAATCTTGACCATTTAAAAGAATTACAACGACACGACGCTGTTTCGAAGAAACACGGAACTGCGGAATGGTAAACAAACCCAGCAGAAGCAGATGAACAGTCTCTCAATGCGCTCGAACAGATGGCGCACTCGAAGCGGAAGACTTGGAATCCCGCTCACTCTTCCCGCATTCTTTCCCTTTCCTCGAAGCAAAAGCAGCCATGAACCTGTCGTTCCAGCTGACGCCATTACCCGCCAGCAACAACGGCTGAGCTGCCGTTTGCTTCCTGCAAACATGGTCGGCCGGGAACCGGTGCTTGAGGCAGACCTTCGTATGGCAGGTTTTGCAGGTGCTGGTATTAGAAAACGTGAGAGTCTCCTTGCACCGGCGAACGGGACAGGTGGGTTTCTTCTTGTTTTTGGGGTCGCAATTCCCGGACTTGGCGTGCTTCTCCAACAGCAATTTATGGTCTTGTTCGTCGTCGCAGCCGGTGGTTTCTACGGAGGCGGAGCAGATTTCGCAAACCACCACCTTTCTGCTGTTGTGGTCCGATTTGGGGCACTCGTGGGACTTGTAAGACCGATGCTCAACGCAGAAAACCTTACGGCAACCGTCGCACTGGAAGGGGAGGAAATCGAGTTGGTGGCAATCGGAGAGCTGGCAGTGCCGACCCAAATCCGGAAAAGCTTCTGTTCCTCCCGTCATCCTGATCGTAGTTTGATTTTTCAGTTTGTTAAATTTTGCAAAGAAACAATTCGTAAGCAAAAGGGGGAATTTAAATTTTATTTATAGAGGGAGAGGGAGAGGGGTCGGTTCTGGGGTTGGCTTGCGGGAAAAGCTAAAGCCAAAAGCCAGGTTTGACTCGGATTCCACACGGTGTCGCACGATGCTTCTTACGTCGCTCCTACAATTTGTAGTTTGTACGCGTCATCGCAAACGCTGACACGGAAGGAAGGACCCACGCCACCCACCTGTTTGGACCATCCTTGCAAAAGAGTGAGGGATCTCACTAGATCTTCTTTGTGGGATTTCGGAAATTCTTAAATTATGTTCGTTCGTTATATATTGTACGATCAGAAATCATTGTAAATTTTTCTATTTAAATTTGAATATAAACAGTACCTAAAAAAAAATGGTCGCATAATGTACGATGAACGGATGTAATTGGAAGATCTCCAGGATCTTCACAAAAAGGATATGGCGAGGATCCTCTCTCCTTGCAAAAATAGGACATACACCCCCCACTAAATATTTTTTGATCAATTCGCTTCAGCTCTCCAACTCATCTTGAAATGTTGTTCGATGATCAAGATGTCTAGTAAACTATTTAAAAATTATCTGAGCAAAAAATTAATTAAATCTTCAATGGTTATCTAATAAATAGAGAAGTCAATTAGTATTATAGTCTAGCGGTATTCAACTTCACTTGTAAAATGAGAGGTCTTAGGCTCAATTTTCATCAAAGGCAAATTTAAATCATATTATAGCTAGCTCATTGTGAGGATTAACCCAATCCCTCACCCCGTTAGTGTAGATAATATCGTTTTGTTTATGAGTTAGACTCAATAGGATTTGATCAATCCTTTTTTCGGTCGTTAAGGTGGAGAATTGAACCAAGAATTCTCTTTCTTTATCATCAATCGAATCACTGTTCGAGACTTAGGATTCTATTTTATCATCAATCGAATCCCTGTTCACGTTTTTTCTTTTTCATCAATGAATGGATCTCTTTACCACAAACTATGTTTCGCACTTAAAGACTTAAATTTGACAGCATTCATCGAACAATTAAACGATTTCTAATTTTGTTGATTCTTTGCAGACTTGGTCTTTAGAGGGTGATGTCGGAAGTAAATGGTTCCAATCATCAAAGTAACCTTGCATAATGAGAATGGAAGCCGAGAAAGTTGGAGTGAGAAAGTTACTAGATGGGTATTGGCCCAAAAAAGTTACTAAACCTGAGCTACCATCAACTTCGCAGCCCACCAATAAGAGATTCTCTTTGTTTTGATGCCCAAATCAAACTAGAATCCATGACATTGCTTTAACCCAGCCAAGTCCTCGGCGTTTAAGCCCACTTGTCAAAGCGGAGCAAATGTGGTTTTTCCTTTTTATTTACAAATTGCTTCTGAGAATCCAATTCCCTGCGCCCCACAAATTTACATTCGAACTACCCTTAACCTATACTCTTTTGATTACTTAAAACTCATTGCATGGATATATCCTTAATAAGGGAAAATACTTCCCTATCTCTGTGTCAATTTCCGCTCCCTTCTCTATCAGTATCTTACTATAATTGATCTCGTCACGTAAGAAGAAAGACATGAAAGAAACGGGGGTAGAGAAGTTCCTCTCCATTAAAGTTAAAAACATGTACGTGAAGGATTAGACAAAAGCTAAAAACCAATGTGCTTTTTACCATGCAGATGGTGACCTGACCTACCTAAAGCCTATGGCTATGATTGTATGAACGAAAAGAGGAAAAGCCATGCAGCACTAGAGATTATATAAGCAAACAAAAAGGTTGGTGCCAAATTGTAAAGTTGGAACAAAACACTCTTTCCTTTCCTTTCATAAAGCTTAAATCACATCAACATTGGGCACATATAAATATAATATATCATATTAACATCAGAAAAGGACGAAAGAACCAAAATTCTTCGTGCAAATCCAGCATAACATAATGCATGATATATATATATATATATATATATATTTTTTTTTTTTTGAGTGAAATATAATGTATGATATTAGATTAGAGTATATTGGCAGTACCACCAAGATATGCTGCTCTATAATTGGATGTCAATGGAAGGATTATTAGAGCAAAGGACCCGGTTAAGAGAGATTTTTAGCGTGCCGGAAGCACGTAGCGTTTGGTACATCAAGTGTTATAATACTTAAAGCAAAGGACTCGGTTAAGAGAGATTATTAGAGCAAAGAGCCCGGTTAGGAGAGATTTTTAGATGCTTCTTTCTTCGCTCCTACAATTTGTAGTTTGTACGCGTCATCGCAAACGCTGACACAGAAGAGAGGACCCACGCCACCCACCTATTTGGACCATCCTTGCAAAAGAGTGAGGAATCTCGCCGGATCTTCTTTGTGAGATCCTGATAATTCTTAAATCATATTCGTTCATTATACATTGTGTGGTCAGGAATCATTGTAAATTTTTTTATCTAAAATTGAATATAAACATTACCTAACAAAAACTGACTGCATGATGTACAATGAACGGATATGATTGAAAAATTTCGAGGATCTTCATAAAGAGGATATGGCGAGGATCCTCTCTCCTTGCAAAAATAGGACATACACCCCCCCCCCCAAGTATTTTTTGATCAATTTGCTTCAGCTCTCCAACTCATCTTGAAATGTTGTTCGATGATCAAGATGTCTAGTAAACCATTTAAAAATTATCTGAGCAAAAAATTAATTAAATCTTCAATGGTTATCTAATAAATAGAGAAGCTAATTAGTATTATAGTCTAGTGGTATTCATCTTCACTTGTAAAGTGAAAGGTCTTAGGCTCGATTTTCGCCAAAAACGAATTTAAACCATATTATAGCTAGCTCATTATGAGGCTTAACCCAATCCCCCACTCTGTTAGTGTAGATAATATCGTTTTGTTTATGAGTTAGACTCAGTAGAATTTGATCAATCCTTTTTTCGATCGTTAAGGTGGAGAACTAAACCAAGAATTCTCTTTCTTTATCATCAATTGAATCACTGTTCAAGACCTAGGATTCTATTTAATCATCTATCGAATCACCGTTCACGTTTTTTCTTTTTCTTATCAATGAATGGATCTCTTTACCACAAACTATGTTTCGCACTTAAAACACTACAATTTGACAACATTCATCGAACAATTACACGAGTTCTAATTTCGTTGATTCTTTGCAGACTTGGTCTTCAAAAGGTGATGTCAGAAGTAAATGGTTCCAAACATCAAAGTAACCTTGCATAACGAGAATGGAGTTCGAGAAAGTTCGAGTGAGAAAGTTACTAGATGGGTATTGGCCCAAAAAAGTCAATACACCTGAGCTACCATCGACTTCGCAGCCCACCAATAAGAGATTCTCTTTGTGTACTAGAATTCATGACATCGCTTTAACCCGCCCCAAGTCCTCGGCGTTTAAGCCCACTCTATGAAATAGCACTTGTCAAAGCGGAGCAAATGTGCTTTTTTCCTTTTTATTTACAAATTGCTTCTGAGAATCCAAATTCGCCGCGCCCCACAAATTTTCATTCGAACTACCCTTAACCTATACTCTTCTGATTACTTAAAACTCATTGCAGGGATATATCCTTAATAAGGGAAAATACTTCCTTATCCTTGTGTCAATTTCTGCTCCCCCCTCTATTGGTATCTTACTGTAATTGATTTCGTCACGTAAGAAAAGAGGCAGGAAAGGAACGAGACGAGGGTGGAGAAGTTCCTCTCCATTAAAGTTGAAAACATGTACGTGAAGGATTAGACAAAAGCTAAAAACCAATGTGCTTTTAACCTTTCAGATGGTGACCTGACCTACCTAAAGCCTAGGGCTTTGATTGTATGAACGAAAAGACCAAAAGCCATGCAGCACTAGAGATTATATAAGCAAACAAAAAGGTTGGTGCCAAATTGTAAAGTTGGAACAAAACACTCTTTCTTTTCCTTTCATAAAGCTTAACTCACATCAACATTGGGCACATATAAATATAATATATCATATTAACATCAAAAGAGGACGAAAGAACCAAAATTCTTCGTGCAAATCCAGCATAATATAATGCATGATATATATATATATATATATATAATGTATGATATTAGATTAGAGTATATTGGCAGTACCACCAAGATATGCTGCTCTATAATTGGATGTCAATGGAAGGATTATTAGAGCAAAGGACCCGGTTAGGATAGATTTTTTAGCGTGTTGGAAGCACGTACGGTTTGGTACATCAAGTGCTATAATACAAATAGTTGGATACTTGATAAAAAAAATTCAATCACTTAAATTACGACACTTGACGTACCAAGCCATGATCCCAAAAAATTTCTCCACGGATAGAACTTGCTCTGGAGAGATTTTTCCTTGTGTTGGAAACACTGCTTAGTACACTAAGTCTGATGATACAAGTGGTTGAGTACCTGAAGAAAAATTCAACTACTTGTATTATGATACTTGGTGTCGGATCATGTTCCCGATACACTGAAAAAGTTGTCCCTGTGTGAAATGGTGGGTTCTGATTAAAGCATGCAATCATGCATCCTTGTTGGGTGCCAGGGAAAACCACAGCTCAAAATCTTCATTTTCTTCAGCTTTTTTGGTTTCAGGTTTTGTTATTGTATATAAAATTAGCTTTCCCCACGTGAAAAGTGCATGTAATTTAGAAATGCAGCCAGAGCATTTGGTCTGAAAATAACTTCGAAAGATAGGGCATTACTCTCCGAAATACGCCAAGTAATTAAGAAGATAATTAATGTTTCTTATATGTTTCAGAAGAAAACCATTTTGGAAGCAAAACAACATTCATAAAATAATACATATGTATTTAAATAAAAATAGGCAACTTCCAATCTTAATCAGACAAAGGAGGGGCCCTCCTGGAGGGCTACAACCAAATCACGAGTCTGAATCTGATCTCCCCATACGAACATGAAAGCTGTGTTCAACCGATAGAAATGGAAAGATTACCTCTCTTAACTAATTACAATTATTAACATAAACTAATCCCAAATCTTTGAAATGAATTAAGCACTTGGCTTAGATCTAATCATATAACGAAGGGAAAGGAAAAGGAAAAAAACACTAGTTTATAAAAACAGATTTTTCAGTGTGTCTGGAAAACAAGCACATACGTCATTTACATTATAAAGGTAGAGGAACATTTAAAAAAAAAAAAAAAATTCCTTTCCAATTGTATAATAACGTATGGTGTACATTGTACTGCCCCGTGTTCAGACACATTTGAAAAATCTGTCATTTATGTGAAGGGTGGGTGGTCCATCATCCATGTATTGAGTAGAAAAAGGGAATCAACCACGCTTTGGTAAAGAAGAAAGGGATATATTAATATTATCCAGCCTAGAACACTGGTAAAGAAACTGCGTATTTCTATGGCTACACAAACTTAACTATTAAGTATATACAAATAATGATGAAAGTGGAGCTCTTCTTCTCCATCTCCATGCAAAGTAAGGAGGAGAGAGTACCTTTTTCCTTCAAACTTTCTCAGTGGTGGGATCAAACGGCTGTAACAGCATGTATTTGTCTGCAAAAGTGGGCAATGAGATGGATGGTCCAGACATTTCCACATCAACCCTTCTCTAAGCTTCTGTTGATTCACGGATTAACATCTGTTTAGAGGAGGGTTCTTGGGTACTTATTGGTGTACACAATATCAATATCTCTTTCGTCACATAATAAAAAAAACGCAAGGTAAAAGGGATTAATACACACCCGGTTAGATAATGATGAGACGATATAGTCTCGTTTACTTGTTAGAATCCATCATGTATAGAATCACTTGTTTTACACCGTCCTTTGTTTTCTAGTATAATTTAGCCTAAGGAAGGTGTTTTAGCTTTTAGACTTTCCTTGCAATAAAATTTGATGGGTGGAATATTGGGTTGGCTTGTGACAGACTAGGGTTGGTACTTAATCAAAGAATAAGCTCCAAGGATATATATATATATATATATATATATATATACATTCTTCCCCCACAGTTTTTCTTTATTTATAAAATTTTAAGAAATTAGTCAAAAAGTTTGACCGTTGATCTTTGAGTTCGAAACTCAAGGATCAGGAGATTCAAACCATTTATTCTAAAGTCTCTGGCCCATGTTAACTCATTTTATTGACGCACCTTAAACAAATTAAAGTCTGGATCTCTTTTTCTAAAGGCCCGACACAGGAATACAGAGAGGGTGTCGATTCATTAAGGCCATCTCCAACCGAAGGGTCTAGAGAGCCAGATGGCCGAAAATAGCCCGAAAACCGTCTCCAACCGAGGGTTAGGCCAGAGGGCTTTGGAATCTGAGAGGGCCCCACAGAATCGGAGAGGGCTAGAGGGCTGGCCTTTTTTTTTGCTTATGTTGGATTTCCTGTCGGTTATAACCAACATGAATACATTGTATTACTAATATAAATAATACAAATGTATTCCTGTCGGTTATAATCGACAGGAATTCTTTGAATATTTTTTTTAACAGTTTTATTATTATTTTTTATTTACAAAAATTTTCCTATAACTTCTATTTTTCATATATTTTTTTTAAATTCTATTTTTTTCCTATTAACTTTTATTTTACAAATTTGTTTCATATTTTTTTTTAAATTTCATTTTTTCCTATAATTTCTATAACTTCTATTTCACAAAATTTGTTTCATATTTTTTTTTAATTCTATTTTTTTCTATAACCTCCTAAGCTATTATACAACATTAAATTAAATTAAGTAACATGAAACAGCATTAAAATTATACAACATAAAAAAAAAACATTTAACAACATGAAACTTAAACAACATTTAAGTTGTAATTTTTAAATAATAAATTATGTTTGGCCCTATCATCCTTTGGCCCTCGTTGGAGACGGTTTTTTGTGACAGGGCTAAAACGAGCCCTCTGGCCCTCGATTGGAGATGGAGACAAATATGACCATGTACTATTTATTAAAATATTAATATTTTGGAGAATCTTAGAGAGTCATAGAGCTAAAACAAACCCTCTGGCCAGCCCTCGGTTGGAGATAGCCTACCCAGTCATGAGAAGCTCGAGGGAAGCACACTCTACAAGGGAAATGAGTTACTTACAACACAAGCGAAGCCGCAGGAGAAAAACAAGAGATTGGGTTGCTGATATAGCTCCAGCATTTGTTTTGTGATTCGGGCTAATTTCTCCAAACCAGAGGAATCGGAATCCCATTCCTTTTCCCAGTCTCCTCTATCAGACAAACAACACCAACCTTTCTCTCTCTCCCTCTCTCTCTCCCGCCGTATCCCCACCAAACTCTACCTTCAAGCAAGCTCCATATCTCTGCTAATCCAAATTATCCAAAACATAATCCCATCGGATTAGGCCTCTCAAAGTCGCTTAAATTTGAATTAAGGATCATGGGGTTTAGGCATAATCCTTACTTAAGCTTAAAGCTCAGAACTTTCACTCCCATAATACAGAGTTGAAGAAAGTAGCTTACTTTTTTCAGGTATGGAGTTTCAGGAAGCTATGTTGAAGCTGATGGTCCACAAATCAAAAGAGAACGAATGGGCTTTCGCCACGCCGGAAAGAGCGGCGGAGATGAGCGGTGCAAGCCCGAGTTCCCGGCGAAAATGGAAGCTTTTTCAGAGGTCGTCGTCGGCAATTCCGTCGAAAACTTCAAAGCCGCAAGCTCCCAGAGAGTTCCTCTGTCCAATCTCCGGCTCTCTGATGGCGGACCCGGTCATCGTCTCCTCCGGCCACACCTTCGAGCGCGCCTGCATCCAAGCCTGCAAGTCCCTCAGCTTCACGCCCGCTCTCCCGGACTCTCCGCCGCCCGATTTCTCCTCCGTAATCTCCAACCTCTCTCTCAAATCTGCAATTCTCAGTTGGTGCCGGAAGTCCTCGGTCGATCCTCCCAAGCCCCTCGATGTCGCCTCCGCCGAGAAGCTCGTCCGCGCCTCCATTGCTTCCCGGAACGAAACCAAGCTCCAAAATGGCGTAGTTTTGGAGAATCGGTTGCTGATCAACGGTGTTAAGGATACCCCTACTGTGAATTTCGTCCACGCGGCCACCGATCTGACTCGGCGCCCGACTCACTTCCACTCGAGCTCCGACGAATCGGTCACCGCGGCTCCGCCTCTCCCGTTCTCAACTCAGCCGAGTTGCTACTCATCTCCGTCGTCTTCCTTCTCGGAAAACGAAATCCTAACCGTTAACGGCAACAGTAATCCCTCCCGCTCTGTAGAAGAAGACGAAATCTCGATCAAGCTCAGAAGCTGCCACGTGTTCGAAATCGAGGAGGCCCTGGCTTCGCTGAGGAAGATCACGCGGACCAGAGAGGACGCCCGGGCCCGACTCTGCACCCCACGGTTGCTCTCCGGCCTCCGCCCTCTGATTATATCCAGGTACACCGCCGTTCAGGTGGATTCCGTCGCAGCGTTGGTCAACCTGTCGCTGGAAAAGTCAAACAAGATTAAGATCGTACGGTCAGGAGTCCTCCCTCCTCTGATCGACGTGCTCAAGACAGGATCCCGTGAGGCGCAGGAACACGCTTCCAGTGCGTTGTTCAGCTTAGCACTTGATGACGACTGCAAGACCGCGATTGGCGCATTGGGCGCGTTGCCGCCTTTGCTGCACTTACTCCGGTCCGAGAGCGAGCGGACGCGGCATGACTCGGCACTCGCATTGTACCACCTCTCACTAGTTCAGAGCAACCGGTCCAAGTTGGTTAAGCTCGGGTCGGTTCCGGTTCTGTTGAGAATGGTAAAGTCGGGCCACATGACGGGTCGGGTATTGCTCATATTGTGTAATTTGAGTTTGTGTGCGAACGGGCGGGCCGCATTGTTGGATTCGGGTGGGGTGGAGTGTTTGGTGGGTGTGTTAAGGGGAAACGAGTTTGACTCGAAGGCGACTCAAGAGAGTTGTGTGGCCACATTGTATGGGCTGAGTTACGGCGGTTTGAGGTTCAAAGGGTTGGCGAAGACGGCGGGGGTGGTGGAGGCGTTGAGAGAGGTGGAGAAAAAGGGAAGCGAACGGGCGAGGGAGAAAGCGAGGAGAATGTTGGAGATGATGAGAGGGAAAGAGAAGGAAGAAGAAGAAGAAGTGGACTGGGAGGAATTGCTCGACTCGGGGTTTGGGAGTCGAACTCGGTGTCAACTCGGTGGTGGGTTAGAAGGGTTGAGTGCCAACTCATCTGAATTTTGAGTACATAATTTGACGGTTTTTTTATATAAAAGTTTTTCGGTATTATAATTTTTGGAGTGCTTTCAATTTAGTTTATGTGTTCTCAATCTGAACAATATCAATTTTACTGGCTTTAAAATTAGGGAATTGTTACGAGCATTTCAAAAATCTCATTTTACACTCCAAACTTTTTATATTATGAAAACAAAAATACACTTGTGAGAAGTGTAGAATGAGATTTTTGGAGTGCCAATAATACTTCTCTTTCTTCACAAATTTGAAAGTTGTTAGACCATCTTCAATGGTTGGGCTAAAAACCAAATTTTTTAGCCCGGAAAATTTAGTTTTTAGCCCAGAAATAACTTTTTTGCTCCAACCGTTCTAGCCTAAAATTTTAGCCCGGGATTATTAAAGAATGAACTTAGGCTATTTTTTTGTTAAATTATTATTATTATTATTTTTAAATATGTAGATTATTGTAAATTAATTTTATGAACATTTTAACCTAAAAAAATTTAAATTCTGATAAATATTGGGTGGAGTTCGCTCCGATTTCTGGGCTAAATTTTGGGGAGAATTCGGCATTAGTTTAGCATTTAGCATTTAGCCCAAAATTTCCCCTTGGGTTGGAGTGGGTTTAGGGGGAAATTTTGGGGGGTAATTTGGCTTTTAGCCCACCATTGGGGTTGGTTTTAGGAGGTTCTATATTTAAAATATCTTTCGACGTTTAGAAGAGAGATGTTGAGTACCATTTTTATTGTGTACAATTAGTTTAAAAGCAGTTTTATGTTTAGGGATTTTGATTGTAGAGGTGTTGAACTTCGCATTATTTATGATATAGCGCTTGAACTTGTGACATTTTCGGCCATAAGTTTGTGTGTTGACATAACTTACATATGAAAGCGCTTTGTGGAGAGGTGCGTGACACGTGATGAGAGTTAGGTTCTTTTATTATTCTCTAAAGAGTACCTTGTTAGTGAAATAGTGAATTACTTTTTAACTAAATGAAGAACAAGAGAGAAGGAACATTTACCAAGCATAACCCGAACATAGCATAATTCTAAAGTTATGGGTTGCCGGACTAAAGAGTCCAGTCCAGGTTAATATTAGACAAGCCCGATGGCCAATCAGGACCACCATAGTCCCTGGGCCATCTTTACCATCCAACCAGCCTCACATCTTCTTAGTAGTATTGGGCCCAATCTTCAGCTTAGCTTTGGATGCCGCATCTGTAGTCACTTTCGTTGGATTTCGAGTTTCAACATCCAATGACATTGCGTTAAAAAAATTGCATTTAAAAAGATACTTGATGAGGGACAATTCTCCGGATCTTCTTTGTGAAAATCCAAAAAATCAATTAATCATCGTTGTTTATTGTATATGTGCAGTTAATTTTTATTAGGTATTGTTTATATTTAATTTTAAATAAAAAATTTCAAATAATTTTTAACCACACAATGTACAATGAACAGACATTTGGATTCCCACAAATAGAATCCGCATAGGATCCTATTCCATTTTATGGAGCCCATGCTTTAAATAGTCATTGACTTCAACTGGATTAAAGCAAACTAGCTGTGATACAACGAACGAAGAAAATTAAGATTTCATTATAAAATTAATTGATAATATGAAAAGTAGACAACTCTTTCTAAGTCTTTGTATAGTTTGGTCCCTCCCTAATGTGAGATTTTATCCTCACATTGTCACAAGCTCTTTCAGGTGTGATAAATTTTTAAGTCAAACATGTGGACAACCAAAAGTAAGTGATGTAGAGCACGTGTGGCCGTTGAACTTCACACGTGGGTCAACCTGCTTTGATACCATGAAAGAAGTCGAGATCCTACCCTAAAATCAATTGATAATATGAAAAATAACCTAAATATTAATTTATGATACACACAAGAATATAAAAATGATTAAAACCCAACTCAATCACAGAGATTGGCTCCCTATATGTTGATTGAGAACAAATTCATATTCTCGCCGGATCTTATTTATGAGAAACTGTAAACGAACACGACATACGGATCTTCATGATGTCCACCAAAAGAATGTGGAGAGGATTGTGTTGGATTGAGAACAAGGCTTCTCGGAAGAACAATCATTATGTACTCATATAATAATTGGACCCCACATGACCGACTGTCAGATGCTTCTAGTTTGACTGTAACCTTCTCCTCGTCCCCCTCCTCGACATGAGAAGCTGTTTGAGTGTTTTCCCAAATTTAAAACCCGAGCTTTGGCACATAAATTACTCGACGCGCATGCAAATTTGCATACGGACCAATTTAAATCAATTTCTTCTTGTTTTAGAAAACGTCTAAACTAATTTCTAAATAAATAAATTATCGAAGGAGACGTACAGAATAGACAAAATTCAATTAATTTGTTCATCATTAAATTATAATATTTTTTAATGGAGCTGAAATGCTAGCTAATTAGTTAATTGCATTCAACTATGCCATTTGCTGCCATCGTGTTTCCACAAACGCTCTCCCGTAAACCAAATCCCAAAGTAATAGCTACATTAGCTAGAACATTGTTTTTTTTTTCTTTTTCCCTTCCTTTCTGTATTTACGATCTACAGCTAACTTTTACATGGATTCGAAGCAATTAGGGTCGGGTGTGACGAAAATGAAAAGCGATATCATGCTAATATAAAGGTGCTAACAAATAACTTAGTTGAAATATCCGAGCTCAAGCTTTTCTCCTCTTCACACGTAAGTTTGAAAGTCATTCTCGTAATTTGCATTACATGAGCATATATCAATTGAATAAAACGAATGTATAGGTAATCAAATTACAACATTTCTCCATTACCTTAATTAAACCGCACAATTTCCAAAATCAAGACACTTAAACAGAGGCACTAGTGTACAATCGAGGATTTACCATAAAACCAAAACTACTGAAGAAAATTGGTACGCAATTTTATTTTGCAGAATTCACAAAAAAATGTATATTTATGAAATATCCCTTTAACAAAAATAAATAAATAAACAAGTATACATATTATCATTTCTTCTCACAAATATTGGATCTCACCACAAAATGCACTTAAAAAAGCACCCAAAAAAAAAAAACAAAGAAATTAAAACAAAGTCTTTTTCTCCTTTTCAAATTATTTAAATGCGAATCGTAAATTAATTAATTAATAATTAGACTTGTCGCATCTGTGCCTAATCTCTCCCCGCCTTCCGGTCTGAATCCCTAACACGCCGAGCTTCTCCATCGCCTTGGCAAAATCCCCGAAGAAGCGGTTCTGGTCGTTTGCGTACAGCTCCACAAACGGCCGCGTCCTCGCGTCGTCAAACAGCGCGTGGTCCGATTTCAAAACCCCCAACCCCTTTGGTAAGTTTTGGAAGTAGACATTGTCGAATTTGTTCGGCGTCATAACGTCGTTAAATACGGATAGAGTTGGGTTTGTCTTGAAATCCGCGCATGCCCGCTGCAACCCGGACGCGAATCTCGGGTTGTAACTCGGGTCGGACTGCGCCGACTTGCTGTAGTTGTAAATCGAGGAGCTGAACTCGCTGCAGTGGGAGAACCCAATGGTGTGGGCCCCGCTGAGGGCGACCATTTCCTGGACGGAGAAGCCCCTGGACCCGAAAACCTGGATGAGCTGGGAGATGGACATGGCGGGGCGGGGGAGGTTGCCTTCGACGGCGGAGGCTTTGGAGAAGCGGCCATCGCGGCGGCCGAGTGGGACGTTGTAGAAGGGCCCCCCCATCATGGTGACGAGATCGCGGGTGGCGACGGCGAGGATGTCGGCGCAGGAGACGGTGTTGGGGCAGGCGAGCTCGAGGGCGGTCTTGGCGCGGACGACGACGTCGAAGGCGTCGCCGGGGAGGGAGAGGTTGATGTCGGCGTCGCGCTCGGCCTTGTTGAAGGGGGTGGAGGAGAGGAGGATGGAGGCGTCGCAGCCGTTGGCGAGGCAGTCGTGGAAGAAAAGGCGGAGAGTGGCGGCGGCGGTGGTGGGATTCATGATCTGCTTATTGGTCACGGTGTCTTGGACAATTTGGGCGAATCTCGGGCACGATTTTTGGTAGTAGTTGGTGTAGAGTCGGGATTCGGCGGCGGGGAGAGTGGTGAGAGATAGTAGAGATGTGAGGAGGACAATGATGAATGCCGCCATGCTTAGCTTCTCTCTGCGGCTGCTGCTGCTTCTGCAACTGCTTCAGCTGGCGGGCGGTAGCTCGAAGGAAGAAATGAGCTTTTTGCAAGCTCGAAGGAGGAAGACAGAGAGAGAGAAATACGGAGTGAGGTCTCGTAGTAGAAGAGATGGATTTACCGGGGGGAGATAGAGTGGGGAAGGGAGTGACCACGTGGCACTCTGTCCACCGTCAATCACGGGAATCGTGCTTAGGAGTAATGGACGGCCCGCTTAAATTTTGGGTTGGATCAAGGCATTTGGAATGACGGAAATGCCCTTATTTTATGAGGAGGCACATTGCCTGTCCTTCTGTTGGGTGCCTTCTCATCCTCTCTTATTTGTGTGGTCATGGTTAAATCACGTCAATATTTTATATTCATATTGCTTTTTGTCTTATTATCTTTATAAAAAAATTAATATAAAATATTGACATGACTTAACCGTGATCATACAAAATAAGAGAAGATACAAGGATATCCAAACAGGAGAGCAGACAATGTGCTTCCATTTTATGGAGTGAGTGAGGACGACTTTTCTACCCGTCAATAGTACTATGGCTGTGACATTGTATAAAGTCAATTATACGTTGGCCGTGCCTAGCAATGTAGACGTGACTTGTAATGAAGTAAAGTACTAAATTAGTTGTATAATTCACGAGTTAAGTGAATGAGTAATTCATTATCACCTTATGTTATGGTTCAATTAATCACGCCTAAACCTTGAAGTTATCTAATCTCATAAAAAGTCTATTATGCATTGCAATGTGAAAAAGTTAAATTTCAGGTATTATCACAGGGTTATGTTATTTACACACTCATTTTACTTATCACACACATTTCTCAATTTTCAGTTGTCGAATCAAATGAATTGAAAAAAATCTATAGCTAAAACTTAATCAGGATGTGTGAAAGGTAAAAATGATTGTGTGAATATAACTATTTGTGTCAAGATGCATATTGAGTGTAGCTAACTGTTCCTTAAATTTGAGAGTAACAAATATTTTTTTAGTTTGAATGTCACATTGTCACACAATATAATTATGTCACTTTTGGTCTAACACATGTTTATACGCTATTTTACGACTATCGTGCTTTTGAGAGGAGGCGATATGAGATGTCGACCCTTCATTTATTATTATGATACACTTATTAATAACACTATTTGGTTATGAGTAGAGGTGACAAATCAACTTATTAGGTTTTTAATGAGTAACAGTTAAGACCCGTTTAATTTGATATCACCAAATTATAGAGATGAGATTGGTAGTGATGATAATGGTGTAAGGTGAAATCAAACTACGTGGGTCTTAATGGATACACATTAACAATCCAATGAGTTGATTTGCCACCTCCAGTTAAGGGTGTTGTTAACCCCTTTTTACTTTTCACACACATCTATCAATTTCGATTATTGAGTCAAAAGATTTGAAGATGATCAAATGACATAAATTAACAACGAATATGTGAGACTTAAAAAAACATGTGTACACAACATCATCCTTTGGTTAATCTGAGTATTGAACCGACCGCACCTCCATCCCCCTCAACAAGGTCAAGCACAGCGCCAATATCAACCTCTTCCTCCCTTAGCAAGGACTTCCTTCCTCCGGTCTCATGCAACTCTGATTCGATAACACTAAATCTTTCTTTAAATCTGATTACCATTATTGACAGTGTGACAATCACGCTCAAATTCTTCCAAAATCACCTAAACTGTGGTCCACTTTGGGAATATTTCTTCGGTCATCAACATACGGTTGTGGTTATCCTGCACAGTTTTGTACACAGTACACACAACTTAGTTAAGAAAAACCCCCCAACTATTAGCAAAGGGATCGTAGATATTAAATTCTCATTAAATGAAGGCTGAGATAATTAGGTGGAAATAGGGGAGAGAGGTTAAAAGGTGCAACGTTGTATCTGGTGCGTATATTGGCCATTGCGTGATGGATCACGTAGCGTTAAAGCTAAACAGCGTGCTGAAAGCTCATCATTGTCTCTAATCCAACGGTCCAAAGTCAAAGGGGCTGTTTTATCAAAAAGGAAATGGGCCCCGCTCCAATTTGGACTAGCGTTCCATTGAATCGTATAAATGGCATTGATCTAGTTGTATTTTCGAATCCAGGGGCTAATTGTGTGTTGTACTTAATCGAATAGTCGACCCAGGCCGATTTTAAAAGGACGATATTGTCCATTTAAAAGAACAATTTATATGGAACGATTTTGCAGTAACGTAGCATCTTGATCAATTTAACTATATAATGTGATGTAATGAAAAACTTACACACGTCATTGTTTTGTTAAATCAGGACACAACGGTGTCGATAAATTCGTTCCATATTATTAGGGACAAGGTTCGAATTATCACAATAATTTAGGAATAAGAGAGTTTTTAATTGGGAGCATCTTGATCAATTTAACTATATAATGTGATGTAATGAAAAACTTACACACGTCATTGTTTTGTTAAATCAGGACACAACGGTGTCGATAAATTCGTTCCATATTATTAGGGACAAGGTTCGAATTATCACAATAATTTAGGAATAAGAGAGTTTTTAATTGGGAGCATCTTGATCAATTTAACTATATAATGTGATGTAATGAAAAACTTACACACGTCATTGTTTTGTTAAATCAGGACACAACGGTGGCGATAAATTCGTTCCATATTACTAGGGACAATGTTCGAATTATCACAATAATTTAGGAATAAGAGAGTTTCTAATTGGGAGCGCATAAGTAAAAACCTAACACGCTATCTATTATAATATTAGATCACATGCAAATTTGAATGATATCTCAATTTAGGCATGCTCCTCCTAGTTCATATACGCATTAACATATTTTGATCGTATAAACATCATAAGATTCGTTTGAAAACCAAAAATTGAAAAGAAAATTCTGAAACCAATTTTAATTTTCAAAATAATAATAATAATAATGGGCAGTTAAACTTATAAAGATAAAAAACTGCTCCTTGCCCTCCGAGCAGAAAGCACGAAAGGACAATTGCAGTAGGACCGGAAGAAACGAAAGTGGGAAACTGTTTGAATCAAAACAAAAAGGTTTGTTGAAAATTATTGAGATTGATGAGAACTGGATGTGGATGTTCACATGCATGTGCATGTGCATGTGCATGTGGGTCCCATATCTAAGCTGGGCTTTCTTCCCATGTCTACCCTCTACTTTCCTAATATTTGGCATGTCAAATTGACAGTGTCTATCTAAATCACTATCTCATTTTAAGAAAGGATACCATATGAAATTTTAACGATTTGAATTATGTATTTTTTAAGTTATATTTTATAGATTAATTTTGTAAAATATTAGTTAAATGATAATATTTAAGGCATCTAATTTAGTTCAAAAAAACTGACGAATGCTTAGTTCTAATAAAACATTGAAATTTTATCGTGATAATTAAATTGGTAAATGGTTTCGGACTTGAATTTTTGCAAGATGATCTATGAATCAAGATTTAGAAAATAGACGATTCGGATCGTTGAAATTCAATGTGGAGTGGGTCTCACAACTAATTCTTATTTTTTGAAAAAAATGGAGATCCATCTCGACCTGCCTCACCCAGAGCATACATACATGTAGTTGTAAAATGTATATGTACTGTGTCCCAAGTTGTACACTCGTTTCTTCGTTTCTTACGCGTCACATGACTACATTACATCAAGCTAATTTACTAGGAGATGGACTTACCTATCTCGAGGTGTATACCATTTATGGCGCGTTTACGTAACGGTAATAAAAATAAGAGGAATTGAATTGAATTGAGGACGAGTTGGAATGAGGAGAAGTCAGAATCGGATTCCAGTTGAAGCTGTTTACTTAAATATTCTGGAATCGGAATAGAATTTCATAAAACCGTTTACTAATTCAGCATAATCGGAATATAAACTAGTATGATTACTAAAATGCCCTTGTCCCAAATAAAATATTTTATGTACTTTAATGGGTTTATAAAGGATACTCTTGAAAATAAAAAAAGTAAGTGAGGGCACAAAGGGAACAAAAGTGTCATTCCGATTACACAAACAATCAGGAATTGAATTACCACCTATATCTAGGAAATCCAATTGCACCAATACAAGGAATTGAATTCCAAAATTTGTGTGGGCCCCACTGCTTTTTTGATTCCTCCATGTTTAGTAAACACCAAAGTACTCCGTAATTGGAATTCAACTCTACATTCTCTTTCTGATTACGGATACGTAAACACATCCTTAGTTTCTTAATCACACGTTGCGTGCTATGTGAAAAAGCATCAGAAGGCATACACTATGGGATATGTAAATATTTCTACTTCAGCTTTGAATCCCGTTTCCACACTTTGTCACTTGTTTAAAATATGTATTTACTAGATTAAGCTTTTGTACTTTATAAGTTCATATGAAGATTAATACAACGCAAACCATGACAAACGCCAAGTTTCAATTTATTATAAACTTAGTGAAATCAAAATACAAGAAGCGTGATTACTGTTATGAAGTGGAAATTACAACATTATAATTGAAAACAATTCCCCCACACATTATTTTTCTTACGAGAGAGGTTGATGCTAGAGCCCAAAACAACACGAAACCACAAACAAAAACATTCAAACGTAGTAGCACCAACAAGTCCTGCAAGTACTGCCCGTCTTTCTCTATGAAGATCGGGAGGAATACAGCAAAACTAATCTTGCTTTATCTGATTTAATTGCTTGCGTAAAACTTAATTATCTTGGATTATAGAACAGCAAGAACCGAGACCCCATCGGCATACCTGCGATAAGTGCGACGCTTCATGACATCTGTGAGTTCTGAGGAGTAGCTACTTCCCACAATCTCTTTATATTTGTTCCACCATCGCATGAAGCTGCTCTGCGCCAAGAAAATATCAGGTGTCACTGCGAAATTCTCGAGCGTATCCAGCACGTAACGCTCAAATTCGATCAGCTTTTGCTTCGCATCTGGATTACTTGCTAGTTCGTCGCACAAGATAAGCGCTTCCTCGACGTGCACCCAAAAACAAGAATCATCATTCAGACTAGAAGCCACACTCTTCGCTTTTGAGTTGGACTTGCTTGCGCTGCGCAGTTGCGGGTTCTCCCTTTCTTCCCTCTCTCTCTTTTCCTTCTTCTTTTTCTCCTCTTCATTGTACCATTGCTCCAAAAGAACGAAATGCCGAGGCCTTTCCTCTATGTAATTTTTTCCACCTTCCTTGTAGTACTCAGCAATGTGAAGCGGTTCGATCATCCTTCTGTAATTCGTTCCAGCAAAAAGAAAACGGACACGCATTGCGGCTCCTTCTGTCTGGGGCTTGTTCGCAGCTTCTGTAACCGTGTCAAGCCAATAGTTTGAGAGCTTCTTCTTGTACTCTTCGGCATTAATGTCACTTGCGTAACGCTTGTTTCTGTACCTGTCATAGTATCCAATTCCCATGTCTTTGGACTCCTTCTTGTACCATTCCATGTTGGCCATGTACTTTTTAATGTCATTCAATTTCAAGAAAGAACTGTAAACCTTCGTCTTCTGGATCGCTAGTTTACGTTCGTGAGTGACCATCTTTTTTATCAGACCTTCGAATTCAATTTTGGGTTGTTGCTGCTGCAATGACTTTTACAAAAGGCGTTAAGAGAAAAGTTAGTAGCTAGAAGTAAACATGGGATGTGATTTCCGCAAAACTCGTATTCTCCCCTCGCACACCCGTGTTTATTTCTAGTCTTTGGATTAAATAAATCAAAGGAGAATCAAGAGATGGAAATAAACAGGTTTGTGCGGAAACCATTTCCCTAAATCATCATCAAATCAGATATTTCTGTTGAAAGTTTGATACCTGTGAGCTGAGAACTCCTAATAGTGCTGCCAACTGTGTTTTAATTCCAGCTTTAAGTGGAACTCTATCCTCTTCAACCAACTCAAAGACATCTCTAGACAATGCCTTAGTCTTGAGATCATTCAAAATCTTTCCGTAATCAAAGAACTGAGTCCCTGAATTCGGAACTGAATGAGAGCTGGTTTCCACCAATAGTTGCAAAATGGCATCAGCGTCCTCAAAGCAAGAACCACCCGAAGAGGAGCACAGTAGGAATGTTCCGAAAGGCTTATAACCACTCGCTTGCGAAGTTAGGAAGACTTTAGGTACAGGATCATTGATGGAGGCTACATTCAAGAAGCAAGAACTCCATGTTGAGAATTCCAACACACATTGTCGGAGATTTTCGTCACCGATCAAGGGTGAACCGAAAGTGATGCAAAGGGGGCGTTTCGCTTTCGACAAGTCGAGGATTTGTAGCAGCCATAAGGTGAAAAGGGTAGCCACAGCACCTCCAAAAGAATGTCCAGTGATAACTATCCGTGAGGATTTGCTGCTAGCTACCAGCTGAAATATTACATAAAAGTTAATCAATTACTGAATTTCTATATAATCAATTCGGAGAAGTCCTTACAAATAAGTTCCTCAAACTTCGTTCATAGTAACAAAAAAAAAAAAAAAAAGAACACTTAAACTCGGTTTTGAAACAAACAAAGAAAGGACTCCACTGTTAATATATCCGGCTCTTATAACTCTATAAATGAGGGATTTGTAAGCGTTTTCCGTTAACATTAACTGTTTGTCAAAGAAGCCAAACTAATTAAGTGAAAAGTAATCTAGCAATATAAATATGATTTTTAACTGTTTCTCACTAACATTAAGAGTCGTCAAAGTGGTTAAACATTATCGGTTATCAGAGAGACAATAATACACACCTCTTTTCGCAAATTATCGAGGTTTGTGAGGTTCAATTTGAAGAAGTTGATTGCCAATTCATTGACGGAGAAACTTGGGGTGTTTTTGCTGCACAAAAACTCAAAGAGAGGAAAACTTGCGTCCTTGAGAGTCAACGACGAAACCATCACTTGTTGATCGTGAGGCGTGACGGGTGAAGTAAGAAACGATACGATGATGGTGTTTGAGTGCTTGGTTTCGCTAATGTATAAGGCCATTTGTGCATTCGGATCAGCAGCTGTCGGGAGCTTTTGCTTCTGAACCGCGTCCCATGACTGGTGCAGGGGAGGAGAAGTCACCAGCACATTTGCTAGTTCAAGCCCAGCACTGCTAATTCTGTCATCACCAACAAAAATTTGAAGCAAAGTTAAATGGAGGGTGTAAGCAAATAGCATCCAACTATAATAACAAACATGCTTGAAACTTCTGTTGAAATAGCTGAAAATGTCAGTCTAACCACCAAAAGTATTTTTAATTACATTTCGTTTGGATGCACTTTTAAAATAATTAAAAGTTTTTTAGAGAAAATATTTTTAGATTTTAAAAACACTTACAAGAAGTATTTGAAGTGCTTCCTTCAAAAAACAATAATTATGTGTTTTTTGCAAAGAAGCACTGCAAATGTTTTTTCAGGCTTTACTTATATTTTTAGTAAGAATTGGTTTAAAAATTATTTCAAACAAACTAGTTTTCTAAAGAAATTTCGTCATATTTCTAGCAAAGTGTTATTTCTGAAAATTATTGTTCCTTGATATTCCTCATTTCATTTGATCTGACGACCCGAAAATTAAGAGATGTATGACAAGTAAAAATAAGTGCGTGAATAATACTACCTATTTCTAACGAAGCCACTTCATCAAATACTTGGAAGAATGAAATTGCAATTTGGTAAACTATAAGGACGATAATTAAGCTATTGTATTTCGTAAGATTCACTTTACTCATAAGCACTTATTATTTACCATGAACATATAGAAATGTTTATTAAATATTCAAGTGCCCTTCGAAAAAGCACTTGAAAATATAGAAGTGCTTGTAGAAGGCGGACATAGCACATGCTTCTCCTAAAAGAGCTTATACCGTCTATCTAAAAGCGTTTTGCAAGTGTTTTTTTTTTGGGGCATTTAGATCCGAGTCCAAAAAATTGAGCTACTTTCCAATTGAGTCCAATTCCATGTGCGTTTAGGTTCAACTGATCTTTTTTATGTCTATTTTGCCCTTTTATAATCTAAATGAAAATATATTTAAATTTCTTGATTTATCAAAATTTTGAATCATTAAAGCCTTTAATCCATTCAATATCCAAGGAAAAAAATTAAAATTAAAATTCATGGCATGTTTATCAACAACAAAATCTATTGTGATATACATTCTTGATAAAAGTAGATTACAAAAAGAAAAAAACCTATGATATAGGTACATAAATACAAAATATGTCATGAAGATATATTTAAATAATATCTAATTAAACTATGGTGTAGGTAGATAATGCAACTAATCTGTGTTGTAGGTAGATAATGCAACTAATCTGTGTTGTAGGTAGATAATGCAACTATGATATAGGTACATATGATACATATGCAATTAATCTCTAATATGGGTAGAGTATTATAAAAAAATCCTATGGTACAGGTAGATAAACACAATTAATCTTAAATTATCAACAGAATATAATATATATATATATATATATATATATAGGTAGATAAATACAATTATTCACTATACATGTACATTATAATATAAAAAAAAAAAAAAAAGGACAAGTGATATAGGTAGATAAAACAAAAAAAAAAATGGGGAAGAAAAATGATATTGAGGGAGGAAACACTAGAGAAAATGCTAATTCGATAGAACTTCAAAAAAAAAAAAAAAGACGAAGAATCCAAAACACAAATGCAATTTGTTTTTTTTTTTTTTAACCAATCAAATGTATATTCATCATTCTTATGGAAGAGGAGGAGAAAAGGAATATTATGGAAGAAGATTACTCGGCAAAATAACAAAGAGAAAGATATTGTGAGGGAGAAACAAGAAAAGAGAATTGAAACAAGAAAATAGAAATTAACGGTTGGGGAAATGAGAAGAAAAAAAGAGATTTCAATCCCTAATCCTATAATTAAGGATAAGATTAACATTAATCATAAATTAAAAAAAACAGTAATTACTTAATTAGTCAATTTGAGGGTAAATTTGGCAAGAAAATACAAATAAGCTTAAGTGGATAATAAATCATTGTACCTAACCCAAAATTTAAAACAAAATTGGACTATAACTAATAATGGCTCATAAAATTGGACTCATATTAAGTTTCCCTTTTTTTTTTTGCCAGATTCAACCATAAGAACTTTTGATTGTTGAAAAAACACACTTTTAGCCATTCCAGACCATTTTCCACTTAATCAAGATAACACAAGAAAAATCATGGCAAAGGATTCAAAGGAAAACAAGGATCGGAGGAGTTTGAAGTCGAAGTTGACTTACTGGTCGTTCATCTTCAAGCTTTTGCCGATCTGCTTGAAACACACGGTAGATGGAGAAAACTGGATAGCAGAATAGTCCTCCTGTCTCTATTTATATAGAATAATTAATCCTATCGTTATTATTAATATTATGGACGTCTTTCTCCCACCAATCAAAAGGCCCCACGACGAAACTTCCACCAAGTCGACGATGCACAGCAAAGTCTAGGTCGTCGTCAACGCAAATTGTTCCTAAAAGCTTCTCGGAGGGAAAGGGAGGGCCCTAGACCTTTGCCTTGATGCTTTTCCCCGGCTTCTCCTGTACGTTTACGTGTTAAAATTCAGGTTAATTATTCCCACTTGCATTATTTATTTCCTCTTGTGCCCTGCAACGAATATTCGAAGCGGGTTAATATATTGCTGATTTTAACTGAACGTTCATGGAAGGATGCAAAGAAATTTACAAAGAAATCTAACGAGTGAATCTGAGGGCTCAGGTATGGCCGTTGACAGTTCTGTTTCTTTCTGAGTTCACCTACCAGCAATACAATACGGTCGTCTTTTCTATTCTTTGCTTTTACAAATTACAAGGGGCAATCCTTGAGTTCGGACGCTCACACGCGCGCAAGGAGCGCAGGGTGGGACCATCGGCAAGAATGGGTGTTTGTCCCAATACTTGATCCTTACCACCGCGTGTCCTTAAAGTTAAGAACTTGGTGACTTTCAGTGGATTGGAACTCCAGTCCCTATAATATAGGGGACTGTCCAGAGACCCCAAAAATTACCTTACAATTAAAGATTGCGTAGAGATGTGTATGTAGATGGTATTATTCTTAGTTTTATATTGGAAGTTCAACTTTTTTCAGATGAAGTTCCCAGCACGTGATGGGATTCTAGAATACCAGCTCCCAATGGGGCAGATGCCGTTACTTTTCTCACCTGTTGCTGAGAAAACAAGAGTTATGAAAGTATTTTTGGGGGTTTTTTTGTTTTTGTTTTTTTACGGTTTAGATCAACTCCTGTGAAATTAACAATGATTTTTTAACTTGTAATCCCTAAATTTAAAGATTATACTATAAAGACACTCCCATTGGAACTAATTTTCTTTTAGGAACAAGTATATTCCTCTTAAGTTCGTAAATGAGTCTTCAAAAATAGTGGTGGGACTCCGATTAAAAATGCTCTTAGACAGCCATGTAGTCTGGTCGTTCGCAGCCAAGAATTTCTCCCAATATAGGGCTGACTTTTATTGTTTCAAGATGGAAGATAGATCTGTGATCAATCAAATATTTCAGACAGCCAAAAGAGGAGTTTGCACTTGTTAGATTTAGTTAAAAATTGATCAATGAATATCTAAATGGGATAACTGGTTAAATCGTATCAACTAATCAAGACATGTGAGAAGAGTGCCAAAATTTCAATCGAACGTTGTGCGATCTTTGGGGAACACTTGGAAAATCCCGTTGCTCTGACTCGCATTAAATTTTAATCGAACTTTGTACGAGCAATCAGCAGTTGTAGGAATAAAGGGCAAAAAATTGCATAAGACAGAAAGAGGTGTGCCTTAGCAGCGTTAATGCTTGCTTTTCCTGAACACTGGTGACTTATTTTGATGCCCAAAGTCCCAATTTAACACGACCTAAATTGCTTCCACTGAACCAATGTCGATATCTTTCGATTATATGTTCGTGAGAGCAAAGAGAAAAAGCACAAAGACAACCTGAGCACTCATGATTTCGAAGTGGCTGATGCTGTTACCAATTTGCTAGAAACGACTGTTCTGATGCTGTATGATAAGAAGCATTCGTCCCTGCACGTGTAGTATGTATAGTGTGGTTACTTTATTGGGTACTCTCGTATTGTTACAAGAAACAGGTGCGGTGGGAAAAATTTACGAGTCCAAAATCTGAAGAGTATAGTAACTTACCAGGAAGAAAAAATGCATAGTCATTACGTCTGAAAATAGTATAACGAGAAAATAGCATGCCAACCGTGGAAGTCGGTTTAGCTTTGCTATTGCACTGAATACACATCTGCAAGTGAGTCGAACAAAAATTATATGAGAACCCAATTGCTTACAATTTCTTATGCCTTAAGAGCACTTCCACCGTGGAAAACCCTCCCTCAGGCTATTCACTATTTAATTCATCCAATGAATAATAACTGCTCTTAATGAACGGTAATTACCTTTTGCATTTCCACCATTGCACTTGAATAGCCTTGACAATAGGTAATAAAATATTAGTTTTTTTTTTCAAATAATACAAAATAATTTTATTTTAATTTCGGATAGGATTTTTAATCGATCTCGTTGTACTATTTTCTATTAATTTTTTTTCTTTTCACGTGGTGTACTACACCATTCCAAAACCTTTATTATTATTATTATTATTATTATTATTATTTTTCTTCTACTCTTTCACATGGTGCCAACGCACCATTCCAAAAGCCCAAACCCCTTCTTTTGAACCCGTGGTCCCCCCCCTCCGACGCACCCAAACCCTCGTCGCCTCTCTTCCTCCATCTTCACCACCCCACCACCGCCGCCTCTCTTCCTCTATCTTCACCATCCCACCCACCTCAGCCTCCATCAACAGTCTCGATCTTCCCGCTCCCTAACCAAACTCTCTCTCTCTCTCCTCTTTCCCCCAAAAACAAATCCCAAATTGTTTGATCTGGGTGTGTCAGTGGAAGGAGGAGGATCGCGAGGGGGCAAAGGCGGTGTGGGGTGTGGCGGCAATTGCGGCGGAGAAGGGATTGGATCTCTGCCATTTGTCTGTGGGTGTTCATCAACCTCGGCGACGAACTCCGGCGAGAGCCGTTGAGTTTGAAGCTTGGGTTTTACAATTTTTAATTTTTTTTTTTAATTTTACTTGTTTTTTTATTTATTAATATTTAATATTTAATATTTTTATTAAATTTATATTATGACTGACATCGCCCTGACGTCAACCCACGTCGCGTTGCCTTTGGGCTCTCGGGTTGGCAACTCGTGCCAGGCCTCTCCCTCGGGCCCGCTCGGGCTCCATCGCCAGCACACGCTGGGCTTGGTTGCTCAGGCTCTCTGCCACTGTTTGCGGGCCTGTCCCTCGAAGGACGTTTCAACAGCTTGCAACCACGTATCACACACAAAATTGTAATTGTACTTACATGACTAGCAGGAATGGAATGAACAACTTGAAGATAAGTAAGGCGGCCATGAGAAATGGCTGCAATTAGAAGCAAATAATATCAGATAAGTAGTAGCGACTAATCCGATAAGTACTCAGGAAAGTTCAACCTTCACTTACACTGAAGACAGTAATGAACTGATACACTGATGAAATCTCAAAACTTGCAATACTGGCAAAGTTTCCCGTTCCAAAGAAAGCAGCATTGAATAAAACCATCTAAAACCACAAAAGACATCCGAGAGTACCATGATGAGCAGTAAAATTATCAAAAAGACTGGGCAATGTATATCATTAAATTTCTCCAACAATCAGACAAATATTTTCCAAAAAGAAAAGAGAAAGGACTTACAAAGATTAACGGAATTCTCACGTCAGAGTATCTACCGTCAAGTATGACGTTATCCTCCATATCGCTAAAGGAACTTGACGACCTTTTCACCTTACTTGAGTAAATGTGTTTTCAACTAGTATCCAAGAGATGAGTACAAGGGACAGAGCACCGTAGAAAACAGCTTCATATCTGCATATGTTTTGAGAATGAAGGAAAAGATAAAAAAAAAATCATCCTAACATTATGCATATTAAAAAAGGAAAATAGTATTGGCACTTTAAAAATCTCATTCTATACTCCTTACAAGTGTATTTTTCTTTCCAAATATAGAAAGTTTGAAGTATAGAATAAGATTTTTGAAATGCCAATAACAATCTTTTTAAAAAAAAAAAAAAAAAACTGCTAAATAAAGGCAACTATAAAAGTTAGCATATGGATGGATTGTACCCGATAGATAATAGAAGAAATGTGGAAAAGCATCGTAGCTATCCTTTAATTATAACCGTTTATTGTACATTGTAGGATCAGAAATCATTTTAAAATTTAAAATTAAATATAAATAATATTTAACAAAAATTGACTTCACGATATACAATGAACTGTTACGATTTCAGGATCCCTACGATGCCAGGAATCCAAGAAATGTGGGAGCAAAAACGAGAAATATGGAAGTAAGCCGGACAAGAGACCATTTGCTGAAAATAATGGAAGTATAAATATTAACCTAATAGGGAAGAGTTAAAACGCATACCAGCGATGGACCAATTTATGATCTGGTGCACAGCGAGTGGGTCCTGCTTTTTTGTTCTATGAGAGGTTGATATCGACACCTGTGCCTAATCTCTCCCCGCCTTCCGGTCTCAATCCCTAACACGCCGAGCTTCTCCATCGCCTTGTTGATGGGGGTGGAGGAGAGGAGGGTGGAGGCGTCGCAGCCGTTGGCGAGGCTGTCGTGGAAGAAGAGGCGGAAAGTGGCTGCGGCGGTGGTGGGATTCATGATCTGCCTCTCGGGCACGATTTTTGGTAGTAGTTGGTGTAGAGTCGGGATTCGGCGGCGGGGAGAGTGGTGAGAGCTAGTAGAGATGTGAGGAGGACAATGAGGAATGCCGCCATGCTTAGCTTCTCTCTGCGGCTGCTGCTGCTTCTGCAACTGCTTCAGCTGGCGGGCGGTAGCTCGAAGGAAGAAATGAGCTTTTTGGATGCTCAGAGGAGGAGGAAGACAGAGAGAGAGAGAGAGAGAGAGAAATAGAGAGAGAGGTCTCGTGTCCCGTCACAATTTCGACTAGCGTTCCATTGAATCATCCAGTTGTATTTTCGAATCCAGGGGCTAATTATGTGTTTACCCAACTTAAAAAAGGACAATGTCGAGCTAATTTTAGAGAGAACGGTTTTATCGTCATGCAGTACGGATTTGGATTCTATCCGGATATTAAAGATTCTCATATTTTAGTTATTTATCGTGTGTGATCAGAAATTATTTGATTTTTTGTTATTTAAAATTAAACATAAATAGTACTTGACGAAAATTGATCATACAATGTACGATGAACGACTATGATGTGAGAATCCCTAGAATTCTTACAAATTGAATTCAAAGATGATCCTCTTCCACGTAGCACCTTGATCAATTTAACTATACAATGTCACGTATTTAAAAATGTACACATGTCATTGTTTTGTTTGATTGGAATATCACGGTAGCGATAAATTCGTACCATATTATTAGAGAATGTTCAAAGTATTACAATAATTTAACAAATGAGAGGATTTCGAACCCTAAAAGCATAGATAAAAATCTAACACTTCATTTATTAAGATATTAAACCACATACAAAAATTTAGACTTTTTCTCGGTTTAGACGTGCTCCTCTTTGTTCATGCACACTTTAATGAATTTTGCCCGTATAAACATCATAAGATTCGTTTGAAAGCCAAAAATTGAAAAGAAAATTCTGAAACCAATTTTGGTTTTCAAAAAAATAAATTTTTAATGGGCAGTTAAACTTATAAAGTAAAGAGTAAAAATGCTCCTTGCCCACCGAGCAGATAGCCAGAAAGTGGGTAACTGTTTGAATCAAAACAAAAAGGTTTGTTGAAGATTGTTGAGATTGATGAGAACTGCATTTGCATTTGCATTTGCATTTGCATTTGCATTTGCATGTGCATGTGGGTCCCATATCCAAGCTGGGTTTTCTTCTCATGTCCACACTCTACTCTACTTTCCTAATATTTGGCATGGCAAATTGACAGTTTCTATCTAAATCACTACCTTATCTTAAGAAAATGATACCATATCAAATTTTAATGATTCGAATTGTAAAGAAACTGATGAACATTTTGTTCTAATAAAATATTGAAATTTTATCGTGATACTTAAATTGACAAATGGTTTTGGACTTAAATTTTTGCAAGAATGGTGTTTGAATCAAGATTTACAAAATAGACGATTCGGATCGTTAGAGTTCGATGTGGAGTGAGTCTCATAACTAGTTAGAGTTTGAGTTTGATGGGGAGGGCCTGCCTCATCCAAAGCATACATACATGAAGTTGTAAAATATATATGTACTGTGTCCCAGGCTGTAAAATCCATTCTTCGTTTCTTACGCATCACGTGACTTCATCATTTCAAACTAATTCACTAGGAGATGGACTTACCTATCTCGAGGTGCATACCATTTTGTTCCTTAATCACACGTTGCGTGTTATGTGAAAAACATCAGAAAGGTATGAGATACGTGAGTATTTCTACTTTAACTTCGAATCCCAGTTCCACACTAGGTCATTTGGCTAAAATATGTATTTACTAGATTAAGCTTTTGTACTTTATAGGTTCATATGAAGATTAATACAACGCAAACCACAAGAAACGCAAGTCTCAATTTATTATAAATGTTGATTAGGGTAGCTCTCAAACTTAGCGAAATCAAAATACAAGTAGTGTCATTACTTTTATGATGTGGAAATTACAACATTATAATTGAAACCATTCCCCCACACATTATTTTTCTTACAAGAGAGGTAGATGCTAGAGCCCAAAACAAAAAGAAACCACAAACAAAACATTCAAACGTAGTAGCACCGACAAGTCCTGCAAGTACTGCACGTCATTCTCTACAAAATCACGAGCAATACAGGAAAACTAATCTTGCTTTATCTGACTTAATTGCTTGCTTAAAACTTAATTATCTTGAATTATGGAACAGCAAGAACCGAGACCCCATCCTCGTACTTGCGATAAGTGTGAAGCCTCATGGCGTCTGTGAATTTTGAGGAGTAGCTACTTCCCACAATCTCTTTATACTTGTTCCACCATCGCATGAAGCTGCTCTGCGCCAAGAAAATATCAGGAGTCACTGCGAAATTCTCGAGCGTATCCAGCACGTAATGCTCAAATTCGATCAGCTTTTGCTTGGCATCTGGATTACTCGCTAGTTCGTCGCACAAGATAAGCGCTTCCTCGACGTGCACCCAAAAACATGAATCATCATTCAGACTAGAAGCCACACTCTTCGCTTTTGAGTTGGACTTGCTTGCGCTGCGCAGTTGCGGGTTCTCCCTTTCTTCCCTCTCTCTCTTTTCCTTCTTCTTTTTCTCATCTTCCTTGAACCATTGCTCCAAAAGAACGAAATGTGGAGGCCTTTCCTCTACGTAATTTTTTCCACCTTCCTTGTAGTACTCAGCAATGTGGAGCGGTTCGATCATCCTTCTGTAATTCGTTCCAGCAAAAAGAAAACGGACACGCATTGCGGCTCCTTCTGTCTGGGGCTTGTTCGCAGCTTCTGTAACCGTGTCATGCCAATAATTATAGAGCTTCTTCTTGTACTCTTGGGCAATAATGTCACTTGGGTAACGCTTGTTTCTGTACCTGTCATAGTATCCAATTTTCATGTCCTTGGACTCCTTCTTGTACCATTCCATGTTGACCATGTACTTTTTAGCCTCATTCAAATTCAAGAAAGAACTGTAAACCTTCGTCTTCTGGCTCACTAGATTACGTTCGTGAGTGACCATCTTTTTTATCAGACTTTCGAATTCTATGTTGGGTTCTTGCTGCTGCAGTGACTTTTACAAAAGGAGTTGAGAGAAAAGTTAGTAGCTAGAAGTAAACATGGGAGGTGATTTCCGCAAAACTCGTATTCTCCCATTGCACACCCATGTTTATTTCTAGTCTTTGGATTAAATAAATCAAAGAAGAATCAAGAGATGGAAATAAACAGGTTTGTGTGGAAACCATTTCCCTAAATCATCATCAAATCAGATATTTCTGTTGAAAGTTTGATACCTGTGAGCTGAGAACTCCTAATATTGCTGCCAACTGTGTTTTAATTCCAGCTTTAAGTGGAACTCTATCCTCTTCAACCAACTCAAAGACATCTCTAAACAATGCCTTAGTCTTGAGATCATTCAAAATCTTTCCGTAATCAAAGAACTGAGTCCCTGAATTCGGAGCTGGATTTTGAACACATTGAGAGCTGGTTTCCACCAATAGTTGCAAAATGGCATCAGCGTCCTCAAAGCAAGAACCACCCGAAGAGGAGCACAGTAGGAATGTTCCGAAAGGCTTATAACCACTCCCTTGCGAAGTTAGGAAGATTTTAGGTACAGGATCATTGATGGAGGCTACATTCAAGAAGCAAGAACTCCATGTTGAGAATTCCAACACACATTTTCGGAGTTGTTGGTCACCGATCAAGGGTGAACCGAAAGTGATGCAAAGTGGGCGTTTCGCTTTCGACAAGTCAAGGCTTTGTAGCAGCCATAAGGTGAAAAGGGTAGCCACAGCACCTCCAAAAGAATGTCCGGTGATAACTATCCGTGAGGATTTGCTGCTTTCTACCAGCTGAAATATTACATAAAAGTTAATCAATTACTGAACATATAATCAATTCGGAGACGTCTTTACAATTAAGTTCCTCAAACTACATTCATAGTTTAAAATAAAAAATAAAAAAATAAAAAAACACACTTAAACTCGGTTTTGAAACAAACAAAGAAAGGAATCCATTGTTAATATATCCGGCTCTCATAACTCTATAAATGAGGGATTTGTAAGCGTTTTTCGTGAACATTAACAGTTTGTCAAAGAAGCCAAACTAATTAAGTGAAATATAAATATGATTTTTAACTGTTTCTCACTAACATTAAGAGTCGTCAAAGCCGTTAAACATTATCAGTTATCAGAGAGGCAATAATACGCACCTCTTTTCGCAAATTATCGAGGTTTTTGTGGTTAAATTTGAAGAATTCGATTGCCAATTCATTGACGGAGAAACTTGGGGCGTTTTTGCTGCACAAAAACTCAAAGAGAGAAAAACCTTTGTCCTTGAGAGTCAACGACGAAACCATCGGCTGTTGATCGTGAAGCGTGACGGGTGAAGTAAGAAAAGATATGATGATGGTGTTTGAGTGCTTGGTTTCACTAATGTATAAGGCCATTTTTGCATTCGGATCAGCAGCTGTCTGGAGCTTTTGGTTCTGAACCGCATCCCATGACTGGTGCAGGGGAGGAGAAGTCACCAGCACATTTGCTAGTTCAAGCCCAGCACTGCTAATTCTGTCATCACCAACAAAAATTTGAAGCAAAGTTAAATGGAGGGTGTAAGCAAATAGCATCCAACTATAATAACAAACATGCTTGAAACTTATGTTGAAATAGCTAAAAATATCAGTCTAACCACCAAAAGTATTTTTAATTACATGTTGTTTGGAATTGCTTTTAAAATAATTGAAAACGTTTTTAAAGAAAATAGTTTTAGATTCCAAAAGCACTTACAAGAAGTATTTAAAGTGCTTCCTTCAAAAAAACACTAATTATGTGCTTTTTACAAGGAAGCACTGCAAGTGCTTTTCCAAACTTTACTTACATTTTTACTAAGAATTGGTTTAAAAAATATTTCAAACAAGCTAGTTTTCTAAAGACATTTCGTCATATTTCTAGCAAAGTGTTCTTCCCCAACCCATTTTCACCTCTCACACACCCTTGTTAATTATTGTTCATGGGTCTTCCTCACTTCATTTGATCTGACGATCCAAAAATTAAGAGGTGCATGACAAGTAAAAATAAGTGCGTGGATAATACTACCTATTTCTAACGTAGCCACTTAGCAAAATATTTGTAAGATTGAAATTGCACTTTGGTAAACTATCAGGACGATTATTAAGCTGTTGTATTTCGTAAGATTCACTTTACTCATAAGCACTTATCTTTTACCATGAACATATAGCAATGTTTATTAAATACTCAAGTGCTCTTCGAAAAAGCACTTGAAAATATAGAAGTGCTTGTGGAAGGCGGACATAGCACATGCTTCTCCGAAAAGAGCTTATACCGTCTATCGAAAAGCGTTTTGCAAGTTTTTTTTTTTTTTGCCAGATTCAACCATAAGAACTTTTGATTGTTGAAAAAACACACTTTTAGCAATTCCATACCATTTTCCGCTTAATCAAGATAACACAAGAAAAATCATGGCAAAGGATTCAAAGAAAAACAAGGATCGGAGGAGTTTGAAGTCGAAGTTTACTTACTGGTCGTTCATCTTCATGCTTTTGATCTGCTTCAAACACACGGTAGATGGAGAAAACTGGATACCAGAATGGTCCTGTCTCTGCTTTTATAGAATAATTATTCCCATCGTTATTATTAATATTATGGAAGTCTTTCTCCCACCAATCAAAAGGCCCCACGACGAAACTTCTCACCAAGTCCAAATGCACAGCAAAGTCTAGGTCGTCGTCAACGCAACTTGTTCCTGAAAGCTTCTCGGAGGAAAAGGGAGGGCCCTAGACCTTTGTATCGATGCTTTTCCTCGGCTTCTTTTGTACGTTTACGTGTTAAAATTCAGGTAGATTATTCCCACTTGCATTATTTATTTCCTCCTCCCCGCAACGAATATTCCGGTGCAGGTTAATACATTACTGAGTTTAACGACTGAACATTCGAGGAAGGATGCAAAGAAATTTACAAAGGAATCTAACGAGTGAATATGAGGGCTCGGGTATGGCCGTTGACCGATGGTCGTCTTTTTCTGAGTTCACCTACCAGCAATACAATGTGGTCGTCTTTTTCTTTTCTTTGCTTCTACTATTAAGTATACAAGTTAGCAATACAGTTAGTAAGTTGGTTAGAGTAGTTAGGCTCTCCCTTATAAAAACAGTTGTGTAACCTTCATTCTATTAATGAATACAAAAGCATATTTCTCTCTCTCTAAATCTCTCTCTCTAAAACTCTCTGTGTTCATCTTTCCTCTCTTCATCTTTCTTCTTGATTTTCTCTCTACTTCTCAAACATTGCAATGTAGTTAACATGGTATCAGAGCCACCAGGCTCACGCCATTGATTCTGGTGGTTCCATTTCCTATTAGTTTTCATCTGTTTATAGCTTAATTTCTTTCCAAATTTTCATTAGATTTTTGGTGCTTTTGTGATTGTTCTTGGGTTCTTTCTCCGTTTCTTGCTTCGAATGCCAGAAATACTTTCCTTCCGGATTTTCTTGAATCTGATTCTTAGCATGGGTTGAATCCTCAGAGAACAAGATGTTGAGGGTGTTACGAAATCCAAAAAAATTTGTCACCAGATACAAATCAGACAGAGTCTTGGTGTCACGTAGCTTGCTCTCGAAATCGGCCGTGGATTGGTCGAGGTCGACTGCCTTGATTGCGACGGTTGCAGAGTTCATGGGGATGCAGAGCTCACGCGAGATCTCACGGACCTCTCGCCATCCATGGTTCATATATAAAATTTCAATTTCTAGAAGACAATGCAGTCGCCGTCGACGTGGTCAAAATCCCTAAAACCTTCTTCACTGATAGAGATGCTGATAAGGGAAGAAGAATGAAAGAATGAAGTCAAGATCACATATGGTTTTTTTTCATCTTCCATGCGTATTCTGTGATTTCAGAAATAAAGTGATATCTGGGTTTTCGAAATCGTAGCGGGTCTTGGAGTCGTAGCATGATCTGAACGTAATTGGCTAATGGGTTCTTGCCTGATTCGATCCCATGCGTCAATGAAAAATTTAGCAAGGTGATATATTTGGAGTTTGGGCCAAGTCTCTGGGACCAATCTTGAAGACCTTCAAGAAATTCCCAATTCTGCGAATGAAAAGCTTGTATCTTTGGATTTAATTTCTGGGTTTCCTGCATCTAATGGAGTTGCCCAAGATGTCATGGGAAATTGCGATCTGAGTTGTTAGTTATTGCTTATCTGCGAATTTGATCAGTGCTCTGCTCTCTGGTGTGGAAGAAAGTTTAGATTTTTTTTTTGTGTAGTTCAAGTGTTTGCTGAAATGCCCATCTCAAAAATTTTCATATCTGTATTTGTGATATTTGGGATATTTGGGTTGGTTCTGTGACTGCATCTGCTTCGCTTGCTGTTGCGAATTTCTGCGATTCTGTATCTGTTATCTGGTGGCATTTGGTGATTGAAGAAGGAGTTGTTCTTTGACGAGTGGATGTTCGAAGAGGTGTTCTCAGATCAGGTGATTCGTATATCATTTCTTTGTTCTACGATAGTTTTGTGGTTTGCAAATTGTGAACTGGTGGTTTGATACTGTAATTCTTCAAGATTTGTGATGAAATTTCTTGCTGTTTCTGGGTATATTGTTGGAATTTCAATAAAGCTGTGATGGTGGTGCTGAAGTTTTCTTCGCATATTCTACAAGAAGCTTTCCCAATCAAGTTCTTCATGTCAATACGACATTCAACACTAGTGTCATGGCTGCAGAAGAGATAGTTGAAGACGATATTAAGCTTGTCATTCCACTTCTTAGGAGGCGGTTTTGCTGATGACTTCCTCTTCCCATTGCTCAAAATGTTTTGAAAATCGATGAAGAAGGAACAAACTTGGTAATTTACTCTCTGCATGTTTTGGATGTATTGCAAAATATAATGTTCCCTTACTGTTCCAGAAATTCTGTCTTGAATGGTGGAGATTAAAACCTGCAAAAGCGATGCCAAAGAATAGGAAACTGAAGGATCCTGAAATTGGACCCCCGAGAACTGATTGTGGATGCTGCTGAAGCATAGATTGTGTTGACTGATGAATGGAAGCTTGTTCAGGAGTTAATTGAGGAGTTTGTACATTATGTTTTCTTATCACAGCCTATAATGTCGAGTCTAACCAACTCAATTGTTAGCATGAATCTACAGTAAGTCCGGTTATACGATGAAGTTTGATGAAGTTGTAAACGGTAAATCCCACGAAGGGTAATTCCGTGATGTAAGTAGGTAAATCCCACAAAGCGTAATCCTACATAGATGATGATTTTCTGTTGTTGAAATTGTGAAGGCCAATGCCATTGTTAAGAGTAGTTGTATTTTGGTAAAATCCACAAAGGGCGAACCCGTGGTGCTATAGTTAAGGCCGATGCCACACTATAGTTTGTTATTTTTCTGTTTAAAGGCCGAAGCCAATGTTAAATGAAGTTGTTGACGGTAAATCCCACGAAGGGTAATCCCGCAAGAAGTTGTTATAACCGGCCTGAGGGTGTGTTACAATTTTATAAGAGGCTGTTCTTCGATTGAAACTCCTGTGAGAGGCAGATGGAAGATTGCAGATGGTTCAACATTGTGTTCAGTGATTGTAGATGTTCTTCCAATCTCAAACTGGGTTTCCCCAGTTGAGATTGAGGGGGAGTATTAAGTTTACAAGTTAGCAATACAGTTAGTAAGTTGGTTAGAGTAGTTAGGCTCTCCCTTATAAAAACAGTTGTGTAACCTTCATTCTATTAATGAATACAAAAGCATATTTCTCTCTCTCTAAATCTCTCTCTCTAAAACTCTCTGTGTTCATCTTTCCTCTCTTCATCTTTCTTCTTGATTTTCTCTCTACTTCTCAAACATTGCAATGTAGTTAACATCTACAAGGGGTAATCCTTGAGTTCGGACGCTCGCACGCGCGCAAGGGGCGCAGGGTGGGACCATCGGCAAGAATGGGTGTTTTGTGTGTGCAATTAGAGCATCTCCAATGCTTGTCCCTGTACGTTTCCTTACCACCGTATGTCCTTAAAGTTAATGACTTGGTGACTTCCAGTGGATCGGTGCTCCAGTCCCTATAATATAGGAGACTGCCCGGAGACCCCAAAAATTACCTTACAATTAAGGATTGCGTAGGGATGTGTATGTCGATAGCATTATCCTTGGTTTTATGTTGGAATCCCAACTTTTTCAGGTGAAGTCCCCAGCACGTGATGAGATTCTAGAATACTAGCTTCCAATGGGGAAGATGCCGTTACTTTTCTCGTCTGTTGATGAGAAAACAAGAGTTACGAAAGTATTTTTGGGTTTTTTTGGTTTTTTTTTTTAACAATTTAGATCAACCGCTGTGAAATTAACGATGATTTTTTAACTTGTAGTCCCTAAATTTAAAGATTATATTATAAAGACACTCTTGTTGGAACTAATTTTCTTTTAGGAACAAGTATATTCCCTTTAAGTTCGTAAATGAGTCTTCAAAATTAGTGATGGGACTCCGATTAAAGATGGCTCTTAGACAACCATGAGGTTTGGTCGTTCGCAACCAAGAATTTCTTCCAAGAGGACCGACTTTTATTGTTTCAAGATGGAAGATAGTAACATTTAATCTATGATCAATCAAATATTTCAGACAGCTAAAAAAGGAGTTTGTACTTGTTAAATTTAGTTTCAAAATTGATCAATGAATATCTATATGGGATAACTGGTTAAATCGTATCAACTAATCAAGACATGTGAGAAGAGTGCCAAAATTTCAATCGAACGTTGTGCGATCTTTGGGGAACACTCGGAAAATCCCATTGCTCTGACTCCCATTAAATTTCAGTCGAACTTTGTACGAGCAATCAGCAGTTGTAGGAATAAAGGGCAAAAAATTGCAGAAGACCGCAAGAGGTGTGCCTTCGCAGCGTTAATGCTCGCTTTTCCTGAACACTGGTGACTTATTTTGATGCCCAAAGTCCCAATTTAACACGACCTACATTGCTTTCCGAGAGGAGCGGTCCACGGAACCAATGTCGATATCTTTCGTGTATATGTTCGTGAGAGCAAAGAGCAAAAGCACAAAGACAACCTGAGCACTCATGATTCCGAAGTGGCTGATGCTGTTACCAATTTCCATCCAGCTTCCTGTATTCCGGACCTAATAACGATAAAAACTGTCAGTAGGTTTTGCTAGAAACGATTGTTTTGATGCTGTGTGATAAGAAGCATTCGTCCATGCACGTGTAGTATGTATGGTGTGGTTACTTTATTGGGTACTCTCATATCGTTACAAGAGACAGGTGCGGTGAGAGAAAGTTACGAGTCCAAAATCTGAAGAGTATAGTAACTTACCAGGAAGAAAAAATGCATGGTCATTACGTCTGAAAATAGTATAACGAGAAAATAGCATGCCAACTGTGGAAGTCGGTTTAGCTTTGTTATTGCACTGAATACACATCTGCAAAGTGAGTCGAACAAAAATTATATGAGAACCCAATTGCTTACAATTTCTCATGCCGTAAGAGCACTTCCACAGTGGGAAACCCTCCTCCAGGCTATTCACTATTTAATCCATCTAGTGAACCGTAATTGCCCTTAATGAACAGTAATTACATTTTGCATCTCTACCATTGCACTTGAATAGCCCTGACAATGGGCAATAAAATATTAGTTTTTTTAAAATAATACAAAATAATTTTATTTGTAATTTCGAATAAAATTTTTAATCGGTTTCGTTGTACCATTTTCTATTAAATTTTTTTTTCCTTTCACATGGTGCAGCACACCATTCCAAAACCTTTATTATTATAATAATAATAATTATTATTATTATTATTTTTTTCCTTCTACTTTTTCACATGGTGCCAACGCACCATTCCAAAAGCCCAAACCCCTTCTTTTCAACCCGTGTCCCCCCCTCCAACGCACCCAACACCCCACCGCCGCCTCTCTTCCTCCATCTTCACCATCCCACCCACCTCAGCCTCCATCAACAGTCCCGATCTTCCCCGCTCTCTAACCAAACTCTTTCTCTCTCTCTCTCTCTCTCTCCCCCAAAAACAAATCCCAAATCGTGCAATCTGGGCGCGCCAGTGGAAGAAGGTGGATCGAGAGGGGGCGAAGGCGGTGTGGGGTGCAGCGGTAGCTGCGGCGGAGAAGGGATTGGATCTCATTTGTCTGTGGGTGTTCATCAACCTTAGCGACGAACTCCGACGAGAGCCGTTGAGTTCGAAGCCTGGGTTTTACAATTTTTTTTTAATTTTACTTTTTTTATTAATATTTAATATTTTTATTAATTTTATATTATGGCTGACGTCGCCCTGACGTCAGCCCACGTCACGTTGCCTTCGGGCTGGCAACTCGTGCCAGGCCTTTCCCTCAGGCCTGCTCGGGCTCCATCGCCAGCACACGCTGGGCTTGGTTGCTCAGGCTCTCAGCCACTGTTCGCGGCCTGTCCCTCGAAGGACGTTTCAACAGCTTGCAACCACGTATCACACACAAAATTGTAATTGTATTTACATGACTAGCAGGAATGGAATGAATAACTTGAAGATAAGTAAGGCGGCCATGAGAAATGGCTGCAATTAGAAGCAAATAATATCAGGTAAGTAGTAGCGACTAATCCGATAAATACTCAGGAAAGTTCAACCTTCACTTACACTGAAGACAGTAATGAACTGATACACACTGATGAAATCTCAAAACTTGCAATACTCGCAAAGTTTCCCGTTCCAAAGAAAGCAGCGTTGAATAAAACCATCTAAAACCACAAAAGACATCCGAGAGTACCATGATGAGCGGTAAAATTATCAAAAAGACCGGGCAATGTATATCATTAAATTTCTCCAACAATCAGACAAATATTTTCCAAAAAGAAAAGAGAAAGGACTTACAAAGATTAACGGAATCCTCACGTCAGACAGCTGTAAGTATCTACCGTCAAGTATCTAAAGGAACTTGACGACCTTTTCACCTTACTTGAGTAAATAAGTGTGTTTTCAACTAGTATCCAAGAGATGAGTACAAGGGCCAGAGCACCGTAGAAAACAGCTTCATATCTGCATATGTTTTGAGAATGAAGGAAAAGATAAAAAAAAATCATCCTAACATTATGCATATTAAAAAAAACCGTTAAATGAAGGCAACTATAAAAGTTAGCATATGGATGGACTGTACCCGATAGATAATAGAAGAAATGTGGGAGCAAAACCGAGAAATATGGAAGCAAGCCGGGACAAGAGACCATTTGCTGAAAATAATGGAGGTATAAATATTAACCTAATAGGGAAGAGTTAAAACGCATACCAGCGATGGACCAATTTATGATCTGGTGCACAGCGAGTAGTTCCTGCTTCTCTGTTCTATGAAAGGTTGATATCGACACCTGTGCCTAATCTCTCCCCGCCTTCCGGTCTCAATCCCTAACACGCCGAGCTTCTCCATCGCCTTGTTGAAGGGGGTGGAGGAAAGGAGGATGGAGGCGTCGCAGCTGTTGGCGAGGCAGTCGTGGAAGAAGAGGTGGAGAGTGGCGGCGGCAGCGGCGGGATTCATGATCTGCTTATTGGTGACGGTGTCTTGCGTTGACAATATCCAAAGGTTGTTAGAGTTGTTACCAAAAATTAGTTAGTTAAATAGCTTAGGTTGTAAGTTAGTCATGATGGCTATATAAATTGTATTCTCATAGTTGTAAAGATTAATTCAGTATCAATGTAATCAATTACTTTCTCTCTCTCTCTCTCTTATTCTCTTTCTGCATTCCTGTGCTTCTCTGCACTACTGTTAACATGGTATCAGAGCCACCAGGCTCACGCTATTGATTCTGGTGGTTTCGTTTCCTATTAGTTTTCATTTGTATATAGCTTAATTTCTTTCCAAATTTCCATTAGATTTTCGGTGCTTCTGTGATTGTTCTTGGGTTCTTTCTCCGTTTCTTGCTTCGAATGCCAGAAATACTTTCCTTCCGAGTTTTCTTGAATCTGATTCTTAGCATGGGCTGAATCCTCAGAGAACAAGATGTTGAGGGTGTTGCGAAATCCGAAAATTTGTCATCAGATACAAATCGGACAGAGTCTTGGTGTCACGTAGCTTGCTCTCGAAATCGGTCGTGGATTGGTCGAGGTCGACGGCCTTAATTGCGACGGTTGCAGAGTTAATGGGGATGCAGAGTTAATGGGGTTTCAGAAATAAAGTGATATCTGGGTTTTCGAAATCGTAACGGGTCTTGGAGTCGTAGCATGATCTGAACGCAGTTGGCTAATGTGTTCTTGCCTGATTCGATCCCACGCGTCAATGAAAAATTCAGCAAGGTGATATATTTGGAGTTTGGGCCAAGTCTCTGGGACCAATCTTGAAGACCTTCAAGAAATTCCCAATTTTGCGAATGAAAAGCTCGTATCTTTGGATTTAATTTCTGGGTTTCCTGCTACTGATGGAGTTGCCCAAGATTTCATGGGAAATTGCGATCTAAGTTGTTAGTTATTGCTTGTCTACGAATTTGATCAGTGCTCTGCTCTCTGGTGTGGAAGAAAGTTCGGATTTTTTTTGTGTAGTTCAAGTGTTTGCTGAAATGCCCATCTCAAAAAAAAAAAAAAAAAAAAAAAATTCCATTAAATTTTCAGTGCTTCCGCGAGCTTGGGTTGATTTTTCTGCGATTGTTGGTTGATTGTTCTGATTTGGAGATTTATCCACTGACGCCTTCACTACCTCCAATAACTAAAGCTCTCTGCCGAGGGATTCCTCTCGCCCAATTCCAAAGCCCTATGCGCCGATCTAGCCACTCGGTTTAGCAGTGCAGATAAATTTGCTCCAACTTGTGGAAGAAATTCAAGATAAGCTGACGAAGGGCACTGTCGAGTGTATGATTTGTTATGATATGGTAAGGAGGTCTGCACATGTTTGGTCCTGCTCAAGTTGCTACTTAATTTTCCATCTGACTTGCATCAAGAAATGGGCCCGAGCTCCCACTTCTATCGACATGTCTGCGAGGAAGAATCAGGGGTTTAATTGGCGGTGTCCTGGATGTTAATTTGTATAGCTCACTTCGTCAAAGATTAGGGTGCCGAGATCCATCTTCTTTCTGCTGTGCAAATCTCGATTCGGTGGTGATTCTTTCTGCTGTTCGTCTGGGAATTTCTCTTTTGCGTTGCTGATTGGAAAGTGGGATCTTGGATTCTGTCAGGTTATTTCGTGTATCTGTCATCTTCTTTATGCATACATAGTGTTTGTGGAATTGCCGCAGAAGATAAAGTGTGAGATTTTATACATGATTACTTGTGAAGGTCATTGACATTAGTTGAAGAATGATGAAATATAGTTTCTGCCAAGATTAAGTTTTGAAGGAGTTTCTGCGATTCTGATGATCTGGTGATATGAGGGACAAGGTTCAATTGTAAAACCAGTGTCTGGTGATCTGCATTTCTTGATTGTCTGGAGTTGCTGTTGATAATGGTAGTGCTACAGACTCGTGTCCAGTTAAAATGTTGAAGGAGAAGGAGCACAAAATCTCAAACTGGAAGTCGATTGATCCCAGAAGCAGGGTATGTCTGTGCATTGCCTAGCCAAAAGAGAGAGAAAGAAACGGATAAGGAAGTGTCTACAAGTGAGTCGGAGTAAGAACAGTGTGTTATGGGTTTCAAGATTCAAGTTCTCAGGTTTTGTCTTAGATTACTAATTTTCCTTCCAACATATCAACTTGGAAGTGTCTACAAGTGAGCCGTATACTTCAGATTTGTTCAGATTTGTGCACTCGAAAAAGGCCGATTGCCAAGAGTGTGTTGAATGCATTTTGTTTCCTCCATAAGGCCGATAGCCGGAGTGAAAAGTTCTGTCTCAGATATTGTGTGTTATTCCTTAAAGGCCGATAGCCGGAGTAACGTTCTTGAAAAATTTTGTTTGTTGTTATTGTGTGCAACTTCATTAAGGCCGATTGCCGAAGAAGGTTGTGTTTCTTGATTTCTGTGATTGTAAGAAGTTGATTGCTGGATGGTCTGCTTCAATCTCAAACTGGGCAATCCCAGTTGAGATTGAGGGGGGATGTTGACAATATCCAAAGGTTGTTAGAGTTGTTACCAAAAATTAGTTAGTTAAATAGCTTAGGTTGTAAGTTAGTCATGATGGCTATATAAACTGTATTCTCATAGTTGTAAAGATTAATTCAGTATCAATGTAATCAATTACTTTCTCTCTCTCTCTTATTCTCTTTCTGCATTTCTGTGCTTCTCTGCACTACTGTTAACATCTTGGACGGTTTGGGCGAATCTCGGGCACGATTTTTGGTAGTATAGTTGGTGTAGAGTCGGGATTCGGCGGCGGGGAGAGTGGTGAGAGCTAGTAGAGATGTGAGGAGGACAATGAGGAATGCGGCCATGCTTAGCTTCTCTCTGCTGCTGCTGCTGCTGCTTCTGCAACTGCTTCAACTGGCGGGCGGTAGCTCGAAGGAAGAAATGAGCTTTTTGGAAGCTCGGAGGAGGAGGGAGAGAGAGATAGAGAGTGAGGTCTCGTAGTAGAAGAGATGGATTTACCCGCCCGCGGGGGGGGGGGGGTGGAGATAGAGTTGGGGGGGAGTGACTAGAAACCGTACATGCACCTTTTGATGCATACGGTTCAACAAAAATAACGATAAAAAAAAAAAGAATCAATGTGTAGATGTAGATTCTAGCCACCGTCAATCACGGGGATCGTGCTTAGAGTGATGGACGACCCACTTAAATTTTGGGTTGAACTTCGGATCAAGGCACATGGAATGACGGAAATTCCCCTATTATTTTGGGTTGAACTTCGGATCAAGGCACATGGAATGACGGAAATGCCCTATTTTATGGAATCAGTGAGGACGACTTTTCTGCCCTTCAATACCCAATAGGGGAAAAAGATCCTCTTCTGAGCTCAGGATAGAGATCCTCCAAACCACGAAATTCGGGCATTTCAAATTTAATTCAACGGTTGCAATTATTATAATTTTTAGATGATCTTCCTGTTTGGAGTCGTTGGATTAAATTTAAACGACCCGGATTTCGTGGTCAGGAAGATCCCCATCCCGAGCTCAGGAGAGGATCCTTTTCCCCAATAGGGTTCTCTTTGGATTCTGTCGGTGAGGATTTTGAAAATATGTAAATCGTGTTCGTTCATCGTACATCGTACAATCAGTTTTTTTCAGGTACTATTTATATTTAATTTTAAATAAAAATATTTAAAATGATTTCTGACCGCACTATATACGATGAACGAATATGATTCATAGATCTTCAGAATCCTCACAAAGAAGATCCGACGAGAAACTGGATTCCTTCAATACCACTATGACTGTGACATTGTACAAAGTCAATCATACGTTGACCGAGCCTAGTACTGTAGACGTCACTTGTAATTAAGTAAAGTATTAAATTAGTTGTATAATTGACAAGTTAAGTGGGTAAGTAATTCATTATCATCTCATGTTAGGGTTCAATTAATTACACCTAAACCCTAAAGTTATCTAACTGCATAAATAAGACTAATTATGCATTGCAATGTGAAATTGTTTAATTTCAGGATTGTCACATGGTAGTGCTATTCACACACTTACTTTTACTTTTCACGCACCCTTCTTAGTTTTCGGTTATCGCATTAAATGAATTGAAAAAAAAATCAATGGCCGAAACTTAACCAAGTAAATATAGGTGTGAATAACATTATCCATGTCACGATACAGATTGAGTGTAGCTAAATGTTCTTTAAACTTGAGAGTAATGAGTATTTTTTTGGTTTGAATGTCACATAGCCGCGTAGTGTAATTACCTCGCTTTTGGTCTAACACATATCTATATAATATTTTATGATTCCGGATCCTCTTTGTGAGGATTCCAGGAATCCGTGAATCGTGTCCGTTCATCGTACATCTTGCGGTCAGTTTTTGTCAGATATTGTTTGTGTTCAATTTTAAATAATAAAATTTAAAATGATTTCTGACTGCACGATGTACGATGAATGGACACAATACATGGATCCTCGGGATCCTCACAAAGAGAATCCGGAGAGGATCCTTATTCCTATTTTATGACTATCAAGCTTATGAAAGAAGACGATATGAAATGTCAACCTTTCGTCATTATTTGGTTAAGGGTAAAGGTGGAGATTAACACATTGAGTTGTTAATGATTGTTAATGAGTACTCGTATCAACACATTGAGTTGTTAATGAGTACTCGTTAAGACTCGTTGAATTTGATATCATCATAATATACAGGTAGGGTTTGTAATGGTGATAATGGTGTAAGGTGAAGTCAAACTAAATGAGTCTTAATGAGTAACCATTAACAACCCAACGTGTTGATTTGCCACCTCTAGTTTAGGGTGTTGCTAACCTCTTTTTACCTTTCACACACAACTCTCAATTTTTGGTCATCGAATCAAATGAATTAAAGATGATCATGTGACATAAATTAACAAGGAGTGTGTGAGACTTAAAAGAAGGTGTGTAGACAACATCACTCTTTGGTTATTCCGAATATTAAACCTACCACACCTTCATCCCCCTCGACAAGGTTGAGCGTGACACCAATATCAACTTTTTCC